TGACCACACAGGCTGGCTCGTGCCGTTCTTATCGACACTGCAAGAATGAATGGCCCGCCTACACTGCCAAAAGAATCTGCTTTACTCTCTACAAAAACAAAGCCTTGGAAAGACACAACAGCAGCCTTGAACTGTGCTTAAATCACTCCCTTTCGAGATCTAAAGTCTGCTTGTTTTTGAATTTTGAAAGCACGGGGTGGCTCGTTTAGCAGACTGGGGAAGTGAGAAAAGTAAAGTGAATGACGAGCCAAGGTACCACTTACTATTCCGGCAGTGTTTGTAGTCGTTGCTTATTATTCCGATCCTCGTTGTACGTGGCGGGGCGTGGCGGGGCGGGGCGGGCGGGGCGGGGCGTGGCGGGGCGGGGCGTGGCGGGGCGGGGCGGGCGGGGCGGGCGGGGGGCGGGGCGGGGCGGGGCGGGGCGGGGCGGTTTGGTGCTATCGCCCACATTCATCTCTTCAAACACGCCTCCCTACCCTCCGACCCTCGGCTGCCCTCGGCCCCACCGCGACACGCCCCAGCGGCCCTCTTTCGGGGCCTTCGGGGCCTTCGGGGCCCCAAGACGAAAGGGCAGGAGGCAGCCAGTCGCGTACAGGGAACCGCGGGTGATTGCGCTGATGCGGATGTCCCTACCTCGAAAAGCTTTGAAAGCCAATTTGAGGTGCTCAATTGAGCTCTTTGTTGTTGAACCATACCAAGGTCTGTCTCTCTGTGTTGTTGAACCATACCAAGGTCTGCCACAATTGAGTTCTGTGCTGTTGAACCATGCCAAGGTCTGGCTGGGTTGAGCTCTGTGTTGTTGAACCATACCAATGTCTTGGCTATTCTGAATGTTCTGATCAGCTTGGAGAAAGTCTACATCATCAGCAGCGCCCTACGGTCTAAGCCCACTTCCAAACTTTATCCTTTCCTTCCTAACAATCTTCTGACGATTTTCTTTTACGTAAACTGCAGCATTTTCCGTTTTGATTCCAAATTGATTCGGAAAGCTTCGAGCAGTGCCCTGCACTTTTCCGTTCCGTGCAGTCAATGTTTGTGTGTGTGTGGCTGGCAGTCGTTGGAGCCGAAAGCAGCCGAACGGGGTCGGAAAGACATGCACAAGCACATAGGAAACAGCAGTGGGGCTGGGAACTAGAGCCGGGGCCGCGAGGGGCGGGGGCCCTGGGGGCGGGGGCTGGGGGCGGGGGTGGGGGCGGGGGCTGGGGCAGGGCAATAAAATAGTGCTTGAGGTCCTGACTGCAACACAGTGTCATACAAGGGGCGCCTCACACCCTCTCGCCAAAAGAGACTGTCTCTCTCTCGTGGCCACCGCATCCACTCTTTCCGTTTCCTCGTGATTTGAGTCTCGCGAGGTTCCTGCACAGGATTTAACTGACACAGTTGAGTTGAAAGAGTCCGTTGGTGGTCAGAGTGGACTCTACTCGTTACGTTCTCTGCTGACCCGGTGAAAACACGAAACAAAACACAGCGGGCCGCGAGCACCGCGCACTCCTGGGGATACGGTTCGCACACGCGGAAAGCAGAAAGCAGTCATTTTTAATTCCTTCTTTCCAGTCTTGCTTCTCATTCAATTGCACCCTCCATTATGGACGGCCGAGGGGTGGGGGAGGTCCCATACGAATAAAAGTACAACGCATAAAACTTGGATCGGGTCCAGGAGAGCGGCTCCACTGCCAACTCGAAAACCAAAAGATGGCATGCAGAAAAAGAGGGCCGGCAAGTGCAAATGCCATTTCACCATCTCGCCGTCTGGATTAACGGACGGGGCCGCGTTAACGACAGGGCTCGGAACCGATACGCGCCGAGGCTTCGGGCTGTAAAATCTTACAACGGACTGCCAGTGGGCCAGAAGTCCGGTGGGGGCGGTTGGAACCCCTGACGCGTTTTGAGCTCCAGAGTCGCTAAATGGGACTCGGACCGAACGTGTGACCCCACCAATGGATAGCTCTCCGAACGAGGAATCCATTGGTGGGGTCACACGTTCCTTACGAGTCCTGTTTAGCGACTCTGAAGCTCAAAAAGCTGCTAGAGTTTTGGACGCCTGCGTCGGTCTTCCGTCCCACTGTGCATCGCAAGTTGAGCTCTTTTAGACTTCCTCAAAAAAATTCGCCGTTTTTCTTTTCTTTTCTGTGCGCTTGCGTTGTTTTTGCAGTGTGCTTGTCGGGCGTCAACGCTTCGAGCTGGCCTACCGCAGGATTCTCCCCACGATCTTCCCCCTCTATTTACCTCCGCGCCGACCTCATAACTGACATTTGTGTCCTGAACGTGTCCCAACAGTTATTGCGGCGAGGACGGACAGGGCTTTCTTCTCCTTCCTTTTGTCCCTCCTCCCTTGTTGCCAACAGGAGCGTCATGACACTCGAAAGGCTCTAATTTGCAAGCTTGCTCTTCGCTGGGCATTGTGTTGGGCGAGGTAAAACTGCGTTGCCTCAAATTGGCGAGCTTTTGTCGCGGAGGGATCGCCAGGGCTGCCAACAGAGCGATGGTGGATCGCCAGGGCTGCCAACAGAGCGATGGTGGACCACCAGGGCTGCCAACAGAGCGATGGTGGATCGCCAGGGCTGCCAACAGAGCGATGGTGGATCGCCAGGGCTGCCAACAGAGCGATGGTGGATCGCCAGGGCTGCCAACAGAGCAATGGTGGATCGCCAGGGCTGCCAACAGAGCGATGGTGGATCGCCAGGGCTGCCAACAGAGCGATGGTGGATCGCCAGGGCTGCCAACAGAGCGATGGTGGATCGCCAGGGCTGCCAACAGAGCGATGGTGGATCGCCAGGGCTGCCAACAGAGCGATGGTGGATCGCCAAGGCTGCCAACCTCGCTACCTCGGCGTTTATTACCTCGTATGTTTACCTGCGGCAAGCGTGACGCGCTGCCGCGCCCCTGTCTCAGCTTATCAGTGACACCCGGATTTAAACTTGGCGGTTGGCAGTCGTGGAATTTATCGAACGAAATGCCGCGGAATTCGGCGTCCGTTGGCGAGGATCCTTCTTAACCCCTTTCGTGTTATTGTCCCTCCTCTGGCCGTCCTATCTCGGCTTATCGGGTCAGATCTCACCACGACCGCTATTGACCTTCTATCTCTGTCCATCTCCCCGCCCCTTCACGGCCCCCTTTCTCTCTCTCTCTCTCTCTCTCTCTCTCTCTCTCTCTCTCTCTCTCTCTCTCTCTCTCTCCCTCCCTCTGCTGGCGCCGGCCTCCCTTTGCCCTAGACCTCGGTCCTAGGTGGCACCCTGCGTTGCGACACACCCAGAGCAGGGACTTCAAGATGAATCTGACACTGCCAAAAAAAGGGTTATCCAAGTTACTGGAATTTAGGTGATTTATTTTTTTAGTGACGTCAAGGACACTTAACGTCAACAAAGCGAACAGCTTATTCGGTTTGAATTTGAATTTTCCTCGCAGTGAAGACGACGTGTGTAACGTGGCCGCTCGGGGTAACGCAAGCGCGCAGCTGCCGCTGGGATTTAGAGCGAGAAATTTAATGAAACTGCCGTTGCTCCTGGCCGTGAAGAAGAGTTGAAACGTGTATGTTCAGTTTGGGGATGACGTCAGAGTCTCTCTCTCTCTCTCTCTCTCTCTCTCTCTCTCTCTCTCTCTCTCTCTCTCTCTCTCTCTCTCTCTCTCTCTCTCTCTCTCTCCCTCTCTCTCTCGCTCTCGCTCTGCCCGCCCCTCCCCTCCAGGAAAGCCATAATGCTACTGGGTGTGGCCATGGCTGCGGCGGGTCGCGTTGTAATTTTGTTACACTTTGTCTACGGATCCCCCGAGCCCTCCATCAAGGAGCAAGAAGAAGACTCGGAATGCAGAGTGGTGGTCGGAGGTTTTGGAAGGCGAGGCCGACGGAGCCGGCGAGGACGGTCGAAGCATGTGCGAGCCACTGCCAGAAACCGCGCGCCTTTTCGGGCCGCGTGGGCCAGAAGCCCGGTGGAGGCGGACAAAACTCTGGACGCGTTTTGAGCTCCAGAGTCGCTAAGCAGGACTCGAACCGGACGTGTGACCCCACCAATGGATTCCTTGTTCGGAGAGCAATCCATTGGTGGGGGCTCACGTTCGGTTCGAGTCCCATTTGTCCCAACTGTGTTTCAAGTAGGACACGAAAAAAAGCGGTATTTTAAAGGCGGCTGCCGGGCGTCGAACCCGCGCCCCTCCCTGATCGATGGACTTGCGACGGCCAGGCGGCGACCAGCGACATCCCTTGGCAGCCGTTTCCACACCGCTTGCAGTTCTCGCCGGCCTCACTGGCCGAGCGAATGTCATGCAAATGTCATTTGCAATTTGCATTTTATTTCCTCGTAATTTTGCCTTACTTTCTTATTCCTATTATATTTTTTTTTGCTCTATTTTTTTTTTGAAGGGTGGTGTGAGAAGTGCGTTTTCGGTGGGCGAAAGGAGCGACTTCGTGACAACGAAGGTTTTTTGTGAGTCCCTTTTGTTGTGGGTCGGCCACGCAGTGTCGCTTGCATCGGCCTTCGAAAATAAATACCAACATGTTTTCTTGTGTGGGTTCAAAGTGTAGCCGCCGTTTTTGGTCCCCCTCAAGCCATGCATTATTTCCTTTTCCAGTGGAGTGCCAGGGCGGGCAGGCGCGGCTCGGAAAAAGGGGGAAAATGTCCCGGATTGGGCAACGAGATGAACCAATCTGAGATGAGGCTTTAGTCCGCTTGCGTCCGCTTTGCGCCGTTATTCGGCTGGAGTGCGCTTCAATAAGGAATGACCCGTGACCTCTGCAGGCCGCCGCTCTGTCTCTCTCGCACCCCTACGGGGCGCCCGATGGGTGCGAGAGAGACAGAGCGACGACCCTCGGAATCAGTCTGCTGGCTAGAGGAGAGTGGGCCGCCGAGGACAAATTGGGGCTGGCATTCATTACCTTGTGTTTCCTTTTGAAAGAACTGCGAAAAATGTGAAATGTGGACCGACTTTCCGAGGAATTCCGTGCTAATGTCGTCTCTCTGTCTCCGCAGGCAGGCGGCGCGGGCGGCGTGGCCGCCGACTCGACCGCCATGAGCCTGGCCACCGAGACCTGGACGTCGCCGTCGGACACGCTCGCCGAGGACCACACCCGGAGCACGCCCGCCAACACCTCCGCCGACGTGACGCCCTGGGCCCTGGAGACCCGCCGGGAGCGCGCACATGTAAGCCAGGGGAGTTAAAGTCTACCAATGGCGGGACAGGAGCAGGGTGTACAGTGGGCCAGAAGACCGGTCAGAGTCGCTGAACGGGACTCGAACCGAACGTGTGACCCCCGGTGACCCCACCAATGGACTGCTCTCCAAACGAGCAATCCATTGGTGGGGTCACACGTTCGCTTCGAGTCCCGCTTAGCGACTCTGGAGCTCAAAACGCGTCTAGACTTTCGGCCGCCTGCGCCGGTCTTCTGGCCCACTGTGGGGTGTCTCGGCACGCGCCATCAAGAATTCAATAGCGGCGATGTGTTGCGTTAGCACGGGGATCACGGCGCGGTCCGTCCCGTGCCGTGCGGGGCCTTGTCGACAAGGCCGTGCTCGGACTGCAGAGGCGTCCTTTTCAAAGGGCCTCCCCGGGCAGCGCGGCCAGCGCGGCCAACGCCAACAAAGTGACTTAAATGGACACCCCGCAGGGCACGGCGGGGCGGGGCGGGGCGGGGCGGGGCGGGGCGGGGCGGGGCGGGGCGGGGCGGGGCGGGGCGTCGAGGAGAGGGAGGCCGGTGCGCCCCCAGCGAGCCCAGCCCAGGCAGAGTGCCGCGCTGCCGGGGCAGGTCAGGGAAGGCAAGCCGTAGCACAGTGGGCCAGAAGACCGGTGGAGGCGGCCAAAACCCTAGACGCGTTTTGAGCTCCATAGTTGGTAAACAGGACTCGAACCGAGCGAATGACCCCACCAATGGATTGCTCTCCGAACGAGGAATCCATTGGTGGGGTCACACGCTCGGTACGAGTCCTGTTTAGCGACTCTGGAGCTCAAAACGCGTCTAAACTTTCGGCCGCCTCCACCGGTCTTCTGGCCCACTGTGCGAAGGCGAGCCAAGGTCCGCACCCCACGGGTGGTTTGCTTACCGCGCCGCCGACCATCAGACTGATTCCGCAACCCTGTCTCTCTCGCACCGACTCGCAACGCCCCACGAGTGTGAGAGAGACAGAGCGACGAAACACACCTGCTGCACGTGAGTCCGAGTGGTGAAACTAAAATCAGTCGCTCACTTCCATTTTTTCCTCGGACGGCTCGTTTTGCTTGTTTCAACAGACGGTCCGTCGAGGCGGTGCCCCCCCCCCCCCCCTTTTTCCCCCGGGGTGCTCCTCGGGGTGCTGCGGACCGTGGCTCCTGGCGGGGCGCGTTGCGTCTTGCCGGAGCCAAGCTGGCCTACTTTCGCCGACCGCAAAAAAAAAAAATTAAAGAAAAATACGAATAAAAAAAAAGGAGTGGTCGCCAGAATGTTGCTTAGCGCAAGAAGATGACGTTCCGGTCGTTAATCGGACGTTGTCCGGAGAGGAAGCGAATTATCGCGGCGAAATCGTCGTGGAGGGGGAAAAGGGGGATGGTGGACTCGAACCGAACGTGTGACCCCACCAACGGACTGCTCTCCGAACGAAGAATCCATTGGTGGGGTCACACGTTCGGTTCGAGTCCTGCTTAGCGACTCTGGAGCTCAAAACGCGTCTGGAGTTTTGGGCCGCCTCCACCGGTCTTCTGGCCCACTGTGCTGCAGGCGACTCATTGACAGGGTGGCCAGCCCGCAGGCTTGCCAGACTGGCCAGCCTCCGGGCGTCATTTAAATGAGGGAAGGGTGGGCGGCGTGATGACGGCAAGCTGGTCCAGGCCCTATCCGGGCAGCTGGACAAAACACACACACACACACACACACACACACACACACACACACACACACACACACACACACACACACACACACACACACACACACACACACACAGAGAGAGAGAGGGCCATTCACACGCACGCACAATGGGATGGGGCTGGCCACCGGCTGCCCCACTGGGAGGTGGCTCGCGTCCCCCCTGCAGGGCCGTGGTGGCTTTGTGCTCGGTGGCGGCGGGGCGTACTCACGCGCGAAAAACTAATTCTCTTAGCGTCCCTGTCGTCAAACGCATCCGCCCACCTCGGCGGCCCGCCGCACAGTGGGCCAGAAGACCGGAGGAGGCGGCCGAAACTCTGGACGCGTTTTGAGCTGCAGAGTCGCTAAACGGGACTCGAACCGAACGAGTGACCCCACCAATGGATTCCTCGTCTGGAGAGCAATCCATTGGTGGGGTCACACGCTCGGTTCGAGTCCCATTTAGCGACTCTGGAGCTCAAAACGCGTCTGGAGTTTTGGCCGCCTCCACCGGTCTCCTGGCCCACTGTGCGCCGCTGCGCTGCCGGCCAGCAAGCGACCGACTGTCGGCGGTCTTGTGGAGGATCGACTTCCGGTCGACCGGCCGCGTCGTTACGGAAACTTTCGGGTTCGGCGAGTCGGTGGAGTCTGTCGACGCAACCTCGGGCTTTCATTACCCCGCCCCGGGCCCCGGTCGGCCCCAGTCCCCCTGGGCCGGTTAGCCATTGGGCTCCGACCTCAGCACTCTTTTGTTCCTGCAGTTACTGGCAGGCAGGCGGCCAGACCGGCCAGGCTGGCCCCGGGGTGGGTAGCCCAGGATGCTGTTATTCGCCAGAGGCTGGACAATGTACTTCGTGTCCCACAGGGGACTCCCCCACTGTTCAATCGTCATGTTGGTGGGAAATTGAATTTTCAGTTTGTGTATAATCTCTGCCAACGATTTCACAGTGTGCGCTTTCTCGCGAGAAAAAAAAGGGGTGGCGAATCGAGAGGGGATGGTCACGCTGCTGGCAGAGAGAGAGAGAGAGAGAGAGAGAGAGAGAGAGAGAGAGAGAGAGAGAGAGAGAGAGAGAGAGAGAGAGAGAGGGAGAGGGAAAGACAGAGGGGAGGGGGAGGCGACCCCGCCGGCGCTCCCCAAAAGTTTGGCGGGGCCGACCGGAGCAGACCAGAGCAGACCGAGGGTACAAGTTGAGTCGCCCTAGTCAATTACAGAACTGTTTTCCTCAAATCGACGCCTCGGATCGGCATGCCCGGCTTAATCCAGCGGCTGGAGCGGAGCGGGGCAAGCGCTCCAGCAGAGTGCTCTGCTAATGGGCGAGGCTGCGTGCAACCGGTGACCGGACGGCCGGCAGGGGGGCTCTCGTCTTTGAAAAACAGTGGCCCAGAAGACCGGCGCAGGCGGTCGAAACTCTGGACGCGTTTTGAGCTCCAGAGTCACTAAACGGGACTCGAACCGAACGTGTGACCCCACCAATGGACTCTTCGTTCGGAGAGCAATCCATTGGTGGGGTCACACGTTCGGTACGAGTCCCACTTAACGACTCTGGAGCTCAAAACGCGTCCAGAGTTTTGGCCGCCTCCACCGGTCTTCTGGCCCACTGTGGTTCCGTACGAACTTGGCAGGTGTTTGACTCCGGTGGTGGCTAGCGTTCCACCGTAAGATGCCCCCCTCCCTCCCGCCCTGGCAGGGAAAGGGGAGGGGGTGTCCGTGATTGAAGGGCTCGCTTATCTAAGGAGGAGGTCCTCGCAGGACCTCCCAGGACCTCCCAGGACCTCCCTGGGACGTGCCGCGGCTACAGAGGGCCCGCCAACGCGCCGCGAAGGGCCCACCGACCGGGAGCAGCTCAAATTTTCTCCGCTTGTGTTTCTTGCTCTATGACCCAATCTATGGCCCGATCTATGACTCGCTCTGCGATTTCCGCTTCCGCTTTTCGTGTCTCTACACTGTCTTGACTCCAGCCTCGCGTCTGCCGGGGGCTTAAGAACAAAACAAGTTTATCTGACCGCAGTATTCATTCGCAAGAAAAAGCACATAGTTCGCTGGTGGCGTGTGTGTGTGTGTCCAAACTAAATGCAGTACAGTAGCTGTTTAGCCAGTAGCAAGGCGGGGTCGTCGACCCCCCCATCGCGAAGGGTTAAAATTATCCCGAAATTATCTCGGCCCACTACTGCCCTCCTCCCCCTCCTGTCTTCCCCCCTCTCTCTCTCTCTCTCTCTCTCTCTCTCTCTCTCTCTCTCTCTCTCTCTCTCTCGTCCGAAAAGTCTTGGCGGCCCGTATCAGTGCGCGTGTAACTTTTATCGCTGCGTCGAAACGGCGACAATGTGTGCTTGCTGTTGTATTCTTCTGCTGGCCGCACCGCCGTAAATAGAAGTCTCTCTCTGTCTCTCTCGCACTCCTGCGGGCCGGCCCAGCAGTGCGAGAGAGACGGAGCGTCCGTATGCAGACTCGTCACGTGACGCGAAAAGCGGCCGAGTGATGGGGTTAAGGACTCGGGCCGAGATAGCATCAATGGCTGTCTCTTTTTTGCAAGTTTTTTTTTCTGCTTGATTTATTTTGGGCGGGTAGGTCTTGCGAGTAGCCTGGGCTGCCGCTGACTGCCTCGGAATGGGCGCAGTGTTCTCCTTCATAGCCCAACTTTTCTGATACTGAGGCTCACAAATCAATGCCTGCCAGTCCAGAGCGATGATAATAATAATAACAATAATAATCCTTATAATAATCATCGTCGCAGTAATAATCGTTGAACATTTTGACCAGCAGTTGTTTTATTTGGTAGCGCAGTGCGGGTTCACACCTTTTAGGGCCCGAAGACGTTTTCCGCAGACCCTCCCTGTACCACAAAGACCAGGCAACCCCCTTCTCTCTCTCCATCTCTCTCCCTCTCTCTCTCTTCCTGTCTCTTACTCATCCAGCCCCCGTCCCCGCTCCACGGTCCCTCGTCTGGTCGGGAAGTGGTGCTAACCTGGTCGGGATTAGGGGTCCCCCATAAAGCAGTGGGCCTTCCCTCAGTCTCTCTCTCTCTCTCTCTCTCTCTCTCTCCCCTCCGCTGGGGTGTTTCTCGCGTCATACAGCATCGCGAGAAAAAAGGAGGAAGGGGTATTCGAACCGGCGGCCCCTCCGCTGCCACACCAGGGCCGTGGTGGCAATCGGCAAACGCTTATCCAGTAAATGCGTTTGGCCCATTGGCCAGCATTGGCCAATCAGAAGGCGTCTGTTTCTGCTCTCCCCCGCTATCTCGCCCGCCTCGGCGAGCCTCGGCCCGCAACGCCACGCCGACCTCGTCGGGCAAAAACTCGAGCAGACGTTCGGAATCGGGGGGGGGAGGGGTATCTGGCGGAGCCCCGTTGCACAGTGGGCCAGAAGACCGGCGGAGGCGGCCAAAACTCTAGACGCGTTTTGAGCTCCAGAGTCGCTGAACAGGACTCGAACCGATCGTGTGACCCCACCAATGGATCCCTCGTACGGAGAGCAATCCATTGGTGGGTCACACGTTCGGTTCGAGTCCATTAGCGACTGGAGTCAAACGCGTGTAGAGTTTTGACCACCCCCACCGGTCTGGCCCACTGTGCCTTGTCTATCTTCCACGCAACCCCTCGTCTGTCTCTATTTTTTCAAACCATTTTTTTAAAAATTTGAGACTCCTTTTCTTTGTCACACCTTCTGGAATCTGTGTCTGCTGCCGAGCTAATGCGTGCTCTGTCTTTCCCCCCACAGGAGCGCCCCCTGTCGCCGCGCGGCTGGTCCACCTGGTCGGACTGGTCGACGTGCTCGCGGTCGTGCGACGGCGGCGCCTCGTACCAACTGCGGCGGTGCAAGTCCGCCAAGGGCTGCCGCGGCGAGGCCATGCGCTACAAGATCTGCAACATGCAGGTAAAGGACTGACACACAGCACAAACTGGTTTTGTTACAGCGCACAGTGGGCCAGAAGACCGGAGGAGGCGGTCAAAATCCCGGACGCGTTTTGAGCTCCAGTGTCGCTCAATGGGACTCGAACCGAACGCGTGACCCCACCAATGGATTGCTCTCCGAACGAGCAATCCATTGGTGGAGTCACACGTTCGGTTCGAGTCCTGTTTAGCGACTCTGGAGCTCAAAACGCGTCTAGAGTTTCGGCCGGCTGCACCGGTCTTCGGAGCCGCAGTGCAGTGCGGGCGCCTGCGTTCCGGCGGGTAGGCAACCCGCGGACTCGCCTGTTGGGCGGCTTGCCTACCCAGTCGACTGCAGGCGCTCGCGGGCAACGTTCCGGCCAAGGACTCGGTCGCCTTGCAGTGGCTGCAATCGCCCCCACCACACCGCATTGAAATGTCGTTTCTCGCTGCGATTTGCGTCGGTTTGTTTCCCGCCTCGTTTTTCTCGCGGCTCGCCGAATCGAAACCAATTTTTATCCGCGGCCGCGGCGATGTGGAACAAAAAAGAAAAGAATGGCTTTTCAACGACTTTTTAAAATCAATTTTGTCGCGCCCGGCCGCTTTGCGTTTGTTCTCATGCAAGCGGCGACGCCGTGTCAAATTAGAAGGGGAGGGGGGTGGACTTGGCTCGGTAACATCGGGAAGTGAAAGCAAGGGAACTGGGCGACGTTCAAGACACCAAAGTGGAACTGTCGCGATCCCCCTTGCCCCTCCCCACCCCCTTCCCCTCCCCCTTCCCCTCCCCCCACCTCTGTGGGACGCAATCACAATCTGTCAGGAGCAAAAGTCAAGAGCGGCCGTGATTAAAAATTCGTTTGCGGGGCGCGACGCTTTGGCGGCATGGCCGTCTGCACTGCAAAAAAAAGGCACCGCCAAAAAAAATTAATTTTAAAGCGATTTTACCCGTAGTTGTTGGCTCCGGACGTTTGAATTCCGCCTTTTTTTTTGAGTCGCGTGGATTTGAAATGGTTCTGCCGATTCGAACCTCGCGCCGCGCGAACAGAACTAATTGCGATGAAGAGGGGAAGGGGAAGGATGGAGGAAGTTTGGAGAGAGGAGGGGGGGGGGTAGTGGTAGTAACTGTGTGTTGATGGGGTGGAACTCATGCAGTACGCGGCCCGACTCGTGTTGCTCTAATCCGGAGTGTCTCTCTCTCTCTCTCTCTCTCTCTCTCTCTCTCTCTCTCTCTCTCTCTCTCTCTCTCTCGCAATGACCACGGATTAGAGGCTCACTGGAGGCGCGACTAGTGAGCGTTTAGACACGCCGCAATCGCAGAGTACGCGGAGCGACAACCCAGCTGCGGCCGCGAGGGGGCGGGGGGTTACAATGCTGCCAACCTCTTGGTATGAACTCGAGAAAAAAAGTTCAGAGTTTCAATTATGCAATAGCGAACCCTAGGCTCCCCGGCCCATACACAATACATTAATAACATTTCGCCAAAGTGTAAATTTTGAAGAAAAAACAGAGAACGCCAAGAAAAAGAAAGGCGGGAGGGGGTGTCGAACCCGGGTCTCGCGGGTCGGAAGGCGGACGCGCTAACCACTGCGCTAACGCGGCGCAGGCAGACGGGTTGAAAATAAGGGAGGTTTGCACGCTGCGCCAATTAGCCGACCCGAACGAAAGCGGCAACAATTAATGTATTCCGAAGTGACTTCTGCCGGGATAATGGGGCGGCTCGACCCCGGGCTGGCGCGCCCCACCCCGCCCCGCCCCGCCCCGCCCCGCCCCCGCCACGCCACGCCACGCCCCACCGCGCCGACAGCGGCGGTAATACTAAAGTAGCCTAACTGCCCCTTTATCTGCGATGCCTTTTTCTGCCGCGGCCACAACCAGCGCGCCGGATTTAAATATCCTCGGACTCGTCTTCTGCTCGCGAGGCGCCGGCCCTCTTGTTGTTGTTGTTGTTGTTTTGTACAGTGGAGTGTCCTCACTTCTGTGGGGCCACTCGGCGCGGAAAGAGAGTAGTGCCTCGCCCCGTTGGAGTGTGTGTGTGTGTGTGTGTGTGAGCGAGCGTGAGTGTGCACATGCGAGTCGCTAAATGGGAGCAAATTGGTGCAAAGGGGGGAAACCGAGCGGCCTGTCGCGACTGAGCAAATAGTATGAGGCACAGGGGGAGGCTACACCACACACACACACACACACAACACACACACACACACACACACACACACACACACACACACACAGAGAGAGAGAGAGAGAGAGTGTGTGTCCTTTCAAAAAGGGAAAATGGGTGTTGGAACCGCGCTGCGAAAGTCAACGGCTCTGCGTGTGTGGATGCGTGTCTACACGTCCCTCCTCCCCCCCCTTCCCCCTCCCCTGCTTTTGTGCTTGGCTCACGGGAAAGACCGACGCTGCTATACTCGATTTTGTTTTCCATTTGCACTACTGGAGAGGGAGTGTGCCAAAGTCACGGTCACAGCCTGACGTCTGACTACTGTCACTATGCTTTGTTAATTTTTTTTTACTTTTTTTCACCTTTTTCGTATGTAAATAAGCACCCATTTTTGAAACCTTGTTTCCAGATTTTTGGTATTTGTCTTTTCTAACACAGACCCTTGTGGTATTTAAATACCACTAGGGTCTGTACTGAGAAAAAAAATGAAAAAAAAAAAATTTTAAAACTTTTTTTTACGGTGTGCCCGCAGCCGTGCCAGGACGCCGTGGACTTCCGGGCGCAGCAGTGCGAGGCGTGGAACCGCGAGGAGCGACACAACCGCTTCTACCGGTGGACGCCGTACCACGACGAGCAGCGGCCGTGCTCGCTGGTCTGCAGGGGGGAGCCCGTGCCCGACGGTGTGCCCGACGGCGCGCCCCGGACGCGCGGCAAGGGGCGGCGACGCCGTGCCCGGAAGCGGCGCGGCCGCCGGGACCACCGCAAGGAGGTAGGTCTACAGTGGGCAAAACTCTGAACGCGTTTTGAGCTCCAGCGTCGCTAAATGGGACTCGAACCGACCGTGTGACCCCACCATTACATTGCTCTCCGAACGAGGAATCCATTGGTGGGGTCACACGTTCGCTTCGAGTAACCCGAGCCCCAGAGTCGCTAAGTGGAAGTCGAACCGAACGTGTGACCCCACCAATGGATTGCTCTCCGAACGAGGAATCCATTGGTGGGGTCACACGCTCAGTTCGAGCACCATTTAGCGACTCTGAGGTCTCATCTCTGGATTAGATGTCCCTGCGACCATCCCTCTGTAGAAGTGTCGCCACCGGCTTGCCCGCGGCACGGCGGCCTTCCATTATGCAAGCTCGACGTACCTTTTAAGTGACTCGCCGCGTATCGCCCGGCCGTGGCTCGGCCGTCGCCGGCAATTGAATTTGCCCCGAGTTGGGGGGCGGGCCGGGGGAAAAGTTGTAACTCGCGTGCCGCCAGGACGGCGACGACAACGGGGACGACGAGGAGGAGGAAGAGGACGACGACGAGGACGAGGACCACGTGGACGTCGGCTCGGGTCCCATCGTGGAGGTGCTGGCCCCCAAGGCGCAGGACGGCACGCGGTGCCGGCCCGGCAGCCTGGACATGTGTATCAACGGCAAGTGCCAGGTAAGCACAAAAAAAAAACCTTCAAAAAGTGGGGATTTGAACCCAGACTTTCGTGTTCCGAACAGGCCGCTCTTGCCGTACTCTTCTCATTTGCCATGAAGTACGAAGCGCCAGCCGGCTCAAAATGGCATGAAAAAAAAATCTTCAACGTTGCTCTTGCCGGGATTCGAACCGCAGTCCTCCGGTGGGGACCCGCAAGGCGTGCTCGCCACTGCCGCCGCCACTGCCGCCGCCACCACGCCTCACTGGCTGGAACAAGTCGCCATCCCAGGAGCATCGGCTGCTTGAGATTCATAGGGCGGCGCGGGCGATAAAGAGAGAGGGAGAAAAAAGGAGGGAGGGAGAGAGAGGGGCGGGTAAAGAGGGAGAGGCAGACAGTAAAACAGTGGTAGTCGGCCACCCCCTCGGCCGCCATCCGCCCTATCCCCTGAGTCAATAATTCCGCTCAAATCCGGCCTTGTTCAAGGCGTGAGTCCGGGCCACACAGGTAGGCCACCCAGGTAGTTCCTCCAGGCGCACACTGGGCCAGAAGACCGGTGGAGGCGGACAAAACACCAGCCGCGTTTTGAGCTCCAGAGTCGGTAAACAGGACTCGAACCGAACGTGTGACCCCACCAATGGATTGCTCTCCGAACGAGGAATCCATGGGGTCACACGTTCGGTACGAGTCCTGTTTAGTGACTCTGGAGCTCAAAACGCGTTTTGTCCGCCTCCACCGGTCTTCTGGCCCACTGTGAGGTGGCCCCTCCAAGTGGACGCCCAACAAGGCGTCGCGTGAGTCGGAGGCGCCGGAAAGACAGGAAACGAAAGACGGGGCCGTGTGGATGGTGTGGATACGGATACGTCAGCAGCGGCCGGCACACCGGCACCGAGTGCCAAGATGCCCTGGCCAAGTGGCGTCCAGGGAGCCCAGCGAAGCCAGCGGACGGCGTGAGGGATGCGCTGCAGAAGAGGGGAGGGGGAGGAGGAGGAGGCCACAACCCGGTACCTGGCGGCAACACCTACGGTACTCCAACCAAGGGGCAGGGACTGTTCTCTATTCTCTCCCTCTCTCTCTCTCTCTCTCTCTCTCTCTCTCTCTCTCTCTCTCTCTCTCTCTCTCTCTCTCTCTCTCCTCTCCTCTCTCTCTCTCTCTCTCTCTCTCTGCTCTGCTCTCACACACACACAAACACTTCGACACTGCTTCCACGGCCTCTGTATCTCGAGAACAACTTGTCTCCCTGACAAATTCATCCATTCAATAATGAAGTGATATGCTAGTGAGCCCCCCGGGGTGCAGTTGCTGGGCCTTCCCCCCCTCCAGCCTCTAGCTCCCAGTGTGATGGACGACCTTGAGTCGGGAGCGTCGCGATCGCTGGGCCGCCCCGCCCTGCTCGCCTTGTTACAGTGCAGCGTGCCTACGCAGCCTGCTTACAGTGTAGTGCCTCGCGTTTTTGGCGCGCGGCGCCGCGGAGGTTGCCTACACTGCATCCTGGCGCCAGGGCCTTGCATCTGGTTATACTGCCGGCCGCGGCGCGACGTCGCCGTCCTCAAGGCCATCCCAAGGCCGTGCAGGCCGTCCGCGCCGCGCGTGCAGGCCGCACAGTGGGCCAGAAGACCGGTGGAGGCGGCCAAAACTCTAGACGCGTCCCCAGCTCCAGCGTCGCTAAATGGGACTCGAACCGAACGTGTGACCCCACCAATGGATTCCTCGTTCGGAGAGCAATCCATTGGTGGGGTCACACGTTCGGTTCGAGTCCCGTTTAGCGACTCTGGAGCTCAAAACGCGTCCGGGACTTTGACCGCCTCCACCGGTCTTCTAGCCCACTGTGCGTAGGGCGCCTCGGTGGTCACGTGGCGACGGCGTGGCGACGCACTGGGAAACGATCAGTGTGCCTCCACTTTTACGGCTGGAGAGGGTAATTCTGCCTTCGGGAAGCGACGCGCGGCGACGACCGGCCGCGTGCCCAAAAAGGTAATGTTATTTTTTTTTTGAAGAGGGTGAAATTACCTTTTTTGCGGCGAGGCATCTTAAATTTAACGTAAAATAGATTTTAGGATCATGGATTAAAATGTGACCTATGCCTCAAAGTGGGCCCAGGAATCTCGTGTGGAGTTGGTGACCGGACGACTTTTCCCGATTTTCGTCGTGCGTGATCGGCCCTCTTTCTTGTCATCGCTGTCCGAAAACCAACTAGCTGGATCAAATCGACCTTTTTTTTTCTCTTTTCCGTCCATTTCTTTTTTTTTTCCAGCCGTAGGCCGAGAGCCTTGGCCTAGCGACGACGACGCACGCACGTCGGTTTGGAAGTGGTTCTCGTTTCCTCCGGTATTTCCTCGGTACTCTCCCCCACCCCTCTTCTTAGTTTTACACACACACACACACACACACACACACACACACACACACACACATACACACACACACGCCAACTCTTCGCGCTGTCCCCCACATCCATCGCCAACTCATCCGTGTCGAACGGCAGTCATAACTCGCCCGGCCCCGAGGCTCCAGCGCGGCTCCAGGGCGGCTCCGGCCCCGCCATCAAGCGCACAGTTAAGACCCTGCCCCATCCGGGCCAAGTTTTTCCTGGAAGGCCTCGACGGGCGTTTCGCGGAATCTCGCCGCGACGCCGCGCGCGCGCGTGTGTGTGTGTGTGTTTGTGTGTGTGTGGTGTGCGCGTGTGTGTGTGAGGGTGAGTGAGCAAGGCAGCACATCTTGCATACTTCCAGGGGCAAAGTACGTCTACCTTTAGACGGTTGGTTATCTGGGCGATATGGAACGGAACACACACACACACACCCACAGACACACAAACACACAGACACAGTATCAGCTGAAAGGGACCGTCCCTTCGAAATCATAGGGATTTTTTCCCTTGGGAGCGCCTACTGCGACCCCTGCCATCCAAAATCGTGTCAAAAACAGCAACTTATTTTTCTCTTAATTTTTCTGGCGCGTGTAGTTTAAATTTACCACGATTCGACTTGTCAGAATTTCGCCTGCTGCCAAAGTACGGTTCCAGGCAGTCCGTCCCGGTTGCCAGGACGACGGCGGCCTGCCCCAACGGGGCCAATAAAGGGAGAGGGCAGTGGCGCGTCGTGGACATGGCAAGGCAGGGCGGGTTCGTTGACTGGAGCTGTTATTGGCGTGCGTAAGGAGGTCTGACTGAGTCCGCGCTCAGATTCCGCCAAGCGGACAGACAGACAGACAGACAGGCAGACAGACAGACCGACAGTGCGGTATGGCCAGGCCTCAATTGGCGCAATCAGGCAGCCTCCGGCTGGCCGCCTCTGGCTGACTGCTCGGCCTGCAGAGAGTCGTTTTCGTCGCTCCGTCTCTCTCGCACATATACGGTACGCCCCATGAGCGCGAGAGAGACGGAGCGACGAAAACGACTCTCGCTTTGGCGCTGCACTTAATTAAGCAAAGGAGCCGTTTGTTGTTATTCCAAACGCGGGGGGGGGGGGGGGGGGGTGTCCGCTGAGCCGATGGCTCGCCGCGGCGAGGCCATGAAAGAAGTCGTAATAACGGAGCGTAATTTTAATGATTTTAGCCGGTTTAGCAAGCCGCCCTCGTAGCAGCGTATAGCCAAGCGGGGAGAAGGGAGAGATGCAGTTTTCTGTTCTTTTCTTTTTTATTTGTCGTGGTGGCTTTCTGGGAAAGTGTCCGCCATTTTTTTTCCAAGTATGGTACCCGACTTTCGTACCCACTAAACGTAACGCAAATTTTCACTATTTTTTTAAAAAATTCCTTTTTTTAGAATTTCTTTTTTAGTCTCCAGCTTACAACGTGGGCTGCAACCTGCGCAACAAACTTTTTTTTTGAAAGTTGGTACTACTGCTTTTCTGTTCCAGCACGTGGGCTGCAACCCCCGCAACAAAAGTTTTTTTTTTTTTTTTTTTTGAAAGTTGGTACTACTGCTTCTCTGTTCCAGCACGTGGGCTGCGACCTGCGCATCGGGTCCCGCAAGACGGTGGACGCGTGCGGCGTGTGCGGCGGCGACGGTTCGTCGTGCGCCACGCCACTGTACCACTGGGACACGGTGCCCTCCTCGCTGTGCAGCGAAGCGTGCGGCGGCGGTAAGGAGACTTCTTAAAAGTTCAAAAATTAAAATCAAAATAAAGTAACTTTTGCAATTTAAAAAAAAAATCTGGCTCTCCAAAAATTTAAAATTTGGTTCTTAATTTGATTTTTTTTTAAGTTATAAAATTTGGTTCTAATTTTTTTATACTTCTTCTTTAAACTTAAAAACTTGATTCTGAGAAATAAGAAAAAATATTCAGAAAAAAAGGTAAACATTTGTAGCAATGTTTTTAAAAAAATGTGTTGTTTTTGTGCAGGGTACCGCAGCGCGTCTCACGTGTGCAAGAACAGAGTGACCGGGCTGGAGGTGGAGGACGCGCTGTGCGACCAGACGCGGCGGCCGGAGGGCGAGGTGGAGCCTTGCAACACGCACCGCTGTCCCGCCAAGTGAGTTTCTAATCCCCTTCCGTCGTCGCACAGTGGGCCAGAAGACCGGTGGAGGCGGACAAAACTCTAGACGCGTTTTGAGCTCCAGAGTCGCTAAATGGGGCTCGAACCGAACGTGTGACCCCATCAATGAATTGCTCTCCGAACGAGGAATCCATTGGTGGGGTCACACGTTCGGTTCGAGTCCCATTTAGCGACTCTAGAGCTCAAAACGCGTCCAGAGTTGTGGCCGCCTCCACCGGTCTTCTGGCCCACGGTGCTTCACCGACAGCAGCCCCCGCGCATTTCGGACAAGAAGTCAGAAACTGGGCACAGCGAATCGTAAATCAGACACGTCTTGGCGTGGTGATTCGCAGCGATTCTCGGCGGTTCGCACGAGCCAGAAGAAACGGCTCGTAAATACTACTGTGTCCTGTCTCTGTGATTGGCCGGCAGGAACCATAAACGATACTGCTGAGTCTGCGCGCCGGCCTTCGGTACAGTGGGAAACGAAGTGGCGAAGCAGCGTCTGGACTTCGGCACGCGAGCTAAGAAAAGTTGGCTGTGGAAAGTAATTTAGTTAGCCCGGGCCGGGGTGCCGGGGCACACAGTCTAGTCTCGCGGCCCAAGTAAATAAATAAATGAGCCCGTCTGTGGCTCTCCGGGTGTTGCCGCAAATCCCAATGCGTATTCGCTTTAGTTTTCGCCGGAGGGTAGTTGAGAATAGTCTTCCAGAATGAAAAATGACGCTAATAAAATGTGGCAAGGTTGGCGGTGCTGAAAGTGTCACAGGTGTGTCAGTGACGTGTCACATTAACAGTGGTCGCCCCTGGAGGCAATATGATGGGGAATCGCGGCGTGTTCGCTAGGCCTTCTCGCTGCACGTGCTCTCTCTCTCTCTCTCTCTCTCTCTCTCTCTCTCTCTCTCTCTCTCTCTCTCTCTCTCTCTCTCTCTCTCTCTCTCGCACACTCATACACATACGATAATCATGTCACTGTCTGTCCGTCTCTGTTTCTTCCTCGTGCAATATCGGTGGTGACGTGTTGATGTGCACGCGAAAGGGAATAGCGATGAGAGAGACAGAGAGGGGGGGGGGGGGTGTCTCTGAGGGGCGCATTTTTTCACACGTCAACTCTCCAGCCGTGGCGGTGGTAGACCGTGGAAGACGCGGGGGTAGCTCCGTCTGAATGGGATGGCTCCTTCTCCCCGTCTTGGGGAGAGTAATCACCACCTCAGTGTTGCCACGCAAGCAGCGGCAAGCAGGCGAAAGCCCAAAAATCCCCGCGATGCACCGGCAGGGCGGCCAACCACAGTGGGACAGGGGACCGGTGGAGGCGGCCAAAACTCTAGACGCGTTTTGAGCTCCAGAGTCGCTAAATGGGACTCGAACCGAACGTGTGACCCCACCAATGGATTGCTCTCCGAACGAGGAATCCATTGGTGGGGTCACACGCCCAGTTCGAGTCCCATTTAGCGACTCTGGAGCTCGAAACGCTTCTTGCGTTTTGGCCGCCTCCACCGGTCTTCTGGCCCACTGTGCCAACCCGCGCCTGCCAGCCAGACACACCTTCTCGAGAGCCAAGCCCAGACATTGCCTCGTTGGCAGGCTGAGGTTGGCAGCCCTTGTGCAGCGCGGCAATGTTTTTCTGCTTATGTGGTGGCATCACTGCGCCAGCGCCAGGGTTGTCGATTTAAACTTAAAAAAAATTAAACTGTGACCGCAGTTGGGCGGCTCGCAGAGCAGGAAGGACGGTCCCAGGACGGACAGCGTGTCCTGTGGGAAGGGCTGGTCGTGATTTGCAGCAAGGTAGTGATGCCATTTATCACAGTGAAGCAGGCAGAAGCTCCCGGAGTCCTCGAGGAATGTGGTGGCTTTGCGTTGCTTCGCGTTGCTTCGCGTGCCGCTTCCCCTTTCTTATTTCCCTGTTGTTGTTCCCCCTTTAAGTCTAGACCCGCCCCGACTTAACTGCCGCGCGGCTTCGGCGGCCAAGTCGCGCAGCGGCGCCGGTTCAAATCTCAACGGGGACTCAATTTTTTTTTTCGCTTTTTTTTTCAGGTGGATTGCCGAGGCCTGGGAGATGTGCTCCGTTTCCTGCGGCGGCGGTGTCCGGCACAGGGACGTCTACTGCGCCGAGGTCATCAGCGGCAACCTCACCAAGGTGAGTCACCACCATTTTGTTGTTGCGTCGCGATTTTGGTCGTTTTGTCGCTTTCGTGTGACTGACAGGCCTAGCGGTGCCCAGGGGCAAGCCCAGGGGGGCGCCGGAGGCACTGGAAGGCTGGAAGGCGAGCCGTGTTCTTTGAAACCACTTCCCCGAAGATAGATAATTCGGAATCGAAATAATGGCCCTGCCACTCGGAGCCGCATCAATATTCTATTAAAACTTTGAGGGGGAGGCTCGACCCATCCCCCCCCCCTTCCCCCCTCCGGGTGCAAGCCCACAGGCCCACTACGGCCACGGCCTACAAGCACGTCACTCTGCTGCAGAGCCATTTACATAACGCTGCAACATTTTCCTCGCCTTTGTTTCCCTTTCAAAAAAAGGGAGGGGGTAGAGGAAGAAGGCGGGTTTTGAACCTTGGCCATGACTCCCCCAAAACGATTGGCGGCACTTTGCGAAGGTAGTCGAGTGGAGCGGATTGTCGTCTGGACTGGAAGAATCGACAGGCGGGCCTCTTTAGCACCGGGAGGGCGTGGCGGGGGGGGGGGGGGGGGGGGGGGGGATGCGGGCCTGGCAGGGCCTTACCTCCCGGAGTCACGCCACCCCGTGTTAGTGCATGCAGTGCCGCGGATCGCAGTGGAAGGGGAGGGAATCCTGCGGGAAGACGAGCGGCGATCCTGCAACATTCAGACGGGAAAACGGTGGATATACGCGGAGGGTTGGCCGCGTGGGTTAAGGCACCGGTTTTTCGATTTCGATCCGCCGGTTCAAATCCCGAAAAATTTTTCTTTTTTTTTTCTTTGTCAGGCGGCAGAGTGTAGGGACGAGCTCCACGTTGAACTGCTGTGATGAGTCGAAGGTTCCTTGTGGGAAGTAAGGGGAGGGGGGAGGGGCCAAGGTGGAGGGGGACGTGTTGCAACCCGAACCAATTCATCCGAAACCGCAACACAGGCACGCTGAGTGCTCTAATGGAAAGGAACGCCCCTTCTCGCGTGCATTACAACGCGTGTCCATTAATCACGTAACGTCCGTTTAATTACGTAACGCTCCTTTTTTGTGGGGGGGGGTCGGCCATCGGCAAGGCCTTCGGCGGCTCGAGTGCGTGGCGGTCAAGTCGACCCGCCTCGAGATCTCGTTCTCGACTCGCGGTGCGAACTTTGCTCTTCGGCGGCCCACTGGTTACTTCCCCGGCGATGCATTATTTAGGCGGGGCATCCCTGCATCCACACGCGCACCGCCGGAATGACAAGGGTTCGACTCCCGCGTCAAGTGAAAAAAATCCACTCCACCTTTTTTTTGTTTTTGTGTTTTGGGGGCACGCGACGTGCTTATTTTATACGAAAAGTGACCGCGGTCGCCGGGACCGCCGTCTTGCGGTCGAAGTGCGAACTGCACGGCGGGGGGGGGGGGGGGGGGGGGGTGAGAACAGAGGGTTCGGGAAAATCGTGCGAAATTCGGCAGGTGATGGCGGAGGGAGGGGCGCCAACAAACCAGATTGATGCACAGACCACCTTAAATCTAAATGAACCCACGGACGGGGTCGGAATAACAATCGAAAGGCGAGGATTCTCAGCCGCGCGCGAGGGAGAGAGAGAGAGAGAGAGAGAGAGAGAGAGAGAGAGAGAGACAGATGTCGACTCACTCCGATATTCCCTTCCCGCCCCGTCCGCTGGGCTGTCGTGCACCATTCTCGCTGCGGCGTCGACTCCGTCAGAAGTGTCACATTTTTTTTCGGATTTTTTTTACTTTAGACAGCGTGGCTTGCGTACCCCTCCTGCCCCCGAAGGAAAAACCCACCTTAAAAACATGACGCCACACTGGACTCACGACGAACAAGACTGTCTCCTGTAGTTCAGCTTCTGCGCGTACGTGAAGCTAAAAATAACTTCATGAAGAAAATTTTTGAAAAAATCATTTATTTTCTTGGCGTGCAATGAGGTAAACCTGATTGACTTTCCTCAGTTTGTGATATTCGGCAGGCTGCCGCACAGTGGGCCAGAAGGCCGGTGGAGGCGGCCAAAACTCTAGACGCGCTTTGAGCTCCAGAGTCGCTAAAGGGGACTCCAACCGAGCGTGTGACCCCACCAATGGATTCCTCTCCGAACGAGGAATCCATTGGTGGGGTCACACGTCCACTCTGATTCTCATTTAGCGACACTGGAGCTCAAAACGCGTGTAGAGTTTTGACCGCCTCCACCGGTCTTCTGGCCCACTGTGCGTTGGCAAGGCAATTGTCTGCGTGTAGTACACGTTCTAATTACGCAGGATTTCCTTCCCCGAGGCCCTGCTGCCGCTGCCCGGGGCACTGGTAGTCGGCTTGTAATGCGAAATCGATTACTGTACATACTGGGGCCTGCCCCCAGCCAGCCCGCCGGGGCACCCCAGCCAGGCGGGTGCCGAGGTGAAGATATTCTGCTTTCAATTTCGTCCTGCAGGGCGAGCCACCGGCACCTCCCTTGGAGCGCGCGGTTTTGTGGTCTGGGCCCATCACACCATCTCTGATGGATTGGCCACCCCGAGGAGCCCCCCTCCCTCCCCTCCCACCGCTCCAACCACGACCTTTCAATCAGAAAACCTTGAGGCCCCGAAGTGTTCCCGGCACGCCACGGCCAGGCCCTGCCAGCGTCGGCCCGGTCTTTAGGGAAGTTTCGACTGTCGAATCTGAGTGTCTTTGGATCGCTGCCGCCTGCTCAGGTGCGACTGCCTGGTGTCACGCAGTCTCTTGGCGAATAAAATGGGCACACTGTCAAAAAAATTCTTAGGATTGAAAGCAGCTACGAACGTACTGTTTTGGCCAAAATTAACTCTTTTCTAAAGTGTATCAGAATTTTTTTTTTTTTTTAGATTTCTGAAGTGCAGCTTTTCCTCGTAGTTGCGGGGCCTCCTGGATCGCTCTGCCCACCAGGGCGGCCAGGGTTCAGGGTTCCCAGAACACTGTATTTATGCACATAACGCATGCAGCCTGATTGCACCGCCTGCCGACCCATTACTCTGATTAAAGCCATGCATTCCCCACTTTAAATTCCAGTGACACCCTGTGTGTTTTACAGCGTTTCCGATTCCGGACGCTCTTGACCGATCCTGGAAAATCCCCCCCCCCCTTTTTATTTTTGTAAACTGCGATCGGGCGGACGGACGGAGAGAGCGAGACGGCGAGTCGGGTCTCTTCCGACAGTATGGAACTAACTTTTGCGGGACTCTCTGCTCTCACAAATGATTATGGAAATTTGAAACGAAATGCGAACGCGCCCGAGCGATGTCGGCCAACCCGCCAAATAAGTCGCAGGTTTTTTTTACATGTTTTTTTTTTTTTTGTTCCGCGGAGCAGAAGACTGCGCATGTAGATGACCCCTGCCGTGGGCTGGCGGGGCGGGGCGGGGCGCGACGAGGGGCTGAAGGCTGAACCCTCGACATCCAAAAGCACTTCCTCCAGGAGCAGCCCAGGAATCGGACTGCCGAGATGAAGCCCCTATCTTTGTTCCTGGGCGCCCGATAGCTCCTGCACCGTTATCGACTCCCTGGAAGGCGCTAATCCCTCTCTAGTTTCCTGGAGAAAAATGCCATTTTTTTCGTTTTTGTATTTCTCGTCGTTTGTTACCATTTTTTTGACGTAATTTTCGTCAAGGGCGGACGCGGGAAAGAGGTTCCCGGGAACGGATTGCTGAGGGGGGGTAAGGAAAACAGATAACACTATCCGCAGAATAAACTGGCAGAGCGATGGAGAGAGAGAGAGAGAGAGAGAGGAGAGAGAGAGGACTGTAAAAGGAAAAGTCCACACGGAAGTCCTTCCCCGGGGCTGGCCCCAGCCGATGGCTCCCCCCAAACAACGGAACAAAAGTCAATTTAAGTCATTCCATATTTCTAATGGATGCAGTCTGCTAGTCTGCTAGACGTCCCCGCTTGCCTTGCCCTTCTTGGCCCGTCACTCCGACGAGAAAGATACGTCGAGAATGCTGTCGACATCAGAAAGAAGCCTCCAACCGAACCACAAATCGGGTCTCTAGATCCCGTTTCTACCGCTGCTGACGAAGCGCCTTTTTCACAGTGTGCCGAACTCCTGGTGGGCGAGGGCGAGGTACTGCCAGTGTAATAACTAGCTGATGGTCTGACGGTGTGCTGAACACATGTAGCGATAGGCTGTGGGGCGTGGGGAGGGGAGGGGAGGGGGTAGGTCTGTTTGCTCAGGACTCAACCCTCCAGGAGGGCGCCTCAGACTGACTCTCTCTCTCTCTCTCTCTCTCTCTCTCTCTCTCTCTCTCTCTCTCGCTCACGCGACGTGCCACCACACCGATAGACGAGGATAGACGAAGTCGGAGTCAGGAAGATATGAGAGAGCCGGGTGCCCGTAGGACAAGGGAGAGACAGAGACGGGGGGAGGGGTGGGGTGAGGGGGGGGGGAGCGAAGAGGGCGCACCGGGGTTCCCCTCTGGTTCAGCCTGTTCGAACAAACTTATGGTGGAATTGTTTTGCATATATTTCCGTCGACGACGTGGCGTCTGCCGTGTTGTTGCGGCAGTAATAGTGGGGGGATAATGACTGGAGGAGCGGCCGAAGACTTGCAACCCCCCCCCCTTTCCCCTCTCCATTCCCCTACACCGCAAAACGCAGCTAGGAGGATGCCCGTGTTTTCAGGCTGCATTTTTGCAACACGATATTGCAGCGGAAATGTGCCACCACCAGTCAATCTACAATGCAATAATTTTTTAAAAAAAGTTTCAAAAAAAAAACTATCATTTGGACTGGATTTGAACCTAGACTTACCGATTGGAAACCAGCTGCTTGACGCACTCGTCCACCAGGCTCTGGCTAATCCACCAGGAACACGTGCTTGAGGAAGGCTCCGCCAAGATTTATTTGAGAAGACTGTACGTCGCGCGCTCGGGGCCCGGGGGGGGGGGGGGGCTGGAACTCCACCAGGTGGAACCGGAGCCACGATTAGGATCTGTTGGCCCGTGCCTCCCTCCGCCGCACAGTGGGTCAGAAGACCGGTGCAGGCGGACAAAACTCGAGACGCGTTTTGAGCTCCAGAGTCGCTATGCAGGCCTCGCACCCAACATGTGACCCCACCTATGGATTGCTCTTCGAACGAGGAATCCATTGATGGGGTCACACGTTCGGTTCAAGACCAGTTTAGCGACTCTGGAGCTCAAAACGCGTCAGGAGTTTTGGCCGCCTCGACCGGTCTTCTGGCCCACTGTGCGCCGTGCCCCTCCACTGCGAGGGGCTATTCATCTGGATATTGGAGGGCTGTGGCTGCATCTTCACTGTCTCGGCGTGCCGGCCTTTGAGCCCAGCCTCGCTGCCGCTTGCAGCTTGCGGCCCCCGCGGCCAGCGCAGCGATGTAAATATGAGAAATTGGTCCGCAAGATGTATGAGAAATCTGAAAGCAGAGGACAAAGTGGAAGGAACAAAGACAGTCAATCAGGGGAATGGCTACCTCTCTCTCTCTCTCTCTCTCTCTCTCTCCTCTCTCTCTCTCTCTCTCTCTCTCTCTCTCTCTCTCTCTCTCTCTCGGCAGTCCGTCTTTGTCTCGCACACGCCTTGGGCTGCTCGGCACTCAACCTTGAGTTAATAAGTCGCAAGACGCGCGCCACGCGAGCAGCGACAGAAGAGTACTCTTCTTGTTTCAGACTGACACCGAGTGCGGTATCTCCGCTCCCACCCTTCTCTCTCTCTTCTCTCTCTCTCTCTCTCTCTCTCTCTCTCTCTCTCTCTCTCTCTCTCTCTCTCTCTCTCTCCCCTCCCAGTGCCTCATCCCCCAGACGCCCTTTGTTTTAGCCGCATACATCTGCATTTGTCTTCACGATTTTCCTATTGTCGCCAAACAGAGTGCCTTCCCTAGTTCTTCGTTCGCCCGTCCCTTCGCTCCGTCACCTCTCTCTCTCTCTCTCTCTCTCTCTCTCTCTCTCTCTCTCTCTCTCTCTCTCTCTCTCTCTCTCTCTCCCGCCTTTGACTACTGACGTCGGCTCCTCGTCTGCCTGCTCCTTTCCCCCTCCACGTTTAATCTTCCGCCGTTTTCTCAATAATCAATCTCTCTCTCTCTCTTTCCCGTCCAAGACAGCAGCTCCCTTTTTGTCTTTTTTTCGTCTTTTTTCCCGTGTAGGAAGTAAGTGTTGCGATTGAGGTCAGTCTGCGGCGGCAGTGTTACGTCACGGGGACCGCTGCCAAGTCAATCGGTGCGGAGTGAGGAGAGTGTGTGTGTGTGTGTGTGTGTGTGTGTGTGTGTGTGTGTGTGTGTGTGTGTGAGTCCTTTACGTAGCTCTGTCTCTCTCGCACTCGCGGGGCGTCCCGCGAGAGACAGAGCGACGAAAACGGCTAGTCCGCTGCTCGCCACGCGCCGCCGCCCCGCCCCGCCACCAGTCCGACTCGCTGACTGCAGACAAGGCTACCTGAAGTACAAACTGTCAGGCTGTCGCATCGTTTGCATATCGCGCGCTGTGCACACTGCGCGGACTAATAATGGAGAGCTCGCGACGAAGCGATGAGTTCACGCGACCTGACCTCACTCCAACTTTGCTCTGCTCTGACCAGAAAACGAAGGCCCCTGAGTTCTCGCGGTTTAAGGCATCTGCCGCCTTTTGGTTAGCATTGCAGGTAGCCATCGACCGTCGAGAACCCACGGGTCTTCGTTTTCTGGTCAGGGTCTATAACCGAACTCAAACCCAAACCTAACTCCAACCTCACTCTGACGAAACTCTAACCTAACCTAACCTAACCTACCCGTGCCCGCCTCGGCCCCGCTCCATCCTTGACCCAACCGGCCTTCCCCCTCCGCGCTGCCGGCTGGTTTGGCACTGCGCCTGTCTCTCTCGCACCCTCGCGGGCACCCCATGCCGCCCCGTGAGTGCGAGAGAGACAGACAGGCCGTTCTCTCCAGTGATGGCGCCTGGAACGACTTTGGCCTGCATTGAGACGTTTGTGGGCCGTGACGCCGCGTTATGTACTGATGCCCTGCCGGTACACTCCGCGGCAGAAGTGGAGGAATCCTTCGGGTTGGGTTCGGCAATGTCCGGTACACTCCGCGGCAGAAGTGGAGGAATCCTTCGGGTTGGGTTCGGCAGTGTCCGGTACACTCCGCTGCAAAAGTGGAGGCGTCTTTCGGCAGTGCCTTCTCAAGCTGGCGACTTAAGCAGCGAGGGGCCCAACTGCTGATCCTACACCACAGGGGCGAACAAACGACAATATTGGGACCAATAAAACTATCAGGTGGGGGAAGGGATTGGCGTCAGCAGAGCGAGAGAGAGAGAGAGAGAGAGAGAGAGAGAGAGAGAGAGAGAGAGAGAGAGAGAGAGAGAGAGAGAGAGAGAGAGAAGGGGGAGGCTTAGCCAAGTCGGGGAAGGTCAATGCGGTCTCAAATAGAAATAAGACTCACACAAGGCACTGCCAGATAACCAGTCGGAGCTACCGAGTGTATACACTGGTCCCATTATGCCGGGTACTGCTCCCCGCCCGCTCTGCTTGTGCTCCCATAACTTTCTCACTGTTGAATTTGTCGGATGGGTAACAGCGTGCTCGGGCCTTGAGTGACTGGGGGTGGGGCGGGGAAAAGGGGGGGAATGGGGGTCGCAGTGGTGGTGGCAAATGGTGCGTTAAGATTGCGGCATTTCGTTCCGCCCCTGGTTGCGCCCCTGGCTGCGTGCTGTGCCTGGCCCGCCTGGCCCGCCTGGCACGGCGGTACCGCTCGGAGGCTTGGAACTGCCGCGCCAGCCGCGCCGCTAGTTTCAAGTACGCCATACTCCGATTTGACTCGCTCGGTCCTGCCCCTGGGATCTGCTTGGTCTCTGTGGTGCTCCTCCACTGATGGTTTTTTTTCTAAACCAAAAATTTGCATTCTGTCAAAAAAAATCACCTGAACAATTGTTTTTTTCTGAAACAAGGGTTATTTTTCACTAAAAAGTTTATTCACCAAAATAATTTTTACCATGTTTTTTTTTCCAAAAGTTTTTTTAACAAATGATTTTTTTATCAAAAGTTTTTACCAAAAGTGTTTTCCTCAAGAGTTTTTTCACCAAAAACTTTTTTGACCAATTTGTTTACCAATTTTTTAAAACCCAAATTGGCTTTAATTTTTATTTTTGCTTGTTTGACGTGTCCTTGTTTCTTTTTGGCAGTGGCTAACCTAATCCCCGCTCTGTTGGCAGGTCTCGGACGACATGTGCTACGGCACGGCCAAGCCCCGCCACAAGGAGCCGTGCGCCTCGGAGAAATGTCCCACCTGGGACTCCGGGGAGTGGAGCGAGGTGAGTCGAGCACGCCGAACCGCGCCAACCGCGCCAACCGCGCCAACGCCCCGAATGCAGACGGCACTGTTAAAACCGGAGAGACTTTGTCTTTTCGCGCAGCGTAGCGCCTGTGATGCGGTGGGTAGGCAACGCGCCTCGCACGGCGTCGCGACGGGCCGGCCTACGCTGCAGGCTGCACGCGGCCGAGACGCGTTTTGAGCTCCAGAGTCGCTAAACGGGACTCGATCCGCGCGTGTGGCCCCACCAATGGAGTCCTCATCCAGCTTGCTTTTGTTTTCTTCGAGGGGATCTCTTGGCGGTAGGTTGGCAATCCGTGCGTGGCTGCGCGTGAGTTTGCCCGCGGCCCTTTCCGAGACTGTTGCCAACTGTTGCCAACAGAACAACTCCTCCTTTGATGTGTCCCGTCCGTCCGTCACTCCTCGCTCGCTCGCCACTTTTAAACTCAGTCACGCTTGCCTTCTGCGCACTCTGAAAAAAAAAAACTTTCGCGCTGCGGAATAGCGAGGAAAGCTGAATCGAATCCACGTTTTCCGGGAAGTCGAAATGTATCTTGTGTTTGTTTTTCAACAGTGTGTTAACGCGCGCTTAGTCGAGCACCGGCACTAGTGGCCGATAACATCTGGAGGTCAATGCATGTCGACTCCACTGCCCTCAAACGTCCAAATGACGCCCCTATATCGGGGCCCCTCCCCCCCCCCCCTCGATTTTTACCCCACCGAGCATCAGAAATCGATCCCCTTGTGTATTCGCCGCCGCGCCAGCCCGCCAGACCCGGACGCCCGCTGTAAATAAAGTAGTGTAAAATTTACGCGCCTGTCATCAGCGCGCCGTGGCGGACACGGGCAAACACTGGCACTGGAAAAAAAGGGGTGGGGGGTTCCTTCATTTTTGGGGGGAATTTTGCGAGTGGACTCGAGTTGGTGTGTAGGAAACAAACCATCATCAGCACTCAAAATTTTTTTTAAAGAAATTCTTTTTTTTAAAGTTTTTTATAGTTTGACATTTTTTATGCAGGCAAAGCTAAAAAGACAATAAAAAGTACATTTATATTTTTTTTTAGTTTGACATGTTTTTGATTTGTTTCGATGTCGGCAGTGCTCCGCGAGCTGCGGCATGGGCATCCAGACGCGGCCGCTGGCGTGTGTGGACAGCTACGGCTCCTCTCTGGACGACACCGCCTGCGATCCGCTGCGACAGCCGCCCCTCACGCGCACCTGCGCGGCGCCGTCGCCGTGCCCGCAGCACGCCTACAACTCGCTGCTGCCCACCTCAGGTACAGTCTAGGCGCAGTACCCGGGCACAAGTACAAAGTGAAACTCCAGCAGCAACACTTAATTCCATCCACGATCTGCAAAGTTGTTTCTTTTTTTTTTTTTAAATTGTCGGTTAGATGTTTTGTAACACAGTGCCTGCACTGTGGCAAAAAGGTACGGAAAATCCTGTTAATTTTTTTGCCAGGATTCTCCGTAGCCCTCTTATCAATATTCTCCGTAGGCTCTTACAGTATTCTCCGTAGGGCCGCACAGTATTCTCTGTAAATCCGCACAGTCTTCTCCGTAGGACCTCGAAGACTGTATAGTCCTACGGAGATCACTGTGCGGTCCTACGGAGAATACTGTGCAGTCCTACAGAAAATACTGTAAGAGCCTACGGAGAATATTGATAAGGGGCCTACGGAGAATTACCACAAGCTGTTTACAGAATTTTCCGTAGCTTTTTGCCACAGTGTGGGGGTCACCCAGAATAATGGCTTCTTGGATCAACTATATAACTTCTTTGGTTTAAAAAAAAACACACATTTTGATCCAATTTTTTCTTGTTTGACGAAGAAAAAGCTCTGATCAAAGGTTTGACCTAAAAATAAATAATTTTAAAAAAAAATCAGAAATCTGGGTTTAGTATCTAGTGAGCTTGTTGACAAGGAACGGTTTGAGAACGAGGCTTCTTGAAATGGCAGAATCGGGTGAGGACGACCAGGACAGCTTCGACCCGGACCTGGACTCGGACACCGACTCGGACTACACCGACCCGCTGCTGCGGCCCTACCCGCCCATGCCGGCCATCGCGGAGCGGCTCGTCGGCGGGGCCAACACCGACCGGGCGTGAGTACACTGGAAGGCCGAAGCAAAGAACAAAACACGGAGGAAAGAAGGATGGAAAGAAGGGGACTCGCGTTGAAGGAAGGCTGCTCTCTTCTACCGGTGCTCGGAACAGTCTCCCTGTAATACTCATTCCAGCCTGTATTCGAGATGAAAGACAAACAAGCGAGCTTGTGTTTTAAAAAACAAAGTTTTCGGCACCGGTTGAAGGGACTTTCCTTTCTCTCCACGTGACTCCTCTCTCACTCGCTCTCACTGTCTGTCTCCGCTCTCAAGACCCCTTCCCTGTCTCTTGCAGCCCACACAAAACGTTTTTCTCGTGTGGTTGGGTGTACATGAGGTAAACCTCGCCTTCCTTCGCCAGTTTCATGATTCGTCTCATTAAGCACATCGTCATGGTTGTTAGATTTGTTTGTTTCGGACGGCAACCTCTGTGCACGTTACTCTCTTGAACCAACTATGACCGTCGCCACTGCCATCTGCTCTCTCTTACGACTGTTTGCCACGCTTTCAAGTCTTTCAAAGAGCACGCGGTGCGAGTGCATTGTTGGTTTCACTGAGTAAAGTGGACCTCTCACTGCATTTTAGGCCCACTTTCGAAATCGCACCTTGGAATGCGTTCCTAGCGCATGCATTTTCTGGAAGCAGGGGGTGCCCTGTGGTAGGCTCACCCTGTTTCGTAGCTACTCTAGAAATTCGGTAGTGTACGTCTGAAGATGTCAACTCCGCATGCGTGAGAGTGCATTCTAGCAGTTAGGAAAGATCGACATAATTTGCTGCAGCGTTTCTGACTCGTCTGGTTTACATCGTCCGACATCGTCGTCTTAATGCGAAAGTGCTTGGAAAGAGTTTTCTCGCCGTGTCTGGCGTACGGAGTTCCTAGAGTGATGATTGAGGTTGATGTTGGTACACTGGTAGTAGCATGTTCACAACTCACGAGGTCCTAAGTTTTCGTCTAGCTGTGCACTTGATCCAAGCGGCTACCACCGGATTTTCAAGCGTCGTCTTTTTCAAAATTGTTTTGCTGCATTTAGAAATTTTTGTTCTCACGACAACTTTTTCACCCCATTTTTCATTCATACCCCATTCGTTGGACGCCCCCGCACGTGAAACTCGTTTTGTGGTGAATGCAAGGTCAGGGCTGCTCACGATCGAAGTATTTCGGAACTCTGAAAACAGTTGGCAGCACTACCGCGCATGTCGCAAACTTTTAAAATAATACTTGGTTAGACTTTTTCAGCCCAACACTATTATTTCCCCTGTTGACTGATTTTGTGCTTCTAGGAAGCACTCACAATAGGTTTTTTTTTCCATACCAATCTTACTTGTTTCCCCCTTTTCGTTCTGGTCCAATCTGTGTAACTACAGCATGCGAGACGAGATTGATTTTTTACTTTGAAATTCCATAGTGCATCGTTTATTGTTTCTATGCAAAATAATGTATTTGGAAGGAAATACGCATTCTGACAGCGTCCCGAGTAGTATACGGTAGGAATTTTGGCTCGTTATCGATAGTAATACATTAATCTGAAACCTCTTTGGTTCTTACAACGGAGATTCAAGTGAACGTAGATTATATCATGTCTTTTTATAGCACCCGTATTCTATAGACAAAATGATCATAGCGTCTAATTTCATTTTCTTATCAGTATGACAGTATTTCAAATTCTTTACCTGTTCGTCGCTCGGGGTTGTTGCAAAACCGCGAGAAAAATGTTGTTAAGAAATTTTGTTGTTGTTTAGGCATGTGTGATGACGTATTCAAGGCCCGGATCCAGGGGAAGTAAGGGGGGTCACTATCGTTGGGCACCAGGTAGGCCACCTGGAAGGCCGGCAAACATATCTACTTTGCCTCAAGTGGGCGAAAAGCGCCACATTACACAGTGGGCCGAGGCGGCCAAAACTCGAGACGCGTTTTGAGCTCCAGAGTCGCTAAATGGGACTCGACATGAACGTGTGACCCCACCAATGGATTGCTCTCCGAACGAGGAATCCGTTGGTGGGGTCACACTTTCGGTCCGAGTCCTGCTTTGCGACTCTGGAGCTCAAAACGCGTTTAGAGTTTTGACCGCCTCCACCGGTCTTCTGGCCCACTGTGCGCGTCACCCCCTCGTCACAAAAATCCTGGATCCGCGCCTGGCGTCTCCGAAAGCGTGTTTCGAGCGTGCGCTGCTTCCAGCTTCCTGCCCGGCCCTTGGAGCCCCTGCTCGGCCACGTGCGGGGAGGGCTGGCAGCACCGGGAGGTCCACTGCCGCGTGTACCTGGAGGGCACCAAGGCCAGGGCGCGCATCGACGACCGCGAGTGTCCGGGGCCCAAGCCGCCGGACAAGCAGACCTGCTCCGGGCCGCCCTGCATCAGGTACCTAGTTTTCTTTGTAAATCTTACAATATTTAAAAAAAAACAGATTTTAAAAGACCTAATTTTTTACATAATGTTCTCAAAAAAAGATTTTGTGGATTTTTTTTTCAGCAGCTTGATGTGCTTTGATCTTTAAAAAATTGCAATAATTTTTTTTAACCTAAAAGTTTTAAATTTTCTCCAAAGTGTTCAAAAAATCTCTAATTTACATCTTTTTAGAAAATTAAAAAAAAAAAACATTCTAAAAATTTCAATTGTCCAGCACTATGACGAAGAGGTTCGTGGTGGGCGAGTGGGGCCCGTGCTCGGTGACGTGCGGCGAGGGCGTCCAGCACCGAGAGGTGTACTGCCGCCTGTTCCTGGAGCTGTCGCGCGGCACCACCACCCTCAAGCAGGACCAGTGCCCCGGCATGAAGCCGCCAGAGTCGCGCTCCTGCACTGTGTCGCTCTGCCCGCTGGCCAACACGTGAGTCGTCTGTCTGTCTGTCTGTCTGTCAGTCTGTCTGTCAGTCTGTCTGTCTGTCTGTCTGTCTGTCTGTCTGTCTGTCTGTCTGTCTGTCTGTCAGTCTGTCTGTCTGTCTGTCTGTCTGTCTGTCTGTCTGTGTGTCTGTCTGTCTGTCTGTCTGTCTGTCTGTCTGTCTGTCTGTCTGCTCTCTTCCGCCGAGTATAACGCTCTCTCTCCTCCAGGCTGGACAGCAGGCAGGACCACCCCATGGCGGACACCGCCGAGTCGCCCCGCATCGGCGGCCGCAAGGGGACGTTCTCGTGGAAGGAGCTCGGCTTCGGGGAGTGCAGCAAGTCCTGCCTTGGAGGTCAGTTCCGGCCGCAGGCAACACACTGCCAAAAAGGAAACAAAAACAACAACAACGGTGTGTTTGGTGGTTGCAGGCGTCCAGGAGTCCATCATCCAGTGCGTGCGAGACGACGACGGCAAGCCCGCCGCCCCCTACCAGTGTAGACACGTAAGTTAGGACGCATTGTACAGTGGGCCAGAAGACCGGTGGAGGCGGCCAAACCCCAGACGCGGTTTGAGCTCCAGAGTCGCTAAACAGGACTCGAACCGAACATGTGACCCCACCAATGGATTGCTCTCCGAACGAGGAATCCATTGGTGGGGCCACACGTTCGGTTCGAGTCCTGTTTAGCGACTCTGGAGCCTAAAACGCGTCTAGGCTTTTGGCCGACACCGGTCTTCTGGCCCACTGCGAACCAGCGGGAGGCGCTGGCAGTGGCGTGACGGTGGCCTGCTTTGCGTGCCTGCAGGAGCCCAAGCCGGAGCAGCGGACGCGCACCTGCAACGACCAGCCGTGCCCGCCGCGGTGGAACGTGACGGACTGGTCCACGTGCTCGGACGAGTGCGGCATGGGCATCAAGATCCGCGACGTGACGTGCCTGCACGAGGTCACCAACACCAACCTGGTGCCCGTGCCCAACAACCGCTGCCCCGCGCCGCCGCCGCCAGACCGCTCCTACTGCAACGTGCTGGACTGCCAGCCCGCCTGGAACGCCTCGGAGTGGAGCAAGGTGAGTTGGATGCACGACGTATGGGCCGACCGCACAGTGGGCCAGAAGACCGGTGGAGGCGCGGCCGCAACTCTCGACGCGTTTTGACCTCCAAAGTCGCTAAGCATTAATCGAACCGAACGTGTGACCCCACCAATGGATTCCTCGTTCGGAGAGCAATTTATTGCTGGGGTCACACGTTCGGTTCGAGTCCCATTTAGCGACTCTGGAGCTCGAAACGCGTCGAGAGTTTCGGCCGCCCCCACCGGTCTTCTGGCCCACTGTGCGGCGGCACTGTTATTGCCTACCCTCAGCAGGGCCCCTGCCAACGGGAGAGTATGCAACGCGCCTCGCAGCCGTGCGCCGCGACAGCGTGTTGCCTACCCGCCGGGCTGTCCTCACAGACGTGCCACAGACGTGTCACAGACGTGTCACAGACTCACCCTCGTTGTTTCGCAGTGCTCGCGGCCGTGCGGCGGCGGCACCAAGACGCGCCACGTGACGTGCACGCAGCGCATGGCGCAGAACCACGTGGTGTCCCGGCCGGCCTCCATGTGCCCGGCGCACGCCAAGCCCGTGGAGCGCAAGCCCTGCAACCCCAAGGCCTGCTCGCCGGACGACGCGCGGCCGCGCATCGAGGCCAACGACGAGCTGCACGTCACGGACAGCAAGCCCACCCAGAAGCAGATGTCCGTCAAGATCGGCGGCTCGGTGCACATCTTCCTCGGCACGCGCCTCAAGATCCGGTGCCCGGTGAAGCGCTTCAACAGGTGCGCCCTCGGCACACAGTGGGCCAGAAGACGCGGCCAAAACTCTGGACGCGTTTTGAGCTCCAGAGTCGCTGAATGGGACTCGAACCGAACGTGTGACCCCACCAATGGATTCCTCGTTCGGAGAGCAATCCATTGGTGGGGTCACACGGTCGGTTCGAGTCCCATTTAGCGACTCTGAAGCTCAAAACGCGTCTAGAGTTTTGGCCGTCTCCACCGGTCCTCTGGCCCACTGTGCGGCAGTCGCCCTCGTCGTTTATCTTATGTTGTTGCCTTTTCCGCGTTATCATTTTCTCCTCGGTCCTGCCCGCTCTCCTGTCTCTCTCCCTCTGTCGTAACCGACGGGGAAACCAACGGGTCGTTCTCGCGCACGCTGTCTTGCTTTCCCTCGGAACTGAACAGCGCACAGTGGGCCAAAAGACTGGTGGAGGCGGTCAAAGTCAAAACCCTATTATGTTTTGAGCTCCAGTCGCTTAACAGGACTTGAACAGAGCGTGTGACCCCACCAATGGATTGTTCGTTCAGAGAGCAATCCACTGGTGGGGTCACACGTTCGGTTCGAGTCCCATACAGCGATTCTGGAGCTCAAAACGCGTCTAGAGTTTTGGCCGCCTCCACCGGTCTTCTGGCCCACTGAGCAGCGTGCGTAGCTATTGGTTTCCGTCTCGAATTACATCCGCCTGTCTGTCTCTCTGTCTCTCTCTCTGTCTGCCCGTCTGTGTGTCTGCCTCTTTCTCACCCCTGCCTTCCTGTCCCTCTCCCAGGCCGCAGCACCTTGACGATGATGACGATGGCGAAGGCGGTGACGGTTACTTCTTGCTGACCCTTGAGCGCGGGGGCGGCGGGGCCGGCGGCTCTCCCTGGGGCAGCCCCTGGGGCGACGCCCACACTGGGAGGCACAGGCGCTTCCTGTGGTGGGGGAAGGCCACGACCCCGCCGCCCCCCACCGCCTCCGCGAACGACACAGTCGTCTACGATGACGAGGAGTCCGACCTGTCCGGGACGGCCGGGTCGGCCGGGACGGAGGAAGGGTACGCGCCGCGCAGTTTTCGCGCCTCTTACTGCATGACCTTGACTCGCCTTGAGATGCCCGCGGGGCCGCGTGGGGCCAAGGTCGCGTCGGGAAAGAAAACGCCGTTGCCGGCTCGCCATTTTCGGCTCAGCAACCGAAAGTCGCTCCGGCAACCACCTTTTTTTTCTTGCGTGGCGGGCAGCCTCAGTTTGTAAGGGGCTTCACTCTAGGGGGAGACGCTTCGCTCTGCTGCAGTACTTTTTTTTTTTGAAAGGCGTACGGAAACTTAAACTCGCCGCGGGATTGAAACATAACAGCGCTGCGTGAAGCTCTCGCCTAGTTTCCGTTTAGTGCTCTGCAATGAGCGCAAGGGTGACTCCGTGGATAATCTTTATTTTTTAAAAAATCAAAATTTTATTTAAAAAAAAAAAGTTGTTAGCTTTGTTGGGAGCTGCTCGAGAATTTTAAGGGCGTTCGCCTTTCACCTCAAACCTTCATGGGTTCATATTCAAACCATAACCCAAAACAAAAACAAAATCGATTTTTAAGCGCGAATTTCGGACTAGGTGCCAGCAGGTTTAGGGATGCCGACAACCGCTCCAGTGTAGGCCCCGCGTCGTTGGTGTAGGAAGAAATACCAGCACCCCGCGTAGAGGTCTCCCTTGCAGAGGGCTAAAAGCATCTATTGCCCGTTAAAATCGAACGCAGTGTGAAGTCCGTGATGCTCTTAGTAGTGTTGCTCACGTTGCTGTACAAACCGTCTTGTTTTTCCTAATTCCAAATTATTTATTGTGTTTATGTGTACGTACAGCTTTTTTTTATACATACTTGAACGTGATATTATCCTTCTATACGATTGTTCGTGCTGTAATTGCAAACTGCATATAAGCTTTCTGTTGTGCCATTGTTGTAATGATTGTAAATGTTGCTGTTTGTTGTTGACGACGTGTTATATTTGTTGAGATTGTCTTTTTTTTGTTTGATTTTTTTTGCTGTTGTTGTTGTTTGGCTTTCTTTCCCCCTGGCGACACGTGCTTTTAACGCACCGGGCGTTGCTTTGCAGGTCCCGCATAGTTTGGCAGAAAGACGGCAAAGTCCTCCACCCCTCCAGGAAGTACCACATCTCCAACAAGGGCGTGCTCAAGGTCGTGGACGCCAGCATGCACGACGGCGGTCGCTACTCCTGCGTCGGTGCGTCCTTGTCCACTGTGAAACAACCCTGTTCGTTCAGCACTTGTTAATTCGGCACTGTGGCACTGTGCAGCCGGACACTCCTCGGCCGACCTGACGGTGGTGGTCAAGAACATTCCCGGCAAATTTCCGAACAGTGAAGAAGTCGGGGGTGGGCAGACCCCGCAACAGGACCCGACGTACCGGGACCGCCACGCAGATACAGGTAAACAAACAAGCTTTTTCCCCTTTATTTTTAACATTTCTCTATAAATGTTGCTCACCCTGCTTTTCCGCGCGCAGGGCGGGTTTTTCCGGGTGCGGGGGACGACATTAGTCACGAGGTTCCGCCCACGGGAACCTCGCGCTTCGACACCAGAAGGAAGCAGACGCCGTCCCCCGATAAAAAGTACAGCTACCCCCGCCCCGACGGCAACTCCGTGCAGGTCAGTGTGCCACTCCGGCGCCACTCCGGGATGCACCTCGGGCTTGCCACGCACAGTGGGCCGGCCAGAAGACCGGCGGAGGCGGCAAAAACTCTAGACGCGTTTTTAGCTCCGGAGTCGCTAAATGGGACTCGAACCGAACCTGTGACTCCACCAATGGACTCTTCGTTCGGAGAGCAATCCATTGGTGGGGTCACATGCTCAGTTTGAGTACTATTTAGTGACTCTGGAGCTCAAAACGCGCCACCACCGGTCCTCTGGCTCACTGTGCCACGACGCCTAGTCTGTGTGGACCGCATGTGGCGTCGGGGTCGTGGCAAAGTCCCAGGTCTCGCCGCTACGCCACTTTGTGTCTTCGTTTAACCGTGTCTCCGTCTAACCGTGTTCTTTCGTCATGTTTGTGACCTTGTTTCCGTGTGGTGCATGTTTGTGACTGCGTGACTTGACCGTGCATGCCGGTGTCTGTGTTCGCACGCCCGCTTGGTGTGGGTACTAACAGGGCAACAACGTTTACAACAACTACAACGGCCACGTGTCGCGGCCGCCGTACCGCAACGAGTACCCGAGCACCCCGGACGACGAGGACGACGAGGACGACGACGGCGACCCCGAGGACGGCAGCACGGCCTACCCGGACGCCACGGCCTCGTCGTCGGCCACGCGCAGCGCGCCGCCCCTGCACGGGCTGGTGCGCCACTTCCAGGTGAACTAGAGCCTCGAGCTGGCCGACCTATGGCCGACCTTGGGCCGACGTCGCACCCTGCTTCTGTTTTGTCTGTTCGTTCGTGTAACCGCGTTGGTGCTGGTGCTGGTTTTGTGACGGCTGCTTTCTGCTCTCCTTTGCAGTCGGTGGTGGCCTTCTCCTTCATCCGCCAGGTGAGCACCACCACTAACACGCTGAAAAAAAAAGGTCGCGGTATTTGAACCCTCGACCTTGACCGTTCGCCGACTTTGCAGGTCCTGTCGGACAGGCTGTCCACGCTGCCGCCCCTGCTGTCGCGGCTCGACCAGCGGCCGGCCCCGGCGGACAGTCCCCCGGCCGCGGACGCCGCGGTCGCCGCAGACCAGGACGCCGCCACCACCACGGAGGCCGCCGTCGGCGCGGGGGTGCTTCTGGGGAAGGGTGAGTGGAACGGTTGTTCTGCTTCTCTCACTCCCCACAGTGGGCTAGAAGTCCGGTGGAGGCGGCCGAAACACTAGACGCGTTTTGGGCTCCAGAGTCGCTTAACACGACTCAAACCGTGCGTGTGACCCCACCAATGGATTGCTCTCCGAACGAGGAATCCATTGGTGGGGTCACACGTTCGGTTCGAGTCCCATTTAGCGACTCTGGAGCTCAAAACGCGTCTGGAGTTTTGTCCGCCTCCACCGGCCTTCTGGCCCAGTGTGCTCCCTCTCGGGATGCCCGTCAGGTGTGACACTCTGACGGCTCACTGTCGGCAGGCTCCGCGGCCGCGGCCGAGCTCAAGTTCGAGTGGGTCATCACGCCGTGGTCGGACTGCTCCGAGACGTGCGGCGGCAACGGGTTCCAGCTGCGCGGCGCGCAGTGCACGGTCCGCCGGTCGGGCAACGCCACCCGCGGCGCTGCAGGCACGCCCGGCCCCGCCACCGAGTCCGTGGACGCGGCGCTGTGCGACGACGCCGGCCTGCCGCCGCCCTCCACCTTCCAGCGCTGCGGCAGCGACGAGTGCCCGCGATGGAGCGCCGGGGAGTGGTCCACCTGCGAGGACAGCCGCTGCTTCGCCTGGAACACCGGTATGCTCTCTCTCTCTCTCTCTCTCTCTCTCTCGCTCTCTCTCTCTCGCTCTCTCTCTCTTTCGGGAGAGTCTAGCGGTGCTGCGGGTCTGCGTATCTCCGTCTGACGAGCACCGCAAAGTCGGCAGAATTGTCCCCGCTTTAGCTTGTAGTTATCTCAATATTCCTGAAAACAAAAAAAAAAAAACTTTAAAAATGTTATGCAGGCCGCTTTGGAAATTGAGCCTGGCGGCCGTTTGAACTGCTGCTGTGTGATAACGGACTGCTTGTCGCTGCGCGCTTCGCACCGCCTTAATGCCGTGATGCCCTCTGTCTTGCAGCCATGCAGCGTAGAGACGTTGAGTGCAAGTTGCCTAATGACACACTGGTAGACCCCCTGCTGTGCGACGAGGCCGAGAAGCCCCCCGTGCGCCTGGAGTGCTACAACGACCGCTGCAAAGGCACCTGGAGAGTCGGCGAGTGGTCAGAGGTAGTGCACAGTGGTCTCTTTTGTTTTGTTATGTTTTTACAGTGACGCACTGTTGCTCTTGTTAGACAGTGTAGTACGAGGGGTGAATCACTAGTGTACTCATGTGTACAAATTTGCCCGTACTCAGTGTACTCACAAGTTTTAAAAAGGTGAAATTCTCTAGTTTTTTGTCTGATTTAACGTCGACTGCCGTTAAAAACGCTAAATAAAGCCTTAAAACGTTTAAAATTGTGAAATTTATGAGTAAAGCAAGGTGTACTCACCCGTACTCATGTACTCATGTGTACACCAGAACGCCGAGTGATTCACCCCTCGGTGTAGTATCCGTCATTGATGCGGAGAGCAACCCCGCCGAGGTTTTGTCGTCGTGTTTGTGACTGGGCGTCTTTTCCAGTGCGGGGCTCGCTGCGACGGCCAGGGGGTGAAACACCGCATCCTACAGTGTGTGTGGTTCGGCACCAAGAAGGCGGCCGGGAACGCGTGCAGAGAGCAACCCAGGCCCGTGGTCATGAAGTCGTGCAAGGGACTTCCCTGCGCCCAAGGTGAGCGGCAAGCCCCCTCCCCCCTCTCCTATCCTCCTTGCTCGTGCAAGGGACTTCCCTGCGCCCAAGGTGAGCGGCAAGCCCCCTCCCCCCTCTCCTATCCTCCTTGCTCGTGCAAGGGACTTCCCTGCGCCCAAGGTGAGCGGCAAGCCCCCTCCCCCCTCTCCTATCCTCCTTGCTCGTGCAAGGGACTTCCCTGCGCCCAAGGTGAGCGGCAAGCCCCCTCCCCCCTCTCCTCCTTGCTCGTGCAAGGGACTTCCCTGCGCCCAAGGTGAGCTGCACACCCCCTCCCTCCCCTTCCCCTCAAACGGCTTATCAGCGCGGTTTGACCCTTGATCGTGACGGTTTTCTCGGTTCTGTTGCAGGAGGCGAGTGTCGCGACGAATCTCAGTACTGCGCAACAGTTCGCGCCATGAACCTGTGCAGGCTGCAGCGTTATCAAACTCAGTGCTGCCAGTCGTGCAGATCCAACCGTGGCTGAACCCGACTCAGACATCGACTCAAGTGTACTGACTGCAATAAAAACCATAATAATAATTATTACAGTAATAGCAATCCCGCCTCAAAGGCTTAAGATCCTCTTTATAAATGAAGAATGAAAGTTTGTAAATACTGTATTAGTTATAAGTTTTATGAAGATGGAAGATGAATGGTTACAATTATTTAATTTGAGTGTGGAAGCCTTCTGTGTTCATTACTGCTGATTGACGGTGTGACGAAGGGCAGTTAAACATAGCTTAATTTTCTCTTGATTAGTTTTTATGCATCATAAATGATCTGCATGATATTTTTTTTCCTGTGTTACTAGGGCATTGACTGCAAACATTCCCATTAGAAACCTTTTTTCCCCCCCATTACCACTTTGGTATTTTATGCGTGACTCATCTACGTCTTGAATTCATATGCCATCAGTACAGTATTGTATCTGTATTGTGGTTTCACCTGCATCATACATTTCCACTATGTCTAAGCTCCACTTACAATTATATTTCCAGTATTGTTGATTTAAGAAACAACTCTTGTTTCCTTATCTTTTTGTTTCTTTCAGTTGCTTTTGTTGGATTGGCAATGATATAAGTCGTGTATTTTACATCTTAGTATTTATTAAAATCAAATCAGGGGAAGAGGAATTCTTGAGACCTGCTAGTTGTTATTGGGACATATGAAACAAATAAGTCTGGTTTGTTCCACTTAAATAAATAAGCAAGCTAATTGGGACATATCTGTTGATAAATGTGGATAGTTATGTAGATCTATGGATTCCAGAATGATTTGAAGCTATTTTCATCCATATATTATTTAACTAATCTGTAAGTAAGAAATTTTCAACTAAAAACATGGGGCGCTTTCTAAGAATGTTTTCAAAACTGAAATGACAGTTCCTTTGTGACCGTTTCTAAACTTATTTCCTAAGGAACGGTGTGCATGCTCATTGAATTTACCTGAAGATCAGGTTTTGTTAAAACAGGTCAGTATTTGAGATTACAAAGGAATTTCGTTTCTGAAAAACAGAAAGGTTTAGACTTAAGAAAATGCCTGTGGAACGTAGTAATTGACTCAAAGTTCGTAATGTACAAAACAAAAATTAACTTCTAAGTTTCATATAATGTTTAAATTAGTTCAGGGATGTGCACATTTTGTAAATACTACTATTTAAACGCTGCTCAGCAGTACCTATGGACACCTAAATTTAACTGTATCCATAATAACCGGAAATCCAGTTTGAACTAGTGAATCCCAATTGCTATAGCAACTTGCTATGTGTAGCATTTTCCTTTTTTCACAAGTATTATAAGGATAATCAAACATGTGCTATCATTCACTTCCTATCAGCTTGTAAATGTATCTATTTGTTGCACTGTACATAATGATGTCTCTCACTTTATCTGAGATTTCAGTTATCTTCCAAACCAAGAGTAAAGGAATAGTGCTTGTACATTGATTGCAAGTACAGTTATGAAAATGTACCGCTTTAAAAAGAACTCCTCCCTTGGCTTACCTGGGTGCAAGAAAAAAATTGCATGTGAATGTCCTCATAGTACAACACATTTAGAGAAAACCTATTCAACTGCACAAAGTTTTTGTTTTTTAGTTGCACAGAGACTTTGTGAGAGGCGTCTGTGGGTCTTCTTGACTTTCTAAGAAATGTGAAAAATATGGCCTTAATTTTGTCAAAACATGCCTTTGAACATGCAAATTTTTGTTAGTATCTGTATTTTATAGCAATGATAACTCAATGTCAAAATTCTTAATGATGTTCAGCCAATTTTAAGTTATGAGAGGAATGCTTCTGCGCTCTCTATGTTTCAAAGGGCAGTCAATTTAAAAATTATTATTACATTGTTTATTTTGAAGTTAAAACTTCCACCCTCCTTATAACAATTCAATACGAATCTAATATGGCATGAGGTTGTGTAAAACCCATACATTTCTGGGCCTGGGCAGATGAGATCCATAAAAGCCCTGAATCTCATGCTGCTTCACATACAAGGACATCAAAATCATCATACTCCCAAATTTGTTATTATCTTTTGTTTCTATTTGAATTTTGTCAAAATAAAGTTATTAAAAACAATGAATAAGACATGACTGATTACGCATATAAACCCTAATTGTTTCCCAAAATGGACACCTTGGACACAAGCCAGTTCACCCAGTTAGTATACCCAGTTTCACTAAAAAAAAAAAAAATCCTGTCGATAGTGCCACAGTATACGCAAAGATAAAAGAAAAACAAGGAGAACGACAACCAACGACAATGAAATTCACGTGCATATGTAACTTAATGTAGGGAATGACACAGAAATTTGAACTACGCGCCACGTATGAGAAATTTATACTGGTTATCAAAACTCATTTCATATGTGAATTTGTTCGTTCTAGGTGAAATGAAAATCCATGTGTAGTAATTTTCAACAAATATTTAACGTCAAAACACTTCATTACATCGAATTAGGAAAAAAGGATCAGCTTTTTTCGTTTTGTTTAGGTGGCTGCCTTGCGCAGGTCGAGCACCGCCTTGTCGATCGATTCGATCGGTGTTTGTGGGCGACTGTTTGGTTTCTGTCCCCATATTTTTCGCTTGAATATTGTTGTCAATAATTACCCTTGGAAGGATATTCGCATCATTGTTTTGCTTCATTCTGCTTCGGTGGGGTTGAGTGCGTGCTCCAGAGTCTCATTTGGTCCGGGAAGTGGACGGGAAGGCGTCTCTCGCCGATCCACCTCGGGCAGGCAAAGTCACCAATCAGGACAATCAGCTGTCATGTTGCAATGAATGAACGGCTGCTTTGAAGCCTCGTCTATTTATTTGGCCCCGCTCTCCTCCGATTTGGTGATGGTACTTTCGCCGCTCTGTGGGAGGTGGCTGTTCGCGTGATTCTGCCGTTACATGGCGTTTGATTGGTGAGTCCGAAATTTTGTTTACTTACTGGGTCGGTACTATGTAAACAACAGGCTCTATTTGCCACATAGACCCTTCTTAAGTTTAGTTCTTCTATAACGCGTCTAATAGAAAAGGCACTCTCTTATGGGCTTATTTGAATAGAATCATAGGTTGTAGGGCGTTTCTAAAGCGTCTGATTCCTTTTCCTTGGGATGGTATGTGCCAGGTTGTTTGGTTATGTACCCTGGATACAACTCAGTCAGTCTTTGAAAGCTACTAGCAACCATCTAATTTATACTTGTATTTCTATTGTTTCAATATGAGAATCATTTGTTTGTTTCTTGCTTAAAGTTGAATAACATAGTGGGCTTTAATGACTGATTTAGTCATATTTGTGTTCAACTTTGGTTGCTGTCACAATGACAAACATACATATCGTAATAGTCTTGATAGAGTTTCTACAATAATCTTAATTCACAGTGAGTCCACTACTGAAGATTTATTTAAAATGATTTTCTCTTTGATGTGCAGGTATTCCAATGGCAGACAAATCAATGCATCACTATGCTATGGAAGATAATGTTAATGGAGCATCTGGTGGACAGTTTGTCGTAACTGTGGGCAGTGATGGTAAACTGATGCAGGTACGAGACCCCCTGTTTATGCCCTCATCATCAGGTGTTCCAACCTTGGCTGGTGGCAAGAGAGAAGAAATGAATCCCAACATAAATGTAAGTTTTTATACATCTGTGGTTGTTAACAGCAAAACTTGATAGATTGCATGGCACGTATGTGACCATTCGTTTTGTTTTTTTAATGTAGCAGGCATCATCAAGCAAGAACGATGTTTACCAATATGTCGTCAATGCTGCTAGCAGCTCTGGGCAGTACATGGGTCTCATGGCTATGGGCCCCGACGGCAAACTGGCACCTGTTCGCAATGACCGAAACGCCATTCCTCATCAGGCCCCTTCTGCTGCCGTAAGTGTGGTCTAAGACTTGTTTTCCTGAGGTGTCTAATGTGGTATGACTTCCATTTTTAAAATTTTTCAGGTAATTGATTTTAATGCTTCTAAGGATCCGAAAGCTGTTCTGCTTCAAATACACCCATCGCAATCTCATCATTCTGTACAAGACTCTCACTCCCAAGTTCAGAAGCATCACCAAGAACACCAGCATCGAAACGACAGGGGCATCTCCCATCAGCCTGCTGCGGTTAGTCTGATAATCCGTATATATCATGGAGATCCTTTTTCACGAGAAAATTTAATCACAACCTTATTGTTTTCATAGGTGATTGATTTCAATAACGGCAAGGATCCAAAATCGGTGCTACTCCACATTCACCCATCTCATTCGCAGTTACCACACCAGTCCGCTCAGGAAAGTCACAATGTGCACCATGCCCAAGTAGCCCAGCAGCAGCACCAGCAGCAGCAGCAAGGAAATATTCCTCATCAACTTCAGCAAGGAAACCAGCAGCAAACCCAGCCTCACGAACAAAGACAACCTCTTCAACAGCAGCAAAGACGCCAGTCTCACCAACAGGTTTTGCGCACTGATAAAATTGTCAAAGGTGACAGAGAAGTGGTCTGTGCTAAATCTTGCAGAGCATGCTGCAAGTTTGATGAAGAAGAGCCTCCAGATGTTAACTCTTATGTTCAGCAGACCATGAAGGTAAGAGGAGACTATCTTCAGCATCTTGAACTTCTAGGGATTACTAGATGTGTTTTCTATACTCTTACATTAGTCTGTTTCGCAGGAGGATAGTGCAACCACCACACCAACATCGTGGGCATCCGAAAACTCTTCATCATTCTCACCTGGTGGTGTTAGTGCTACCTCTCCAAATGGCTCCTCAAAAGCAGCAAGATTTCAGTGCAAAGTAATTATATTTGCTTAATACATTTTTTAGTCTGTAATGCATAATTTAAAGACTCTTGCGAATCATTGCTTTGTTTATGATTGCAGGTTTGCATGAAAATGTTCACGCAGAAAGTAAATCTGACTGCTCATGAACGTATTCACCTAGGTGAACGTCCATATCAGTGCAAAACTTGCTTGAAGTCATTCACTCAGCAGTCCAACCTTGTGACACACGAGCGCATTCATACAGGCGAACGCCCATACCAGTGCCAAGTCTGTATGAAGCGATTCACTCAACGTCAAAACTTAACTGCTCATGAACGGATTCATCTTGGCGAGCGTCCATTTACATGCCAAGTCTGTAACAAGTCCTTCACGCAGAGTCAGAATTTGACAGCACATGAAAGAATACATCTTGGTGAAAGACCTTTCCAGTGTCAAGTGTGTCTCAAGACTTTTACGCAGCAACAAAACTTGAACTCTCATGAGCGTATCCACCATATGGAGCGCCAGTTTACATGCAATGTTTGTTTGAGAGTCTTTAGTCAAGAAACGAGTCTGCAGAGACACATGCAAACACACACTGGAGAAAGGCCTTACACTTGCCAGGTGTGCCATAGGTCCTTTGCTCAACAGTCCAGCCTTCTAGTCCATGAATGGGTTCACAAATGTAAGCTATTCTAAGCATTTAAAATTTTGGTCTTTGGTCTCTGTGAATTTATAATAATTCATCTTTATCGTTTTTTTCAGCTCCCGAGCGCAGGAAGAGAAACTACCCCTATGCCAATGTGGAAGAGAATGTTCTGGAAATTCAGTCCTCAGAGCAGGATCATCACTCAAATGAAGAATCGCTCCAAGAACGCAAACACAATGTTGATCAAGATGAGGGGGAAAAGGGCCAACAGGTTCAGTGTCTCACCTGAATGACTTTGTCAATTTAAGGTACTCCAACCAACAAAGCCAATATGTTGGTTTCCACTTATTTCATGATGTTAAGTCTCTCTTTATTGTTGGCTTTCTGAATTATAAAATTTAATGTTCTGGCATGGTTTATAATATGTTCTTATTGGGTTTAAGTGTCGTATGCACTTATTTAGTAAGTATCTATCGTTTCTCAGGTTCAAGTAAATATTGACATTTTAAAGTTTCTTCATGCCATATAATTTACCAAACAAGACAATTTGTAATACTCTAAACGGATTGTACTGGTTGGTACTGCTTTACATTTATTATTAATGTATTCTTGCATTTGTGGAGTTTCAGTGTTTTGTTTGTTCAGTGGATGATTTCTTATATTGTTAAACACACTTTAGGTCACAATTTTAACTACTCATTGAATGGGATATTTGTTTTTGGATAAGTAAGAGGGTGGGAAAAATGTATAATTATATAGGAAAACATTGGATTTAAATTTAACAATTTAGTTGATGCTGCCTTAAAAGGTAGAGATTAATTTAGGGTCAAATAAATCTAGACTGAAAAGTATTAATCTTTGACTTTATTTGTTGTTATCAACCTTTTTAAAGGCAAGTTGCCTTCTCCAAAGATTTGCATAATTGTACTATGTTACAAAGTTGACGAGTTACACTTTCCATCCAGAGGCATTGGTTTCACACATAAATTGGTTTCACACCATAAAACTCACAAAGTACTCAATGAAGTAAAAATAAAACAAATCACAGTATCTGTTCACCAACTATGTTGAACTATAAATATCTTGACCAGTGTCAACAAAGAAATTTGATAGAAGCCTAGTAGGAAAACAGGTTTCTATCTAAGAGTTTCAGTTGGGAACTCCTCTGGATCGTCCCTAGATTGTAATTCGGCAAACATGAGTTTTTCTTTCTTCTTCACTTCCTGAATTGTTCCATATAAGCTAAGTCCCACACAGGAAAGAGTGAAGAGTGTTACGCCCACCATTGTGTAAACAAAGCCTCGGTGAAATTTTTCCAACAGCTGCCTCTTAGCTCGTTTGGAAATCATTCTGAAACAGAAAGAAATTTTGGGTGACGTAATGATTGGATAATAGAGACAAAATTCATTTGGAAAATATCACTTGTCATGCATCATAACAAGAAATGCACAAGATGAAATCATGGGTGAAAACAATCAATTTTTGTACAAGTGACAGTATTTCAAGCATTTTAACCTGAAGAAGAAAACATTTGCTCTAAGTTCTAGTCCCTGGGCACAATTCATATTATTTACAGCTAATACAAATGTTCTCACCTAAAATTAGTTTTTGAAGGTGTAGTAGAGTTTCAATTTGAAAACAGTGCAAGTTGACAAAATATTGTTGTCTCTAAACTTGACGTAAAATAAAATGTCTTCTAAGCAATGTCAGAAAACATTCAATCAATTTTATTTTAGGGTTAGAACCGACGACAGCCTGCATGCACGTAAACTACCAACAGCTAACAGAAATAAAAATATCAACATCTGCACGCGTCAAATGAACGCGTGCTATACAGCGGCCCATTAAAATTTCAGAAAAAAACTGACGCTGATGAAAGAGAGATTTCACTGGAGAGAATTCCAAAAAGTTCAATGCAAGTCTTGTGAATTATTATTTAAGCGTGTGGTATGACTGAAACACTGGTTGCGAGACTAGCGTCGTTTTTCTTGCCTCGATTTATTCAAGCTGCGTGGAAGGGCCAATACAAATTTTGATCACGTTGGAAAAACTGCACTCTCTTTCCCACCCGAATACAATTACATGAATGGGGAAGGACAACTGAATGAACGATGAATGAATGTCGTTTTCGTTGCATTCGATAAATTTTTCATACCATTCAGACTAACGGGGTAGCGTTCCATTGCAGTTCGCAGGGGCTGCGTTGACAGTCAACAGTGTGTAAATGGTGGCGTGTGGATGTGGAGACTCAAAGTGGCGCATTTGTTGTCTCTTTTTGTTAAATTTTGGTTTGAATCGAAACTTTTGGTAGCATAGTTTATTCGCCCCCTGTCTTCGAGTGCCTCAACTGCATGGGATTCGCACCGTGTCAAACCCATAATGGAAAACGGGAAATGCGTCACCGATCCTGGCGACGTCGTTCGTAAACTTCAAGAGAAGGTCCGCGAATTGGAACTCCAACTTATCCAGAAGTCGTCCGACTCGAGTAACGGAGTCAGCGCGCCCCCTTCCGAACTCGATGTCGAAGACCCTCATGAAGACCTGGTGCCAGTTGATGGCCTGGACTTCTGCAGTAAAACTTGGTAAGGTTATAGGTAATTCATCTTGTTGACAACAGTGAGCTGCATACATTCTCCCTCTTTGGTCTTTGGATGCGGAGGGCACTTGCCCATGTTTGGGCAAGATAAGTGCTTGTTTAGACTGGTGCGTTCACTTCAATATTTCTTACCCAGAACAACGGGAACAGCAATTGTCTTAACGAAGCCAATGTTCATTATCGTTTTTGACTGTCATTGAAATGAATGAAATTATTTTCAACCTAAGTCAAAAGCTTTTTGTTTAATCTTAATAATTTGTCAATCAAATTTCGTCCTTCATCTATATAGATAGAGGGTGTCATTTCAGCTTAGATTATTGATGTGTTGATTGTTCTGTATATCCAATTTTTTCTTACCGCCTATCAATTAATTTTAATTTACTTGAGTTTCTAGTTTGTTTCTCTTCTTGCCATCTGGCCTATCTGATGAGGAACAAGAAAAGTCAGGATCAGATTTCCTCATGCATGTGAATCTGCTTCCAAAAATTATTTTCTTGGGGCCCCGCGATTGATTTCAAATCGCCTGAACCACAATTTGTGAGTGCGTTGTGATGCGTCTTTGCCAGTGGGTTGGTTCGCTGACCCCGCTGCTTCCTTTCCAGAGGGCAGAATTGTCATTTTTGGAAGGAGAGTGTGTCCAGTCCATCCGAGGGGCTGGCGGTGGGCGGACCGGTCCGCGGCTCCAGCTAGCTCCAGCTGCTCCGGCGCGCCGGCAATGTTTGCCTGAGATTTCCCATTTCCGCGCCGTGACGAGTGGCGTGCCCTCTGGGTCTTGCCTGCATTTTGGGCCTGTTGCTGATAAAGCAGCGTTTTGTGAACCGGATTCGTTTGCAACTAGCCACAGATTGTTCAGAAAAATATTTCCAATCTTTAAAAAAATGTATATTAAATACTTTTAGCTAAAGTGTTTTTTTTTTTTTTTTTTTTTCAAATTTTTGAAATGTAAAATATTTTTTAGCGTATTTTTTTTCTGTACCCGCGGGTTGCCTAGCTCCCCTGCCGTAGCTGCTGGCTCCCTTCCCTCTCCAGACAATGGCGTTCTGTTTCCAGGCTGGTGAGAAACGCGGCCGGCCAGGCGGGGCAGGCGGACTCCCGGGCCGAGCAAGAGGTGTTCGACGAGGTGCGGCGCAGGGCCGGGGTGGCCCACAACGCGGCCCTGTACGCCGCCGTGTGCAACGCCGAGCAAGGTGGGCATCCATCCCTCGTCCTTCGCACTTCATCAGGAATTCAAACTCCTCTCCCCAAAGTCGCCAGGGAAAACCACAGCGGACTTTTTTTTGCCATGCAAATGGCGACAAAAGAAAGGTCGCGTGGAATGCCGGCGCCCGGAAACGGGTGGACGCGGGGCTCGGCCGTAAACGGCGTGGCCATTAAATCCGAACGGCTGCGAGTTGTCGCGATCGGACTCCTGGGAGGCGCTCGGCGCACAGTGGGCCAGGAGTCCGGTGGAGGCTAAATGGGCCTCGAAGCGAAAGTGTGACCCCACCAATGGATTGCTCTCCGAACGAGCAATCCATTGGTGGGGTCACACGTTCGGTTCGAGTCCTGCTTCGCGACTCTGCAGCTCAAAACGCGTCTAGAGTTTAGGCCGCCTCCACCGGCCCACTGTGCGGCGTCCCGGCGTCCCTCGGGATCCCCGCCGCGGTGCCGCGGTCCGGTTGGCCGCCCACGCATCATCAGGGAAGTCCCCCCGGGTCCCCTGGGCGTGGTCGCCTGGCCGGCAGGCCGGCAGTAGCGTAGCGTGGGTGTGTCCGCCAGCCGCATCCTCCCGCGGTCGCGACAGTGTGCCGCCACCTAGGTACTTTGGGAATAAAAGGGAAAGGTGGTACACCACATAGAATTTTTTTCATTTGTGTGTGTGTGTGTGTGTGTGTGTGTGTGTGTGTGTGTGTGTGTGTGTGTAAATGTATGTTAAGTATGTTATAAAATTATCTACTGAGATGTCCTTCCCGTTGCCAATCCAGCGGCCTCCTTTTCCCGTCCCCGACTCCCTCCATCCCATCCCCTGGCAGCCCTGCCCGAGGCCCTGCCGACTCTCACTGAAGCGGCCCGAGAGTGCGCTCCTTTCCTCCCCTCCCCCTGACGGGCCTGGCGGGCCTGAAGGGTTGAAGGGCCTGATGCGGAAGGCAGGTGGGTCTGTCTGCAAACGCGCCTCGGTTGTTGTGGGGTTGCTATTCCTATCTGCGCGCCGCCCGCTCGGCGCCAGACCGCTGCACCGCTGCACTGCACAGTGGGCCAGAAGACAGGTGGAAGCGGCCAAATCTCTACACGCGTTTTGAGCTCCAGAGTCGCTAAATGGGACTCGAACCGAACGTCTGACCCCACCAATGGATTGGCCTACGAACGAGGAATCCATTGGTGGGGTCACACGCACGGTTCGAGTCCTGTTTAGCGACTCTGGGGCTCGAAACGTGCCTAGAGATTTGGCCGCCTGCACCGGTCTTCTGGCCCACTGTGCACCGCCGTGGTGTACTTGGACTGGCGCTGCTGCCGGTGCTATATTTACAGCCCGGCTGCGTTCCGGAGCGGCCTGACCCGAATGTGTCTCGTCGTCCTGCTCCCACGCACGGTTCGCGCACAGTGCACGCACAGCCAGCCAATGCGGGGGGCGAGGGGCGGGACAAACCGGATGCAGCGGTCTTACTCTCCTCTCACTGTCCAGTCCAATGTCAAATCAGACTTCGAACAATCTTAAAAAACAAAAACAAATAAATTTGGGTTTATGCCACCTTCGTCATGAGACTGATACCAAGTGTCACCTTTTTTTAGGTCCTAGGCCCTCCCCTAGGAAAAGACGGTTTCATTAAACTCTGTGTAGTAAGTTACTGCTATCTTTCAAGCTGCTCAGCGCTCAACATGGTTCTGGGCTCAAAATGTGAAGGGTTACCAATGTAATAAATCTAATTATTGCCTACACTCACCTTTTGAGTGTTACTGCATGCAGGGAAGTGGTTGACACTAATAGTTCCTCATTTTTAAAGCTCACTTGACACATTTTTGCATCATACATGTTCCCTAGGATGATCACTCAAATCCTTATCTATCTAGTAAACAGGATTAACAATTGAAAACTATATATTTACTGGTATTAATGTTTTTTTTAAACTTTAATAATTCTAATACAGTCAAAACAGTTTAAAGAATCAAAAATATATTTAATCAGCAAACTTGGTGAACTGAACTATCGCATGTTAACTGTCCTAATAATTAAACTTCAACCTTTTAAACAGGTGCTAAGAACAACCTATGTACTGAATCTAATCTGCTACAATCTGTTACTTACAGATCGTCGACGAAACATAGACTCAAGGACATTTACAAGACCAAAGAAGAGAATGGGCCGCCCAAGTTTGGAGTTGTTGGAGTCATTGTCTTGTCTGTCAAAGCCAACGGTAGCACAATATCCATGGGCCTCGGGATCAAATGAGATGGCTGTCGACAACCTAACTTGCACTCTCTTGGAGAGCTCTTTGTTAAATTGCAGTATGGATAATTCACAAACTGGTGACATCAACTCTCAACTCTCAATAGTCAATAAGAAACAAAAAGTATCATCTCAAACAGAAAGAAGAAGAGTAAGAATCTTAAATGTTTTTATTTCTATAGCTTATATACAGTCTGCAAAGTTTTATTTATCTGTTCTGTTCTTTGACGAAACCAGGGGAGCCTAGTTCTATCAGAAGTAAATGATGATATTTCTGATGACTTGGTATTAACGCCGAAAATTGATAATGGCAACACTGTGACAGCTTACGTTGAAAATGTTAATTATTCAAATTTAAAAGTCTCATCACAGCAAAATGATGTGCCCGAAAACATGGTAAATCTATAGCCTGATAAATTTTGAAAGGTTTTGTCCTTTTGTTTATTACTTGCCTTTTTCTTTTGCTTCCTAAACAGGAAATGCATTCAACCCTCTTGGAATCAACAGATTTTAGTACAAGTTTAATTGATAGTGCTCTTCTTGATGCTAATCTAATGGATACAATTATTGTAAACACTAAACCAAAGTTATCGGGTCCAAAAATGCATCAACTTAACAGAACTTTCACTCCATCACCTCCACCAGTACCTATGGTAAACAAGGTAAGCTATCTTTACCTCAATTTTGTAGCTTGTGTTCACTTTAATCGCAATGTGAGTACGTTTTTTTTTTCCTGAACATTTTTCTAAGAAAATTTTTTATTTTGTAGGATTGTGATCAGGTTGTTGGGCAACATCAATCGGCCAATGAAAATTTAAATAATACGTACAGAAAAGATGAAGAAAACCCTAACTGTGCTCTTTTGAACAATACCTTCTCCCTTGATGCAAATGAATCCAGTGGTTCTCAAAGGAATGTCTCATCTCTGAGAAGACCGGGTTCTACTGACAGTGGAGGTGCTGATGATGACCAACTAAGTAGTGCTTCGGAATCTAGCCACACATCATCGACCCGTCTGATGAGTGTAGGAGATGTGCAACACATAGCAAGACTGCAGGAACAAAGTAAGCTCATGCGCCTACCTCTGTCTTGTTCAGGGCATGGTTACGGTGTACTTTCATCTTAAACAGTTCCTCTTTTCTCTGTTTTTAAATGCTTTTTAAAATTTTGTTGTCTTATTCTTGATTTCTTAGGCCTTGTAATTTCCACACCAGTTCACCGTCACCTAGCAAAGGGTATGTACAGAACTCCTTTTATGTTACTGACTATTTTGTTTTGTATCAGTGCCTGAATTTCACTTAATTTAATTTCTTACCCCAGTTATTGACTATGCTGAGGACATATCTCCAATTTTACGAAGTAATGGTCCTGACTGTGGAAGGTCCAGTGGGAGTTCTGAAATTCAAACAGGAGGTTATTTATCGGACCATTCATCTCGAAGTCCTATGAGCTCTCTACATTCAAGCCCTGCTGGCAGTCCATTTGGTTCAAGCACTATGCTGCCTGGATCCAATTTAGCCCAAGTGCAAGGTAAGCGTAACATAAATTTTGATGGTTTTTGTAGCAATTATGTTCATATTTGTTATGTTTGATTTCGGTCTTTCTTTCCAATTTTCGTTTTAGATTCAAGACTATCCTACCGTCCTAATGGAATGCTTCAGCGGAAAAACACCTACGGTTTGATACCACCCCCTAAGACCAAGGTAATTTGTTAGGAGCCACATTCCTTTCTGTTTTTTACATAGTTACATCCTTAAAATGTGTCCTCTAATTTCATGTTTTTAAATTTGTTGCCACCACAGGAAAGAGGTTTGCGCCCACCTGCTCCTTCTGTTGTCCCATCCTTGTCGAGGCCAACGGTTCGTTCAGGGCTTCGTCCTCCGATGGTCAGAACCAACATACCAGGACCAGGATCATCAGGATTGCCAAGGCCAGCTGGCACAGGCATCCCACGACCAGCTTCTTTGTCGAGAATCCCTCCACCGAAAGTCAGGTGCAGTACTTTTCCCCCTTTTTTAGATTGCAGCTGCCAAAGAGTGATGGTGTGATGATTTTATGATAATTTTATTTTGTTCCAGATCTTCTGTGCCTCGGCCCTCTAGAAAAGAGTGGACAGATGAATGCTACTGATGCACAGGTACTGTACTGTTTTCTGCATCATGTGCCAAATTAACTCAAAATCAAACTGAAGTTCAGAAGAAAAGCTGAATGAATGAATGAAACAAATTTGACCTGTAGCCTGATCCGAACTACTACCTAGTCTGTTGGTTGTCATAAGTATATTTTGTTGTACTGCAATTTTTATATTTTTATCACATTTAAGTTGGCAAAGCTAATTTTTCTGTGGATTGTATGATAATAATTTACTGTTGAATGGCTCCTAAACAGACCATTTTAAAAGGTAGTATTGGAGCAAACTTTTATTTTCTTTTACTGTCAACTTCTATATATTTTACTAAACACTACAAATCGACTATATCAAACCCAAAATAGTTGTTCCCAAAGGACCATATGTTTTAAAATTTGCCTCAAATACTGTACATGGAAAAGTCAGCTCCATAATTTCTCTATCTTAAACCAAATTTATATTTCACGCTTCGCATAATATATTTTCAAATGTTCAAATTTTAGTAGTTTTAATTGGTAGTTCATTATATTTGCAGTAGTTATGTAACTTGACCTCTGTATTTAATGCATGGCTTGTGAGTGGTCCTAAAGTTATGTAGAAATCAGCTTTAAATTTTCACCTTGCCACAGTGGTCTTATAAGAAACGAATAATATATGTACAACAGGGTATTCAGAGTATTTAACTTGTACTGAAACTATTGCTCTGTATCAGGAACACATGGGTGCATTCATAATTTTTCACAGTTTATCTTTAAATATATTCTCAACAACTTTGAGATTGTGTGAGGCAGAATCCAGAATGATGATGCATAATATGAATATTTTTTTGGTACTTGATTGTATCTGAGGTGTCTTAAAACCAAAGACCTCTAATTGAGAATACATGTGTGATAGATGTGAGTGTGTGTGCTGTTATATTTATGTTGATATTTTTGAAACTGACTAATTGCTTATTTTTAGAGAAAAGATTTTCCTTCTTTTTTTACATGTGTATCGTAAGTGTCAGGGTCCAATTTTTTTTTTTTTTTGTGTATTGCATTGCTCTGCCTTATTAACTCATTGAAATCCCTACTCAATAATTGGAACTGATTGGGCAAGGGTGTAAAATATTAATTCTCATTGCCACCCTGTGATCTATTGTTGAGGAGGTACTAGTTCTTTGTGGCTAGCTTGTTGTCGTTCTAAAGAAGATTTTTATTCTGAACAAATTGTTTTGTGTTTCTGATTCTGTTGCACAGGGACCAAATGGACAAAGAAACTTGTCAATGTGTCCTCTTTACTTTTCTTTACTGGCTTGTAAAGATAAAGAGCAGCAGACAGATAAGAACTCCACTGTTAATTTCATATTTATTTAATAGCTGAGTGGATCCCTGTCATGGGACATAGCCTGTTGAATGTTTTTGTAAGCAAGCGTATGTTCTAACAGTTACAGTTGCTATATGTGAAAATGAATCAGGGGAAATAAATGCATCGGACAAGTAAATGAAATACCCTAAGACTTAATCTTTGGGGATGGACTTCTTTTATTTTTTCTCAGTCTGCAGATGACTAAATGAATTGTTACTCTGATGATCATTTTGGAACATGATTACATGTCATCTAAAATTGGCAAAAATGGTTCCAATCAGAGGGTAGCTATTGCTACTTCTATTGTAACATTTACTTCTTTATTTCTCCAAATGCAATAAATATGATATTTGTTATTTACACCTATCTGAGTTTGTTTTGTCTTCCTGTATCCCATGACTGGGTCTGTAACGACCAATGTCTTTTAATCACATCAACACGCTTATGACTTGCCAAAAAACTGCAGAGAAATCTATATTCAAGCAGCTTTTCTCTTTGAGGTGGAAGTGTAATTTTCATTTCTTGGAACACCGTTTCCATTGTGCTTCAGCGCACCATTTCCATTCTGTGTTAAAATAACATTTCCGTTCTGCTTCAGCACACCATTTCCGTTCTGTACTAAATTACCCTTTCCATTCTGCTTGCTGTGTTCCATTCGGCTGGCATCTGTTAACAAAACACCATAAATTCAATAAAAAACATTCATCCACCTGCAGCGTTTTATGGTGAAGAAAAAGGAGAGGGTGACAAACCTTTTCGCTCCTTTGTGAATAACTTCCAAAGTTCTAGGAACGGCATTTCGAAGGTGAGGGACAGGACGATGGATGCTGCAAAGATCACTGCGAACTCGCCGATGTTGAGCTTTGCAGGGAGAAGTCACACAGATGATGGTAATGTCACACATAAAACTAGCGGAAACCTACTTTTTTTCGTTACCAAGTAACGAAGTAACCAAGTAGCCTCACCAAGTGGCGGATGTTATAATAGTCGACGTGCTTGGTGGTGCCCACGTTGTAGAAGAAGACGGGGAACTGGGTCAGGTAGAGCGCGAAGGCGAATTTGGCGAACACCGACCACCCGCGCCACGACACGAGGCGTTGCAGCAGTCCTGGAAAGGTGTGAGACATGCGCACACTGTAGGAGTCCGGCACACAAAGGTGCAGACAAACACAACGAGGGGGACTTCCCTCCCCGCTTCGGCCGCACAGTGGGCCAGAAGACCGGTGGAGGTGGCCAGAGCTCCAGACGCTCGAACCGAACGTGGGACCCCACCAATAGATTCCTCGTTCTGAGAGCAATCCATAGGTGGAGTCACACGTTCGGTTCGAGTCCTGGTTAGCGACTCTGGAGCTCAAAACGCGTCTAGAGCTTTGGCCGCCTCTACCGGTCTTCTGGCTCACTGTGGGCCGCCTACCTCCGGCGTCCCTGGCGCAGGCCAGCGTGCCCCAGCACACGAAGGCGCTCCACAGGATGGGCGCGAAGGCGGCGTACAGGGCCGCGGCGCCGGCGTCGTAGCGGTACTCGGGGGTGCCGGTCTCGTAGGGCCCCAGCACCGGCAGCAGCCCGAGCGGCACGAACACCAGCCAGCCGAGGGTCGCCCACGCCTGCGACAAGGCCGTGAGCGTCAATAGCAAGCCACGCGCCAGGGAAGGGGTCGACCCACATTGGGCTAGAGCACCGCTGAAGGCGGCCAAAACTCTAGACGCGTTTTGAGCTCCAGAGTCGCAAAACGAACGTCTGACCCCAGCAATGGATTGCTCTCCGAACGAGGAATCCATCGGTGGGGTCACACGCTCGGTTCGAGTCCCGTTTAGCGGCTCTGGAGCTCAAAGCGCCGTTTAGAGTGTTGGCCGCCTGCGCCGGTCTTCTGGCATCCTGGAGGTGGCCGTCAAGGTGCTCACCCTGGAGAAGCGGAAGGACTCGGGCACGCGGTGCAGCGCGTAGCCCAGCGCCACTCCCATGACGTACACCGTGAGTCGGTGCGTGGGCAGGATGTACGATAGGTTGGCCGTGCGGAACATGTCGGACACCGGCACGCCGAAGTAGACGATGGTGCTGAGCTTGTTGTCGAGCACGACGCCGTGCCGCAGCGCGGTGGACCAGGCGGCCAGGGCGGCCAGCAGGCCGGCGCCGAGCCGCGGCCACCGCCACACCGGGTACACCAGCAGCGGCGCCACGGCGAACAACTGCATGTCGATGCCGAGCTGGTGCGTGTGCGTCAGGCACTGGAAAAAAACGAATTTTTATAGTGTACGGCCTGCAAGTATTTGCGCGGCGGCGCGCCGCGACGGTGTTTGCTCATTGCTCACCATCTCCTCGAAGCCGTACAGGTTGTGGACGTACAGGACGTTCCGCCACCAGTGCTGGCGGCACAGCGCCGCGTGCGGCGTCACCACCATGCCCCACATGGGGCCGCCGCCGAGGCCGGGCAGCAGCAGTGTGCACAGCACCATCAGGGCCACGAGCAGGGGCGTCAGCCTGCAGCGAAAAGGGGTAAAGTGAGAAGTAGTCGAAGCGGCCGTACAGTGGGACAGAAGACAGGTGGAGGCGGTCAAAACTCTAGACGCGTTTTGAGCTGCAGAGTCGCTAAGTGGGACTCGAACCGAACGTGTGACCCCACCAATGGATTCCTCGTGCGGAGAGCAATCCATTGGTGGGGTCACACGGCGGCGAGGAAAACGAAAAGCGCGGCTGCCGCCCGGGGTCGAACCCGCGCCTGGCGTGCTCGGCGTGCTCGGCGTACCTGACGTAGCGGTCCAGCATTCGGCGCAGGATGTTGACGCTGCCGGTGCGGTCCAGCTGGCGCAGCAGGGAGCGCGCGGCCAGGGCGCCGCTCAGCAGGATGAAGCAGTCGGTGTAGAGGATGGCGACGCGCCCGATGACGGACCACGGCCTGCCCAGGACCGCCACGGCCGCGGTGCGGTTGGCGTACGGCTGGTACAGCATGGCCACGGACTTGTGCGCCACGAGGAGGCCCAGGGCGTTGATGCCGCGCACGCCGTTCAGCACGGCCACCTCGCTGCAGCACGAGTCACCGTCACTCTCAGGGCAGCCGCAGCAGGCAGAACGCACAGTGGGCCAGTAACCGGTGGAGGCGGCCACAACTCTAGGCGCGTTTTGAGCTCCAGAGTCGCTGAATGGGACTCGAACTGAACGTGTGACCCCACCAATGGATTGCTCTCCGAACGAGGAATCCATTGGTGGGGTCACACGTTCGGTTCGAGTTCTGTTTAGCTACTCTGGAGCTCAAAACACGTCCCGCGGTCTTCTGGCCCACTGTGGAACGCCCCGCGATGCACCAGTGTCGAAAGGGTTGCCGATCTTAGCCTGCCTTCTGTGCGATACCCGTGGTTCACTTCCCAGGCAGGCTGAGGCTGGCAACCCTTTCGACACCATCGTGGGTGTTTGATTGGAGTTTCCGGGCCTCACCCGTCCTTGTCGCCAGCGGTGGAGGTCATGCGCTGCCAGTTCCGGCGCGCCGACACGCAGTGCACGATGCGCAGCAGCGCGGCGGGGCCCTCCTTGTCCAGGCAGACGACGTCGATGAAGGTGGCCACGGCCACGGCCGCCACCGTCCACCAGAGCGCGCACCTAGCCAGCCACGCGCCGAAGCTGTCCGCGGGCTCCTGCTGGCCCTGCGCGCGGCACATCTCCGGCGGCACGGACGCCCGGAAGGCGAGGCCCTTGGCGGCCGCGGCGGCCGTGGCGGTGTTCAGCACGTACTCCATGGCGGCGCGGAGCTCCTCGCCGGAGCAGGCGGCCGGCGCGCACACCCCCAAGTACGCGGCGGAGAAGCGCGGCACGCGGTGCCCGATCTGCAAGGGAGGCTGTCAGCGAGCGTCGCACAGTGGGCCGGAAGACCGGTGGAGGCGGCCAAAACCCTAGACGCGTTTTGAACTTCAGAGTCGCTAAATGGGACGCGAATCGAACGTGTGACCCCACCAATGGATTCCTCGTTCGGAGAGCAATCCATTGGTGGGGTCACACGCACGGTTTGAGTCCCATTTAGTGACTCTGGAGCTCAAAACGCGTCTAGAGCTTTGGCCGCCTCCACCGGTGTTCTGGCCCACTGTGCGTCGCTGTCTCCCTCGCACTCGATCGTGCAGCCCCAAGCCCCACGAGTGCGAGAGAGACAGAGAGAGGCGGCGGAGTCGGCGGGCGACAGTGTCGCGGCACTCACGTCATTGAAGCTGCTTCTGAACGGCGTGTGCGAGTGCAGCAGCCTGCTGATCTCCGCCAGCGCGGGGTTCTCGTCCGGGACGTCCAGCGCCACGGACGCCAGGCAGTACGCCGGCCGGGCGACGCCGCTGGAGGGGCAGTCGGCCTGAACCAACAACAACAACAATATTCCAGAAACGACAAGAATTTTTGAAAATGGACGGGTGTGCATTGAACGTGGTTGACCTTGTAGTCGGGCCAGGCGTCGACGAGCAGGTCCAGGCCCAGGCACTCGTCGTAGTCGCCCAGCTGGTTGACGTTGCCGCTCAGCAGGCCGGCGGGCAGGCGGGCGCTGGCGTCGACCCCTGCACAGCCACGCAGCGCTCTTTTAAGGACGCACAGTGGGCCAGAAGACCGGTGGAGGCGGCCAAAATCCCGGACGCGTTTTGAGCTCCAGAGTCGCTCAATGGGACTCGAACCGATCGTGCGACCCCCACCAATGGATTGCTCTCCGAACGAGGAATCCATTGGTGGGGTCACACGTTCGGTTCGAGTCCCATTTAGCGACTCTGGAACTCAAAACGCGTCCGGGATTTTGGCCGCCTCCACCGGTCTTCTGGCCCACTGTACGCTCCTTGAGGGACGGTCCCTCGGAAGGAAACAGGAAGGTGTCGAAACGTGCTCGCTGTGCGACGCGCGACTCTATCGAGTCTATTCTTCTCTCCGGCCATAGACATTCATGAAAGCAGTGCGTCGCAATCCGCAGGCCAGCGCGGCGACGCGCCGTTTACTTTCACCCGTTCGGCCAGGCTCGAGTTCAAAGTGTGTTTGCCCTTTGGAACTTCCCGTGGAAGTCGCCTTTGCTCTACTAGGCGCTCAACAGCTTTTAGCCAGCGCTGCCGCACGCGTGTGGGGTCTCACGTTCGGTTCGAGTCCCACTTAGCGACTCTGGAGCTCAAAACGCGTCTAGAGTTTTGGCCGCCTCCACCCACTGTGTGCCGGTGAAGTCGAGCGTAGGCAATCGCGCTTGCCTGTTCCCATTTCTCCATGGCACGTCCAACGTTTCTCGTCCCTTCCGATTTGGCCCACTGTACTCACACTTGAGTGCCCAGAGGTGGCCGTCGAGGGCGGCCCGGACGACATGGCGGGTCTGCTGGCTACACTGGCAAGAGGCGTTGACGGCGGGCAGCGCGTCGGACAGCCGCGCCAGCAGACTTCCCCGCACGGCAGGCTGCACCAGGCTCGCCACTGGAAAAAACAATTGCCGGCCGCGGACGGTGGATGAAGTGGAAACACAAAGGTGGAAGTAGTTCGAGTGTTTTGAACGGGGTGGCGCAGTAGGCCGGAAGGCCGATGGAGGCGGCCAAAACTCTACACGCGTTTTGAGCTCCAGAGTCGCTAAAGGGGACTCGAACCGAACGTGTGACCCCACCAATGGATTCCCTGTTCGGAGAGCAATGCATTGGTGGGGTCACACGTTCGGTTCGAGTCCCATTTAGCGACTCTGGAGCTCAAAACGCGTCTGAAATTTGGGCCGCCTCCAGCGGTCTGCTGGCGCTCTGTGGGTGGGGGCTTACGTTCCGACGCGGTGCCCGAGACGCCGTGCCCCGCGAGGAAGGCGGCGGAGCACACCAGGAAGAGCAGGCGGGCCATTCTACCGCCTGCAGTGAAGGCCAAGGGCAGCCTAGGGTCTACCGGGGAAGAGGCGCTCGGTCAAGTCGGGGAGTCATCCGCCTTGAAACAGTGGAAAAGACTCGTCATCGGGTCAGAGAGCCACGGCAAAAATGAGAAACCATAAAAATAAGTACAATTCGAGCTCAGCGACGGCCTTCGACGGGCGTGGCGTCATTTCGCCCCAAGCAGTCATCACCGGGGCACTCGTGGTGGCCGCGCGCGCTAGTGCACCGTGTTGCGACACGCAGGTCTGAGGTTCGAATCCGGCCCGGGCCTCCTCTATTTTTTCCTCGTCGAACACGGGTCACACAAAGGTGACTCCAAACGCAACCAGCGTCTTTTCTTGGCCCCGTGGCTGACTGACGGTCAGCATGGTTTCCACGAGTTTTCACGATAAACGACGCGCGGCGCGCCAACGGCTGATTGAATGGGAGCGGCTGGACAGCGCTCTACCGGCTCGCGGCGCCGACTGCCGTCGGCACGCCGACTCCAGGCCGGTCTCGCTGGAGGCTGGTCCGCTCGAGGTCCGCTCGCCTTGAAGTCGCGGCGGCGCGGTGGCGGCGCGTGGCGCGCTGGGCGCCTTGACCCGGTCTTGGTCTTCCCCGCCCCGCCTCAGCGCCACACGCGCTATTGAAAACATTGAAACCGAGAGTGGACTCGTGGAAATCAACACGCTGGCTTCCTGGGACGCCCATCTTTGTTTGTCTCAGGCTGCCGCCGTCGCTGGCGCTGTGCGTCCACTGTGATGTGTTTCCCCACTGGCCGCCGGGCACAACAGCGAGAGCGTCAAGGCGGCCTGCAGCTGTGACCGGCGGCCAGTGCGATCGACGCCGCACTCACCTGGTCCTAAAACCATGCCGTGCTGTCCACTGCGTCTCCGGGCCCCCACTGGCCTGGCTGTGCCGCACCGGACGAGACCGCGCCGACCGCGAGCACACTGGTGACTGGAGGGGCGGGGAGGGGGGGGGGCAGCCGCGGCCAGCCGCGCGGGCTGCGTACTTTGGCCGCCTCGGGCGCGTGTGTCTCGCCAGTGGGGTGTGACATGCATGTGAGATGCCTTCCCGACACGCCGTCCGTCTGCCAGGGAGCGGCTCCTCTAGGGTGGCTGCTGCTGTTGCTGGTGTGCTCACAGGATTCTGCGTCTGACTCGCGGGCGATCCGGACGCAGCACCAAAGCCAAAACCGGCGAGTGCGGTCAGCGCCGCCGTGTCAGCCCGCGGCATGCCCGCGGCATGCCAGTGTCAACGTGTGGTCAGACGTAACCTGTGGTCTTGTTCTGCCCGCTTATCGCTTATTAATCCAACCAAGCGGAGCCGAAAATTCCCCTTTCACGCAGTTCTCTGCGCGATTACGTGCCAAACGCCACGTTGCTTCTGAGTGGAAAATCTGGTTGCCAGTCAAGTCGCGCTGTGCCGCGCTGACAATATTTAGAGACTCAGGTACTGGTGTGTGAAATAAAAGAAGGCCCCACCTTTGTATTATAACTCATATACTCGTTTTTATTTCCTCCGAGATTAGTGACAAAGCATAGGTCGGTACAATTTCATACAAATTAAAGTTTTGCTGTAGAACAAAATATAATGCATACACAATGGCCACAAATCATTCAATGAGTTTGCGGACTTTTCATTTTAACGCACCCAGATGCATTCATTCGGATCTGGAGTTTTCTCCAATTACCTCTCCATTCATCTAATCTCATCCTCCAAATTCACTTCTTATAATTAAAACAAAGCAGTTATGATTTATAGAGGAGAACACCTGAGCAAGCCTAAGTGCACACCATCTAAACTACGCCTCAAGTTATTCTTCCCCTGCTCACTCACTGAACTTCAACCGGACAGAAACCACAAAAATACATTTCAAAAGCTATGATGCTACAAGGAAAGGCGTGGTTTGAACAACAATAACAACAACATTATAAGCCAGCATATGGCATAGAAAGATTTTTAGCTATTAACTATTTAAATAATAATTCGCAGTCACACATTAACAAACGTTGACGCAACTTTCGATTAAAAAGCACCCTTCTGCCGATGAGAGCAGTGACCCTTTCTTTATTTCACCAAATATTCAATCATAATAAGTACTAGCAGCTGGATTTAGAAATACCAGGCTGAGCTATACATGCAGCAGTACCAAATTAAGAATTTAAAAAGTGTTTAGAAAACGGATTATTGCATGAACAGCGAAATACCTACAGAGCTATCAGCGACAAGGTAAAATATGAAACATTTCTAACTGTCACCGATCTGATGCCCATACGAAAGGAATAATACATAAACGTGGCAACATATTTTTTCCTATGCAAGAGACATCAAGAGTGTATGAATTTAAACGAGGCAAAGGAAATATGAATGAATAGTTTGGTACTTGATGTATACATATACGCAAGATAACAACCTATGCTAGGTATTTAATCTATTGGAAACCAGTAGGCAATACAGAAGAAACAAAGACATAACAGCAATTCGGTCGTCGTGGGAACCACGGGCACGCTGCGTCTCCGTGCGGGGAGTCGCATTCGTGACGCGCGGATCTCACGAACAGAAGCTCTCGGGACAAGTCACACTCGGGGAGTTGGTCCGGGACCGGCTGGTGGTGGCGAGGGAGGCTAGGCCAGGGCTAGGCCGTGGCGATGCGCTGCTTCTGTCGCCGCGCCGCCGCGTCACCGCCCGGTGTCCGCACAGTCAAATGGGCCTATCTGGCTGCGTGGACAGCGGGGTGACGCCAAGGGCTGGGCCGAAGGCTGGGCCGAAGGTTCGCCTCACTGCTTCTCCTCCACCGAGTCCGCTTCCTCGTCCTCCGGGGCCTCGGCTACAACAGAACGAAGGCGGCAATGTAGCGGCGGCCGAGCACAGCGACCCGCTGCCGGACGCGCCGGGAGCGGGTCTACATCTACGGCACGGTCCTACACGTCTCCGGAAGGGAGCTTGACTATTTACAGTTTGGTTAAAGAAAACTGATACAAGATACCTACGGCACGAGTGCCACTGTTAATGTCGCTCTATGTTATGAGAACCCTAATTGAATCAAAACAACGCAACGTACCAAACAGAAGAAAAAACAAAACAAACAAAACGAAAGAAAATAGAAAGAAACCAAACCGTGCAAAATTACACCAAACTGGCTACGAATGTACAACAAATCACACATATGACTACACAAATTTCAGGAACATAAAACACTGCAGTACATCTGCTCTCGGACCAGCATGGCTGGAAAGCTGAAATATCGAAAATTCAAGGAATAGGAAACATCGAAATGAAAGAAAATGAAAGAGCACCTACAAGATTTTTTTTCTCGCCCTCAACTAGGGGGCTCGAGGGGTACCAAATGTATAACAAGCATTCTGTAGGCAGCGTATGGATACCATGCTTTTACAGAAGGGAAGGCCATGCACTCTGATCCCACCCAATGCAGTTGCCTCTGTTCACTGCGGAACAGTGCAGCAGTTTCTCTCGGCTACCTGCCAGCAAGACTATCGAGCGAGCCGCATTTTGTTGCGCATGAAGATCAAGCTTCGTGAAAGTTTCACCCTGTAGCAGCCCACTGCACAGTGTTGTCACAAAAGTAGGCAAAACTTTGTGTCGAAGGCTTGTTGCGAACTGCAGCCTGCCCACAAGACAATACTCGGGCTTTGCTCCCGTGAGGTTGCCTAGTAGACAGCCTGTGGTTGGCAACCCTATCAAAATGCCTACGTGTGGCCACCCTGCTGCTGCTAGTGGCAAGCGCCTGATGACTTCAGGATAGGCAACCCGTCACAGAGGAGCGTTCAACGGGACTGCCTACCCTGGGCCTCGCAGGCGCTCCCATCAGTCGGGAAGCGAGGAAGACGCTACGCAGTTGCTTTCGAGAGTAAAAGCAGCATCATGTTTGCCTCAAGCTCAATGCGTCTATAGAAGCCGAAAAAAAAATCTTCAACAGGGAAACCGTTTTGGTCTGTATAGTTGTTACACTACGAGCCGCATGCATAGCCATAAAGAAGACGAAATTGGGATGAAATTTGAATGAACAATCAGAGATTTATCGAAATTGAAAATAAACGAAAATGGGACGAAAGGGCGAGTGGCAGTCACGCATGGGGCAAAATGCTGCATCTTTTTTCATCTTTTCCAGTGAATTAGCCACTTGAAATTTCAAGCTTTAGTTATTATGTTTACCCAGAGTACTCAATTTGTTACTGATTGAAAAGCTTTCAATAGAGATCCACACAAAAAAAATAACAGCAAAAGCCCTCGCGTCGTGCCAGGCGTGCCACCGACTAACCGCTATGCTGCAGGTTGAACCTCCAGTCGTGCTCCCGAACGTCATACTCTGGCTCGTCATCAACACTAATGTCATGGGGTGGTGGTGGCCGACGGACTGGGGTGGGAGCAGCCGGAACAGCCGGACCAGCCGCCCCTTCGCCTTCGCAAGCCAAGCGATAGCCACATCCGTTAGAGACTGCCACAACAAAGCTTTTCTCAGAGAAGGAGAACGCCGATTTCAGCCGCCTCTAACGTACGCAGTACAGCTGATTAGTCACAGTACACGCTTTGGAAGATCTTGTAGGAAATAATTTTGCACATTTACAACCAAACGTTTGGAAACATGGCGAGGGCCGAGGTTCTTTTTCCGAAAGTCGTCGAAATTTAGAAGCTGCGTCGGACTGATTGTGCTTTCCCGAAGGCACACTCTGCTTCCATGAAGCAGTTTCAGCAGGGAATTCCACATGCAAGGCTTACGCCTACACCCTAGGTGCTATTTTGGAGGCGCGGCATAAAATACAACGATCAAGCGGCTATTGCAGCTTAACTTCGCTCCAAGAAAGGTCTAAAGGACTTTTGCCTTTGTATGCATCGCCAATGCGCAGAGTCGTTTGAGTGAACGCCTAGACAATGTTTGAATGCGCTTTTCTTGAAGTAGCTTGTCGGTTGCGAACGAAAACTTTGTACATGGTGACCCGCGCACCGTGCTGCTGCCGACAGGGGCCTTTCGATTCCATCTTCCCAGCAGACAGCCGCCTGGTGGAACGATAGATCCGGAAGCCTGCGGATGGCAAGAAACAAAATGGGATCCTTGGGCCACCATGCGTCTCAGATTGGTGCATGCATTACGGGTATCGATTCACCGACTCGAAAATTGCGGAGGTTTGGCGATAAGTCACTACTTTTATTTGTGGTTTTAGGCGTTGTTCCTAAGCATGTATTGCTGCTATAGCTAACAAGATGCACAAGTTTGTTGAATGAAGTCCAGGTGTTTTCTTGGGCAATCCTGAAATCACTAACAAAAAGTCGTATATCCTTCATAAATAAACTCAACAACTAAAAATAAATAAGTTTGCACACACGGGACGTACACAATTCAAAATAAGGACATAAGCACTACAAACAAAAGATTCAGAAATAAAAGGCATGACGGATAGACAACCACAGGAGTGAAAGAGAGAGGAGACGGGTCCATACATGCAAGACAGGTACCATTAGACACAAGGCGTCAGTTGAAAAAATAAAGGAAGGACGCTTACATTGACAAAGGCAAAACCAACTGCTTCAACGACATTCCAGTGAAACACTGTCTACGAACAAAAACTACTTCATGCTAGCCTTGCGACGAACGGCCGAGGAGCTGTGGGAGTTTGTACCTACGAGATAACGGTTAAGAGACATGATCGTAACAATAAGAGTAAAAATTATATCTTTTTTTTATTGGTTGTTTTGCTCAATAAAGATGTATTTTCAAAAAAAATTGGATTGTTTCATCTTTACGACATGTCTCTTAGCCATTCCATTAGGACCCCTGAAACCAGTACGTTACGACGTAACGGTTGAAAATGTGCCCACTTCGGCGATCCGAACGGCAACTGCAACGAATACAGAACAAGCAACCACGGAGAGGATTTTGAATGTGATGTACCGTGCGGCCGTTGGCATTTGGGTGAGCTATCGGTAGCATGCCCGAGCCTGTTCGACGCAGCAGTCGGGTCGGACAGCCAGTTGTCATGCTGGTAAAGTGCACGGGTGCAGGAAGGTAGACGTGTCGCCCGATGCACCGAGTCCGCCCGTACCTACAACCTCATGGCGCCTCAAACATGCAGCAAGACTGTCTGGGTCCGAACCTCACATCATATTGGACTAGGTGCTTTTTTATCCTCTGGTTTGCAGGGTCCCAGAAAATTGCGCGATTGGTTTTGCCCCCAAAGTAGACCAAGGCGAGGTGGTTATGGCGGCTGCGTAGCGGATGTGCAGACGGGTCTCGTGGTCTCATACACGTCGTGCGACTGTCACGTTTTTTTGTAATGGAGGAGGCGGTCGCAAATTAAAACCGGCCAATCGCGTTGGAGAAAAAAAAACATCAAATATAAACAGCAAGCTTTTAAATTTTTTCCGTAAAGTGAAATTATTTTCTCGGTGAAATAGTGGTTTTTCATGAAATAAAGAACACACGATAGCTGACGCAAGCAGGAAAGCTGGCAGTGCAGGGAAATCACCTAGATGAACACTATAAAGGTTTGAAGCAGTGGGGAAGCATGCAAAAATTAGCAGGATTCACTACCTGTTAGGTGGGAGGTGGTTAGTCGTTGCTGGGTAGTAGCCACTACAGCCCCGGGCTGGGAGGAGGAGGAGGTCGATGCCAGGAGGGTGGTTAAGTCAGTCTCAGTCATACCGTGTCTTTGTAAATAGTCCTCCAGCTCAGGTCCCGTTAGATCTGTTCTTGGAACTTCTCCTTGCACCACAACTCGGTGCTGAACTACCCTGCTAATGTGAACGTTGCCGTCCGGGTCTACGTGCTGCGTTTCAACAGTCTGGTCGCCCGGGCCGAATTGCTCCACTAAGTTCTTCATGGCCGCATCAGCTGAAGGTCCCCTGAATGTGACTTTTCGGATTTCAGGCGCACTCTGCACCACTCGCCTGATGACGTGTGAGTACTCCGGGTCGTCCGAGGCCTCCAACGTCTCTCGGATGTACGGACCGCCCTCCACGAAGGTCTCGTCGTACCAGACGCCCTCGGCCCCCATGGATGCGGACGCCTCCAAGGTCTCGGTGCTTGAAACCATTGTGTTGGAGCCACCACTCGTAAAACTGGACGACATGTTTGAATCAGTCTCGTACTGGTACGTGGCGTGGGTTGCAGTGGAGCTCGTGGGCTCCAGGGAGTCTGTGCTCCCTAGCATGGCGGGGTCTATCCTGGCGCAGGCACCCTGGGCGCTGAGCGAGCTGAGATCGCCGTCACGGCCACTTGAACTGCTACGGTCGTAGAGGGAACCGGTCCCTGATCGAATGCTCCCTCTTCCCGCGAGGGATGCGTCTTCGTCTTCAGCCTCGGGGCCGCGTTCCAGAGTAGTCTCGAGCTCCAGCGAGTCCGACGAAGTTATTAAGTGACTGGGGTCAGTAGGGAGCTCGATAGAATCAGTCATGATGTCTGCCTTCAGAGGTGTCTTTAGCTGTTGCTGCAGCTCGATTGAGTCCGTGCTGGTCAGCATTTGTGGGCTGGGGCTTACTTTCACCTCGAGAGAGTCCGCACTGGTGACCATGGAATCTGGGCATTTACTTCGGAGTTCTAAGGAGTCTGTGCTAGTTACAAGGGAAATCGGAGCATCGTATTCTAGGTCCGGGACTCGAGCAACTTCCTCCAAGGAGTCGCCTCTGCCAAATGATTCAGGTCCTCCAGAGACTCTCCCAGGCTTGTCAAAGCGCTCAACATTGGACTGGGCTTGTCTGATAATTTCATCAATTTCAAACATCCGCTTGTCATAATCATCTGAATCAGAGTCCCCTATGGTTTTCATGGCTGCTCCAGAAATTGTCTCGTCGGAATCGGACACCTGACTTTCGTGCCCCTCGTCAATTTCTGACAGCATGGCTTCTTCGACGCGTGCTCTTACTTCGATTCGCTCTGCTTCAACACAAGCCCTTTCCATTTTCTCAAAATCAGCAAGAGAGGCCAGTGAAATGTCATCTCCAGCGACACGTTTCTTGGTCACTCCGTTAAGTGAGTCCTGAGAGCCTACCATGCGCCTGTGTGCTGCATCCAAGGCAACTTGGGTCTCCAGGCTCTCAAACTCCTGCAAAGAACTCATGGATATGTCATCATGTTCTCCCGATCGAGTAAAATACTTTTTACCTGCAAGTACGTCATACTCAGGGGTACTACTCAGGGATTCTTTTACGCTTCCACTGCCAAAACTGCCAACAGATTCTTTCTGGCTGCCAAGGCTGCCAATTTTGCTGCTCGTTCCCATTTCGTCCTCCTCCTTTATATCTTCTAAAGGTCCCCGCTCAAAGTCCATTTCGTAGTTGTAGCCGGTAGTAACAGCAGCAGGCTCCTCCCCACCAAACTGCATTTCAATCCACTTTTTGCCCGCCTCCACATCTGCTTCTGTCTCAAACTCCTCTTCAGGGGGATTTTCCTCGTAGGACTCATCGAGAGGGCCGTGTCCAGTGTCAAAACGGAACGGGTCGTCCTCGTCAGCAAGGACTCCACCCTCGCCGTAGTATTTGACATCCATGATGCGTCTCGTGAGGGGAGGGGGAGATTGTGCAATAAATTCCTCTTCTTCGTCTGGCATAGATTCTCTTTTCCGAATGGGAATGCTTGCCGATGAAATTCGAACACCTTGTCCCTCACTGTCACTCTCTTGGACTTCTCGACCAACTTCTTCAATCATGACAAAATCATCAGCGTCCTCACTGCGCTCCTCCACAGGATCTGGTTTTTCAAGCATTTCAAATGATTCACTAGTTGGTGATTCAGTGACAGATTCCATTTCACTTGTCACTTTCTTGTCAGGCACTGCTTGTTGGCCTACTGAAGTCATTGCGTTGACAGGTTCCTCTACTACTTCATCGTCATCCTTTTCCAAGTCAGGATACAAGTAATCCTTGTCAAGGATGGCTGCCATGTGCTCAGTGACAGTGATGTCTGGGATGTTTGCCGGTGATATACTGCGCATGTGTTCTTCCCTGCGCCTTATTTGCTCCTGAAGGGCTGCTTCTCGTGCAGCAAGTTCATTATTCTCAGCGTCATCGTCCTCTATGATTGTTTCGGGCATAGGGTGGTGATGGTGAGGCCCGTGGTGGGGTGAATGGTGCGGCACCATGTGGAAAGCCGCCTCCGCCTCGGCCATTTCCTCCTCGTGCTCGCCTCCGTGTTCCCAAGCAACGCACGGCTTTTCTTTAAGGGGGCTCACGTGCGACGCGTACTCCACAGTCCGGCTGAACGCATGTGCCTGACTGTACTCAAGGTCCAAGCCTGACAGGCTGGCGAGGGCCTCCGAAGAGAACTCGGCCACGTCGGGTTTGATCTGTACTTCTTCGGCAGGCTCCGGTGTCAATGGCCGATCGATAGGGTCCTCGCAGGCCGTGTCAGAAGAGCCTTGCCGCAGTACCTCGGCCAGTTCGGAGTCTGCACGCTCGTCTGAAAAGCCCGAAGACACGGCTCGGTGGCCACTCTCGGAGTCAGACTTACTGACTTGAGAGTGCGGCCGGCTTCCGTCTAGCTGTTCCAATTCTGGCTCCACGTCGTCTGACAAGTACCTGCCTTCTCGCGCTTCCCGGTGAAAAGCTTGATCCGCCTCCGTTTGATACGACTCCTCCAGCTGTTCATCAACACTTTTTTTGTCAGTGTCATCAGCCTCTCTTCGTGAAATTGCCTGTTCGCTGAAACTTACTTCACTTTCTGCACTCTCAGAAACCGTACATTCTTTAATAGTAGTATTTACATCAAAATCACTGGCTGGTTTAGGTGGAATGAAAGATGAGAAATTACTTGTGCTTTCATTTCTCCTGTGTGACCTACGTGGAGGCTCTGAAGTGGATGATGTTGTTTCTGAGGTAACTTGAGTGCTTGCAGATTGAATTCCATTTTCTGCGACACTGGTTGTTGTCAATGTAACAGAAGATACCGTTGTGTCTCGCTGGTGTGTTGGAGTGGACGTCCCTGAGTCAATTGTTCTTGGAGTGGTCGGTGCTGCTAGAGTATCATCTGGCTCCTCCCTAGACTCAGATGAATAGCTCATTTCCTGTGATGTAGCGGACGCTGTCAAAAGTTCTGATGTCCCAGAAGCATCCATCTTATCAGAGTCCGTTCGAGATAGTTCTATTATTGTTTTCACAGCAACTGTTTCAGAAGCACTGGAAATGCTCATGCTCAACACACTGCCGGTGTCGCCATCCATGCTCGACGCAAGTTTGTCTTCGGGGGCATCTGTGGATGACTCAGAGCGGCCAGTCAAACGTGCCTTGGTATCTGCATTGAAAGTCATTTCATGAGAACGCTTCATAATGTGTGGTATTTCATCCTCTTCGTCTGTTTCAATCTGATCTCTAGTGTCCTCGGCATCGTCATCAGATATTTCAGTACTTGGAAGCTTTCCTGTTCGACTGTCTGACTGAAGTGTGCTAACTCTGCTGAGGTCACAGTGTTCTTGCATTCTGCGGTCAAGATCTTCATCTAGGGCAAGATTAATGCTGCTGTCATCCATGTCATCTAGATCCGTTCCGGATGGCACTAGCGTTTCGGAAGCTTCACTAGATACCTCGATGCTGGCAAGGTGTCCACTACTTTCTGAGTCTAGTGACTTCATTGACTCCCTGGAACTAAGCGAACTCACTGCTGTTTGGTACTCTGTTGAAGTTACCGATCGAGTAGAAGCAATAGCAGACTCGTATTCAGACGAACCCGTGGTTAGGGCTAGGAGCCCTTCAACGTCTGATGAACAGGGTCTGCTGTACGACTGTTCAAAAGATTGGTAATGACTTTCACTAGAGCTGGAATACGGGTCAAAATCAGCCCCTGATCGTCGATCTGGGTGCAGACCACCACTTCGTTCACCGGAGCTCGAAGATTCCGCTTCAGGGCGGGAGGCATGCCTTCGGACAACCCCCGAACCGTCGCTTATTTCTTTCGCTGCGTCTCCAGAGCTTAGGGGAGAACGGTCATCTTGAGACGAGGACTTTTGGGATTCAGTACTCTCAGCTCTAATAGAAAAGTTTTCTGACGTCCTGTCTACAGGCCTGTCAAGCTTTAAACATATTTCTGGAGTACTTTCTTCACGACCCTCTCTATGAGCAGAAAATTTTCTCTCTGGCTTTGGTGGTGGCGTCCGCTTCCCTCCACTGCTTGTGGTAGAACCTGTAGGAGAGCCCTGAGGAATGCAGTCAGTAGAAAACGTTTCAAATGTGCACTCAATAGTTGGCTCTTCTTCAATAATCTGTGCTACATGCAAACTCCTAAAGTCGTTTCCAGTCGTGTCTTCAGATTTAACTATAAACTCTTCATCTAGTTCTTCGTTGACGGCGTCAAGGGATTGTTGAAGTTCATCAATAGGTTCAGAATTTAGTTTCTGCTTTTTTGAGGGGTCTGTTTTGACATCAGATTGGTCTGAACGTGTGTCACATTCGTCTGACTCTTCGATTATGGAGAAATGTTTGTGCATTTTATCGTTTGTTGGGACATCGTCAATTTGAATTGGATCTGGTTTGAGGTCACTGAGATCGATATCTTCTGATCGTAAAGCTTCAGGTTTTTCATCTTCTTGTCTTGCTCTGGGGTCCATACACTGATATAAGCCTGATTGACTTTCAGTTGGGGAAAGGTCTATCTCAACTCCACTGCTTCGTAAATCCTCATCTGTTATTTCCATACTAGATGTTGTTGTGTCTGTGCGAGAAAAAAGGTGTCCTTGGTCGCGCTGCTTCTTTGCCAAAAGTGACTCCATTAACTCAATTTCACGTTTTTCAAGATTCTTTTCTTCGGCTATCTGTCGTATCGTCTCAATTATTGGTGACTCTATATTCCTTTTCGAAACTTCTTCCTCAATATTTTGAACAAGCTCTTCGGCCACTTTTCTCGCTTCCTCTTCTGTGATATGTGCACTTGCAGGGGAGCCATTGTAAAGTACCTCCTTGGAATTGTCGTTATAGTCACCATTTTGAAGAATCAGTTGGCCGGATGGCACTAGAATGTCTTGAACAAATTCTTCCGCCAAAGGTTCTGGCTGTTCCTGAACACCAACCTCCCACACTATATCTTGTATTTGTTGATGGGGTTGGTACAGGGAATGCCCATCAGCCTGATCTTCTGGTGTTACATCTGACTCACACTGAGTATCTTCACTAGAACTCTGACTTTGATGATCTCCTGGGCCACGAGTGCCTTTGCTGTCAGCACTGGAAACTCTAGAATCTGCTCGACGTTGTCTCTCCAATTCCCTGATATCGTCGTCAAGATCTCGTGACTTTTCAGTGTCTTCTGTTTCACTCTTGTCAACATGCACTTCCAGAGAGTCTGATGGCTTGCTTAGGTTTTCTCCCTTGTATTGCATTACTTCGGCAAGTTTTGAGCTTGTTATCTCGTGCGTGCGAGCAAGGCTTTCTCTTCTCAGTTCGGTGTTTGTTTTTTCATCCAGGTTGTTTTCACGCCCCCTACGATCAGTATCCTGAGTAGCGACCCCTTCAAATCGGTTCTTTAGGTCTTGAACACCGTGCCATTCGAGTACTTCCTCCTCTGGATCTTGAATCACATGTTCCTCTGCTCTGTGCACAATGGCCTCAGCATTGTGCATTGTCTCCTCAACAAGCGCCTCGGCTGTCTCCCTCATGTACCCTTCCAACGACTGTTTCTTGTCAACACCAAGGGCCAAATCTTTAACAGAAGACACGTCTGAGCACACCTCCGTGTCAAATGCCTCGTCAGAGAGCAACGAATCTTCTGGGTCTTCACTAAAGCTTCGATGTGGTAGGTCTTTGTGCTCGGGCACAGCCTCCTCTTCTAGTTGTTGCATTAAGTTTTCGGCTACCATCTCTTTCTTTAAATGGTCTTCAAACTGCCGTTTTCGCTTTGAATGATCAGGTACATCAGTGCATGGAAGTGAAATGGATCGCTCATATATGGCTTTTCTGACTGCAACTGGGGGCGGCGTTTCACTGTATTCATCGACAGAATGCATCCTTGCTGGCCGTCTTGGAGCACTGGGCTCCTCTTCATTGAACGCCACATTCTCGACTCCTGGGTTGCGGCCATGCTGTGCCAAGTATTCCGCTTCTGAGTCCACACTCTCCGTTCGTATTTGTCTTGGAATAGGCAGTGGTGCCGTTTGGACTGTTGCTGCTGCCTGAAGAGACTTTTCAAAAGTCAATCCAGGGGTGGTGATGGGTGTAGTCAAAGGAGTCTCTCCAGATCCTGAGCTCGCTTTTTGCTCCCAAAAAGCACGCCGCTCCGAGTAGCTCTTAATGTTTTCTTGAATTGCTGGTTCAGAGTCAGGGTCACTGTCGTCTTTGTCAAGGTGGCTTGGAGTGGGGAGGGGATAGGAAGAGAGGGGCTGCGCCACTGATCCATCCTGTCCGACTCCCAACCCGTCCGCAAACTGACGGGCGGTGCGCTCTAGAAGAGATATTAGGGAGTGTGTTAGTGCGCGCAGTAACCCCAAATTGGGAAGAGTTATTGCCTTCATACACACCCAGGAAAACATTTTAGCATTTACAAGTCTGCGGTCTTAACATGTACAAAGGATCAGAGTTTTGTATAAGGGGTCCATTATCGGCCTTCATGGCTGATGAATGGCACTGTCTTGGTATCCAGCAGTTTGGCACCAAAAGGGCATAAAACAATTAGCCGAGAGTGCATTTAAACTGTGTTCACCTCAGACCCTTACTTACAGACAGTATTAAAAAAATATACAAAAAGATGGATGGTATCTTGCTGCATGCCTGTCTGGCTTGGGTGCACGAGAGCCACAAGTTTCTACTCCTAATCAAACATAATAAATGGAGAGAACTGAAACAGTATCTAAGACATGCGCTTTGACTTGGCCATTCGTAGATGTAAACATAAAAAAATGGAACGTGGATTTTACATGCACAACTTGAAAGAAGTGCCTAGAGTGATGCAGAGTTATTCTGCTGCTTTCCAAAATGCCACAGTATCGAACTTGTGCATAACATCACATCACAAGACAAAGCAACGACATTATTTACGATGTGAAATTGATTTTCACAGAACTTTTAGTGGCTGTCACGTGCACACAAACCATACACGCGCAAAATTCAACACGACACCTCAGAATAATTCACAGATCCAGAAAACAAAATTCATCTCCCTGTCAAAAATAAGATTCAATTTTAAGTAGTAGCTGTTTCAGCAGAAGAGCCAGCGTAGATGACTGCTGTACATTAGCAACACAAATAAGCTGCCTGAAGAAAAAAAGTGCAGAAAGTCACCTGCAAAGTCGAAATATGTTAGGTATTTTCTTAGATCAAGGTTAACAATCAGAACGTGAGACACATAACACAAACAAGAAAAGGGGCGCAACAGGAAACAGACATGCACACACAAAAGCATCTCAACCAACAACGTCGTGCCACAAAACGCCCAAAGCTTGAGTGCATCCATACACACGAGTCGGAAACGCAACGAAGAGCAGGACCTGGTTGTGCACAGTTAATTCCTATTATTTTTCAATGAAACATTTTGTATGTTTCTAAATGACATTTGCAAAAGGTTCCTACCGAAACAGTCAAAAGAAAATCCCCTTCATGCCAAAGCCCACGCTTTGCAACCACAGGCTTGTAGCGCAATGAAAACAAGGTCCTACCTAGCCCATCTTGTAAGAGAAGACCAAGGGGACTCCTACTGAGCGGAACAGATTTCCGAAGGGACATGTGCGAGCTTCGGGGTCTTGAAACAGTGGGTGTTTCGGGCTCCTGTCGCTGCTCTGCACTTGGCACTTCCGGTATGTCAGGAAAGCATGTAGAACGCAAAACGCTTCGCGCCAGTGGAGCCGGGATAGTTTCCTGACCGAGAAGGAGCTCTTCGACGACGGAAGCTGAACGATTTGGCGCTCTAGGCAAAGCAGGTGGCAGCGCCGGCTCTTCCACCGACAAGTCCAGGTGGTCGGTGTTTTCCCAGTGGGAGAGAGCCTCACCTGCTGCAGTGGGCTCTGTAAGCGGCAGTCCCAGTTCATCCAGTGAGACACACGAGGCGCGCAATGGCCGGTCGTCGAAGCTCCAAAACACAGATGAGGGGACAGGAGGTGGGGTGGGCTCCTCGTCGGAGTCGACATAAGCTTCGCGATCCTCAGAAGATTGTGAGAAGATGAAAGTAGGTATTGGTGACCGTTCGTGAACTGTGGCGGTTTGCAACATGGCTGCCTCCAAAGCTAGATGGACGGGAAAAGCCAATGGGGAGTCATTAGAAAATAAAACAAGCAAACCAATCATTCCCAGAATCAATAGATTCGACCTTAATATCTGAAGCCCCAGAATCGAAATAATTCTTATTCCCCAAGAACATTGCATGAGGTTTTGCGCATGCACGTGATTTATATAAGCATCACAGTGAAAATTATTACAGTGTTTTAAGCACGTACGGGTCTTTTATTATTTTACAGTTACCGAATGAAAAAAGGTCTATTTAAATGCAAAGTTTTCCATGGTACAAAGATAATTTTTCACGACGATTCGAAACTCTAATTGAATTTGAAAAGCTAACCTGTTTCCAAACCTTCTATATTTTGCACAAAAATTGTGTCTGATATCTAGAACAAATTTTGAATCATTAAAGACCCACCCTTTTTCAAAACTCCAAACAAGACCCATGACAATGCGTGGGATGTTTTGTGGACTCTAGTGAATCTTGGAAAGCTTCTGTGATAAAACGTATAGCGATGACAAGCGTGTTAACGGACATTGCACAATGCGGCAAGAAACTGTGTACCTTCAGGAGAATCGTCTGTTCCGCCCTGGGAATCCCATTCATCGGAGGGCGTTGTCACTTGGGCCAGCAAATTCTCGTACTCATCCTCTGACAGGGCGACTTCCTCTTGAGAAAGCTGAGAGACTACGCGCTGGAAATCGACGTCTCGAACTGGTGTGGTCCCTTCTGCCAAACTTTGCGAGGCCATTCGTTCGAAGTGCCGCTCTACGCGGCGAAGCTTCTTGTCACTCACAGCTGCATCTGTGGGCTGGCTTTCGGAATTTTCCATTGCGGTTGAACTACTTTCTGGGATAGCTTTCCCGATGGATTCTTCTTCGACACGTTCAACGGTAAATTTGTGAACTTTGGCGCTAGGCGTTATTGGCGTTGTTGGGTCTGAAGAGACAGAATCCTGTGAATCTAGGGACCCGAGCTGAAACTTCACTCTATTTGGATCTGGCGAGAGTCTGCGAGTTTCGCGCACGGAATGTGGCAAGTGAAGTATTTCAGGAGAGGAGTTTATTCTATACCTGTCTTCAACGTTTCTGTCATCCTCCTGAGGCTCAGTCACGATATACTCTTCGTCGTCCGAGTTGTCGTCCTGCAAATAAGACACGTCAATCGGAAGCGGTCGTTCTTCCCCCGTCCGCCGCTGGGAGTGAGCACGCCTCTGCATTGTAGGAGTAGTCACGTAACAAAACTCCTTTGGTGGGGCGCTGTCTTGGGAAGTACTTTCAGGCGCACCTGAAGACGTTATTGTCGTGGTTTCCTTGGTAACTACTGTTACTTTTGGGGTTTCCCTTAAAAACTCTTCATCGAGAAGTGGAACGTCAAAAGACTCTTCGGTTGTAAAAATTTTCTGCGTTCGAACAGTTGCTGTTTTTCCATCGGGACCAGCCACGGTTCTTTCAGTCGTAACAGTAGTAAAACTGTCCGAAGGCAATGAGTCTGCTCCTTTTAAAAATGAATGAACGGTTTGTTTTTGGTCGTCCGATAAATCTGCTAAAAGCGGCTGACTCTTCTGGAGCATATCTGTGCTACCCGACAGGAAAGTCACCATCTCTTCTAAGGGGCTGTCTGTTTCTACAGTTTTGACGATTTCAGTTGGCTTGCCATCAACTAATGACATTTTTTCAGTAACTGTTGTTTTGATAATTTGTGTGGGAGCACCCATTTCTGTGAACACCTTCTCAGTTACTGTTGTAGTGACTTGGTCCGGTCTTCCCGTTTCGGAAAATTTCTTTTCAGTTATTGTTGTTGTAACCTGATCCGGCCTTCCACTGTCAAAAAACTTTTTATCTGTTACAGTTGTAACTACTTGTTCGGGCACGCCAGTAGGAGAAACGACTTTCTCTGTGACTGTGTTCACAACATGTGGAGGTTTTCCAGGTTCTACAGGTACTTTTTCTGTTTTAAACGTGGTTGTCACTTGAGATGTGACGTTCTTTTCAGGCAAGAGTGTGCCAGTTGTTGTTTCTTCTTCTAGCTTTTCTCGATCTTTCTGGTCAGTTGCATAAATTGTGTCGTTGGTGAGTTTAGATCCCGTACAATTTTTAGCATCCTGAGGAACGTCAAAGGTAACCCGTTTTTCTGTTTCACTGCTTAGTGGAAAAATGGGGTTTGGGGCAACAAAACTTTTCTCTGAACTGACTTGACCTTGGTATTGGTGCGTTTCTTGAACCTTTCCCAATGCAGCAATTTCTTCAACTTTACCCACAGAACGTTTTTCCAGCAAGTCCCGTTGGACCTGGAATGTCGTCACTTCTGTTAGTTGTTCCGAAACAACACCCGTCGGGGTGTTTTCTGACTGGATGTCTTCTGGTATGGAACCCTGAAGAATGATTGAAGTTGCAGGAGGATGACTTTGGGCAGGCTGCTTCACAGCGGCTGCAGCCGTGCTAATAATTTCTTCAATGTCCCTTGTGATACCTGATATGTTCAAGTCCACCCTTGGTGTTGGTGACTGCTCTGATCCTTTAGAATTTTCTAAAATTGCATCGTTGCAGGACTGAATCCTAGCAGTCGTACTCACCACCGGATGAGAAATATTTTGGTGCGTTTCCTCGGCACTGCCAAGTGACATTTTTTCTTGCTGTATAACCTTAGGCAAAACAGAGTCGGGGTGAGCGTGCTCTTCACTATCTTGACTGGTCTCTCTGACACGTTCTGATAATGTCCCTTTGTCAAAAGATGAATGGCGCTTGTTTGGCACGTCAGCAGTGTTAGATTCCGATGGAATTGTAACGTCACTGGTTTGCAGTTCTTTCGGTTCAGAGTTTTTGATTTGTTCTTGTGATGGGCTGCTTTGGAGTTTGTCCGACTCATGCGTTGCAGACTGCAGCGACAACGCCCGGGCGGGTCCGTGTTGAGCCAATGAATGTGCCTGCTCGTTGTCAATAAGCGCCTTGGTGTCGATAAGTGACGTTGTTCTTACAAACGATGCGTGGAGGGCCCTTTCTTTTTGTTGCTGTTCAACGTCATTTACAGTTGTAGTGTCATCTTTTGTTTGCTTTGCCAGTAGTTGTGACGTAGGTACGACCTCAACAGATCCATGCGATTCTGCAGGTGCAGCTACAGAAGCGGGGTCAACTTTACGTACGACCACGAAAGAAGTTTGTGAAACTTGTGGTGAATCTTTAGTTGCCTTCACAAATATATCTTCAACGACGCCCTTGTTTTCAATGCTGCCTTCCTTCTCAAAACGGGGATTCTTGGCGATAATTTTCTTTTCTTTCTCCATCTTTTCCTTGTCTGCCTTTTCCTTCAGTGTTTTGTTCCTTTTTTCTTCCTTCTCCCTTCGCTGCCTCTCTTCTTTCTCTCGCTTTTCTTGTTCCTTTCGTTCCTTCTTTTCTCGCTCTTTCCTATCCTTTTCTTCCTTTTCTTTCAGCTCTCTTTCTTTCTTCTCTTTCTTTTTACGCTCCTTTTCCTCCTTTTCTTTTTCTTTCTTCTCTTTTTTCTTGTCAACTTCTTTGTCATATTTTCCATTAGAATCCCTTGATGGCACAGGGTTTACTGCTGCTTTCACTATCGTTTCCTCGACAACAGATTGTCTGTTTAAACCGTCTAAAGATTTTGGGGAACTCCCTTCGCCTGTGAAGGAAGGAATACTAGATGCATCTTGGGAAGTACGTTTTGATTCAGCATTGGGCTCTGCGACTTCTTCCAGGCTTCCTGTAATCACAGCACTTAATAGAACTATGGCAAACTAAATAACAAAAGTGCCATGATCCGCAACAGCTCAAAGAAAACTGCAATAAAAAAGAACAAAATATTTCTTGAGCCACTGCGTCCCTGTTTTTAAAACTCTAACAATATGAAAGAAAAATGTTGAAGCGGCGCCACCGTCATTTCTCTTTCAGGATGCTTTGTAGGGTTGTCTGTAAAGTTCTTATGCCGTAAGTCATGCAAGGCGTTAGTGGCACACGCAACTGGTAGCGAAGAGAGGGAAAAACCAGTCCAGTTTAAACAATCAGAAAGAATTTGTCGTGACCACTGATTGATTTTTATTCACCGGGGCTGTTTTGCATGCATCTATGATCGATGAGCAAACTTTTTTCTTTATTTAAATAAAAAATAAAATAAAGATCTTGTTTGCACTTTTTTCGAAGCACACTTGGGGGCTTGCAGCATAGATTGCGATTTACTTTTGGTTGGAACAAAGAGCTAGTCTTGCAGGCTCATCTTGATTGAACTCACGAAGAGTGGCAACGTGACAAGAGAGTTAGGAATATAAGTGGTTAAGGCACAACCATAGCTAGGCACTGGCTCGTCACGCCAAACTGTTTCTTTTGGATAAGGCATGCTGTGAGTGCTGGAGGCCTTACCTCGGGGGCTGGGATTTGGAAGCCAGGTGCAATATCCTCGACCAGGTGTGGGGCCCGGGACGTGGGTAACGTATTCCACGGGGGTTGGGGATGGGGACAAGGGAACGTCGGGAGGCTGCGCGCCCACGGGCACTACGTACTGCACGAGTGAGGGCGGTGGAGAAAACTCGAGGGGAAACGGGTCGGTTGGGCTGCCATGCCGTCGGCGCCTTGGTAGAGTGCTGACATCCCTGCGGTCCACTGTAGGGCTTGTCAGGTCCTCTAGAGAAAAGGAGCGCAGTTCACGCACGTGTGACGAGTGTACGTACAGCCTCTGCACCCGTGGCGTGTCTGGGGGAGACGTGGGAAAGCTGTCGCTTACGGACGCTGCGAAGCCCCTGGAGAAGCTCTGGGACTCGTTGGAGTCGGAGTCTACGTGGCACATACTGCGGATTTCAACTGTATCCTTCCCCGGCTCCGTTGTCCGGACTAGGAGCATTATCTGGGCCCTCACTGGTCTGTCCTCTGAGTCAGTGCTTTGCTTGGATGCGTCTGTTGACTCCCTACTGCTCTCCGACTCAGAGTCTTCCTGTCCATCCGGGGTGCGTGTGATGTTCCTGTACGCCCCCTCCCACCAAATGTCGTAGGCCTGCGTTGGACGGAGCAAGGAATCCATTGAGCTGGCTCGCCCTTGCAGTGTTTCACGAGGGACTTCGGACAGAGGTCGCGGCGGCATGGGCATTGAGTATCTCGCTTTCCTAGCCATCAGTTTGTCCTGCACTTGTTGACGAAGGCGTGCCTCTTCACGTTCCACATCCAGCACAAGTTTGTCAATGCACTTTTCTAGATCCTCTAAACTACAGCTCTGTTGAACACTTTCGTAAAGATCACTTTGTTCGGATGCGACGTCGTATTGATCTGTGTTATCCTCATTCAGTCTCAAATATGAAGGAAGGAATGGTGCGCTATTATTTACTAAGCTAGGAATGTCTACGTTCGAAAAGCTACAACTAGAAATATTTAAAAGATGAGAAAGCTGTTCGGAATAGCGGTCTTCTTCGGGAGGTCTTGTGTTAAAATAATAGGGAGACTCCCGTCCCTCGTAATTTGAGAAGTGTTCGAGTCTCTCGGGCTGGCTGAAATCTCTTTCGCCATGCCGAAAGCAACACGGGTACGAGTTAGTGCTGTCGTCTCCCGTGTTCTCACACTCGTTCATTAAATCTTGTTCATATTGTACTGCTATTTGATGTAAATCAAGCAAAGAGTGTTCATCGTCGCTTTCATCTGAGAACTCGTTCATAATTGGATATTCTTCATCCGTGAACTCGTTGGGACTGCAGTCTGCGTAAAAGCCATCTGAGAGATGACTTGAGCAGCATGGAGGACTATTTAAATTATCTGTGCGAGAGCAACTTGAACTTAAGTCATTCCCTGTAGAACACCCAAGACCATCTATCCCCTCGCCATAGGCCCTCGCGCACCTTTCTAAATCACTGAGTTGCTCGTCCAGGTCTTTAGAATATCTGTCAATCTCATCTGATGACGAGCATAGCCTTTCCCCGTAACTTTCTTCCCTTTCAAAATAAAGTCTGTCCCCAATGTAAGGCTCCTTAAAGCTCCCTCGCAAGAAGTCCTCATTACCTTCATCCGGTAATTGAGATGCACCTTCAAGAATATTTTGCTCGCACTCCACTTGAAAGAGTATTCGACCCACCGTTTCCTCGAGCTCCTCTAATTTCATGCTTGCCTCGGCAAGTGCGGAGAGATCGCTTTCGTCAAGCAGAGAGCCACTGCTGTACTTATCGTCGTCTTCCACCTCCCGTAGGACAGGCAGCCTCCCACGACGTGGGAAAGGATCTAGCGTCTCTAAGTAGTGGGATGGTACTTTAGTATACACAGATGAGTTGGAGGTGAGACAGGAGTTGCAAAGGGTGGGCCCCACGAAAACCGGCTCACTGCAGGCAGGAATCCCCCTCTCCGACTCCAGTGCGTCTAAGAGCCATAACAGCACAAGCGCGGTGAGCAAAACAGGCGTTGCGAGAACCACTTGCAAAAGAACTTTGTTTCTCCCGTGTCCAATAATTCACCGTTCTTTATAGCAAAAAAGCGTTTTTCGCCAAAATTGTTTTAACTCCTTTCAAAAAATGCAGTTTTTTGAAGAAATTTAAAAAAGACCTTATTACTGCGCTTTACCTGCACATTTTAGTAACAACGAAATCAAAATCTTCGATAGTGTAACGAAGCAAAAGAACATTTAAGTAGCAGCATCTCATTTAAGTAGCAGAAACTCATAATTTTGCAAGGGACCATCACCCCATTACCAAACCAACATGGTTTCCAAGTGCAGGAAGAAGTAACGAGTTTGCACAGACAAATAACACAATTAGTTGCGTCAAATTTACGGCGACAACCTGAAATGTAAACTTGCTGCAAAGTTGCTGCGAATAGAGAAGGAAATAAATGCACATTAACTCAGTTAATGTGACGGCAGCAAACTAGTTCTTATTTTGACCGATTTGGATCAAATAAAACGTTCTTGCAGAAACAGAAAACTAATAAAATTTTCCTGTAAAAGCAATCACTGTTCAAGCCCTATAAACGAACCATGCATGAAGTCACGCTCAGTATGGAGAAAGCTTCAAACAGTGGCAGAGAAGTTTATCTGTCAACCAAAACAATAACCAAAAACTATGCGCTGTGGGGTCCTGGCACGCACTATGCTAAAACAAAATATGATCAACTGGTACTTTTAAGATTCAACTTTACAAATGTGACATGACCTGAAAATAAGTGCATACTCTATGAAGCTTTCATACAGTAAGATGGTGGTGGACCAGTAGCAAGAAAACAGTTCGCATTGACCATTTGGCTTGAAAGCCAATGATAAATTTTTCATATGATTTCAAAAACTTTCTTGACTATTGAGATCCAAATCAAAGACGTTGGTAAGAAACGAGACACTCACCTTCTAGTGTTGTCGGCTGTGTTTTTGAAGCATCGACTCCTCCTGTCAACAAAAAACAACAAATATTAAAACTACATTAAACTAGCACGTGAAAAAGTTTTCTCTTTCAGTAAATAAACGTAAAATATTGTATTTTTAAGCCAACAGAACTCATAGCGTTAAAGCTGTTACACTCTTTCAACAACTATTATTAATAACCCCTTAGACAACTATTACTTGTTCGCCCTACTGTTCATCACCACCCTCATTTGCGTTAAAGCCTTAATGCCTCTGGTTAAGATTTAACAGATAAGCAAGCCACTACTTAAAGGACTTTACTTTAAACCACATGCAAGGGTTAAGCCAAATCTAGCAAAGGAAACGAAAAAGCATGTCATCAAATGTAGCAAAGCGACGTTCATCTAAAGAGCACCCCAGTAGCCAAATTCTGTTTCGTCTTGCAAGGAGCAATGTGATAAAAAAGAAACAGTAAAAAGCCGGTTCCCAATCTTATTTACCACCACCATATACTGTACGATTCAAACCTGGTGTAAGTGCAGAAAGCTGTTTGTGGCTGGACCCCGCGGGAGTGTGAACCATTGCTTCTGTTAATCATCAAACTTTCAAAGTTTCTTATAAGGCCTTGCACAAAACCCCTATGTGCGGAGCAAACTGAATCCCCTTCATTCAGCAAGGTTACGTCACCGAAATCAAATATTGCTTCATTGCAAAATGGAAAATCTAGCTCCAAAAAATAATTTACCGCTAGAAGGGACCTAAATGTAAGGTTAATTGTGACGGGGGTAAAAACTACAGTTGTGAGGTGTCCAGTAGGTTTTGGCAGGACGGTGAAACTATACGAACTGGGTGGATCCGGCCGCTGCTCGAGCGAGTACTGGTTTCTGGCGTCATACTCGCTGGCAACATAAACATTGGTACCTGCTGGAAGATTGGTCGTGTTTCCGCTGACGAGGGTCAGTCGGTCGTGGCCGCGGGCGACGCAGACGCATACGGAGGACTCCAGATCACCAGCCGGGCGGGCCGTCATGCAGACGCAGACTTCCGGACGGCTGTCAATGACTGCGATTCGACCTGTTATCTCTTCTTCCGAAAATCCCACTTCTTCGACGTCAGTGTTTACATCGCTTAAAAGCTGCCCTTTCACGTACTGTGCTTCTTCCGGTGGGTCGAGGTTAAACCGCCGAATGTTTTTGTCGAGCACGATGGTCTGCTCAGCATCAATGGAGACCCTAGCGGAGCGGACAAGTTCCTCGTCCGTAGAGGTCAGGAGGTCGTCTTCAACGTCCGTGTGTATTGCGCCTTCCGTTGCACTTTCCGCACCAAATGAGCTGCGACCTTTACCCACCGTGTTATTCAAAATATTTTGCCTTTCTTCAATAGAGAAAGGCCCATCACCTTCTTGAGTGGTAACTATTTCAATGCCATAATTCTTTAAACAATCGGGCGTTGCTCTGCCATCGGTCACATCGTCTTCTTCATCGGGGCCAGACGTTCCAGACATATCTTCCACATCCGTCTTTTCCCCTTGGACTTGCTGCACGTTTAAATATTGCAAGTTGTTGTTGGACGCCGGCTCTTTAACTCTGGACTCAAAGTCACTTAATTCGATTTCCTCAACTTCGGAAGTACCATGAGAAGGCACTTCTGGGCTTAGTGTTAATTTCGGCCTCCCAGAGCTGCGAGTCTTGTTTTTCTTTCTTTTGCTTCCAGAACTGCCAACATAAACGTCTTCCGTGTCTGTTAGTAAATCATGTTGGTCATCATCGGGTACTAACAATTTGGATCGTTTTTTCTGTATTTTCAGAGAATCACTTGACTCGACTGTTCCACCTTCAAAATCGGGTAGGTCAGGACTTTTACACTCAGAGATCTCATACTCATCATCCGACTCCCCGGGGACGTCTTCTGTGTCAGTTATCCCACCTGTTTCCACTGCGGGCATAAGGAGGCCTTGTGGCTGTGCATCACCCAACGGCATTACAACAGACTCTGGACGACCTTCGTCAACCTCTTTGAGCAATGTCAACTCCCTGACAGGAGGTGGGATCCGTTCGTCTGTGTCTTCATCATCTGGCTCTGGTGTGCAGGGCCGTAAGGACTCCTCATCCTCGTACATTTCGGTGTCAGTAAGGCAGCCAACATCTTGAACAGGGATGTGAAGGCCCTGAGATGAGGAGCCCCTGCGGCTTCCACAATCACTCTCTGTCATCCTCAGGTCTTCGTGGTCTGTAAGACACTCAATCGGACTTTTTTTCTTCACATCCAATGACTCTTCTTGATCAGAACTTTCCTCCTGATCTGCCTTTTGAAGGGTTATTTTTGGAACTCTTCTCTTAATAGAAGTCCGCATTTTAGGTTCCGGTTCATCGTCTGAACTTGTACAGCTGGATACTTTTGCATGAGACTTATGGCGAGTTCTTGTTCCGTGCATAACCGAAACACTCCCGTAATATTCCTCCATTTTCTTCAAAGCATTCAGCTCGTCTTGTTCAAAATTTAATTCCTCGCAATCTGTTACTGCTTCTGTGGGCTCTGGGCTGACTGCTAAGGTGCTTCCCTGTGGTACGTGCAAACTGCCTTCAAAATCCTCCTGGTCAGAAAGTGGTATGTCTTCCGCTTCCGTGTCTGGTGCACTTACGTCCAGCGGTCGGAGAAACGACTGACGTGATATACTGATTCTGCTGTGGGTTGGAAACTCAAAAGGCAGATCGGCTGCTTCTTGCCCTTGATATGGATCTTCCGCTGAAGACAACTCCAGATCTTCGACATCAGTCAGCCCCCCTGGAGAAACTGGGGTCAGCAGATTTCTAGGCGATCTACTCCTTCGACGTCTTCCACGCAGACCTGGGGTCTTGGCCCGTTCGTCTTCAGAGTGTGACGAAACTCCCGAGAACTCATCAGATAGAGCCGTTGGCGTGAGAAATTTCTTCTTCGGCGATTTTCTTGGTGACTTTGGTGTTCTTCTAATCTTCTTTATCGTGGTTGTTGGTTCAGGCGTGACTGCGGGGGACGGTGACAGGGACAAAGTGCCTCTTAACTGATCAGCTATGTCAACGGATCCCGACTCTCCTAAAATTGTGTCAATAATCCTCAAATCATCTTCTGTGTAGTCTACTTCTTCAATTTCAATGTCTCCTTCATCATCATCTATATCTTCAACATCAGTATGCCCCTCATCAGTTAAGGCTTCTGGAATGGATAGCATGCTGTGTACACCCGAGTTAGACACACTGTCCGATTGAAGTAGGGTTTGCGAGGGATCTTGTTCGTTCAGTTTCAATGTTTCTTGAAATGTATTCTCAAACTCAACAAATTTGTCAACGGAATAACCAGGGGTGGCACGGCCAGCTTCTTCTTCCCCGGCGTCAGACATTTCATACACGTCAATGTCGGTGAGTTCCCCCGGATCATCAGGAGAAAATACGATTGTTAAAGTGTTCGAGTCTGTGGGATCGCCGGACAGCATTTCTGATGAACTGATTGCGACGACGGGCAGTTGGTTGTCACACATTTCTTCGAAAGCTCCTTGCTTTAGTTCTGGTCTTAAAGCGTCGTCAGCTTCTTCTACAATGACATCCAAAGAAGCGCCAGCCTGAGATGCCGAGTTGTCAGCGCCGTTGAGTTTTTCCTCGACACTCGGAGAAACGAACCCGTTCCGTTCACCACGAAGATCAGGGGTATTGCTTGATACATCTAGAAGGTACACCTAATTAAGGGAAAAAATAATTTAAAAAATAAAATTGTTAACATTTTCAAGGTTTGGACAACAAAAATACAGCAGACGTTTTTTGCACATTTCTTCCAAAGACAATGTGTTATGGTTATTGTGGCAAAACGTAAAGACTGTGCATATCCGCTCTTTGAAATCGGTCATCTGGTAGTCCTTCACTTTGCTAGGGATCCCTCAATTTCCTCCCATTCGTTTTAAAAATCCATGCTTATCCTCTGAGGCCCCAAACCAAATTTAATCATACTGCATATGGTGGAGATTTTTCCGATAAGTTGATGCAAACCAAAAAAACATTCACTACAAAAAAACCATGCACGTTTTCACAAACTTTACCAGCGTCATAAACATCAAGCGAAAACAGTGAGAAAAAGAGCAAGCATATAAATATAAGCAAAGTTATTTCATTGTGAGTTTTTTTGTGTCTTTGTTTTTGTGTGCTTTTGTTTAGACCTGTATGTGTTGATCATTATGAGCAAACAGCAGAATTAATCTTCCCCAATGAGAAAAATATCGACTCAGCATTCGAGAATTGTGTTAAGTGTGTACTAAATTACAGCAGACTCAGTAAATCGTTTCTACTCACCACAAAAGTAAGCAAAATTTGTTTCAAATTGTGTGCAAAATAGAAAACGACCTCACCAGTGCTCAAGATAGAAGAAACAGAAAAATTTCCTCTGCCCTTATGAGTTTAATTCTAGATTATGTCTTAAAGCGTGACTATTGCTTGCGACCCCTCGTAATCTGACTATGCAAAAACTGCAACGGGCTCTTACAGACCATTTTTTCCCCGATCGCGGTAGTGCTCTATGTTCCGGCAGAACTGCACTCATAAGCCATGCTATAAAGGCAAAGAATGCTTTGGGCTTTACATCCCTCTGTTCACTATATGTTACCTTGTGACTCTAAGAGTCTCCCGCGACAAACTCCCACCGGCTTATTCTGTTCCAAACACCCATTTGCTTCTATATCGTCAGTGTTTCCAGGTTCACGCACCGTTTCTGCGGTATCCACCGATGAAACCACGTCTGAGCGCTTAGACGCCTTGGGTGACGTAGAACGCGAACGCCTCCGATCTGACGACGTTGACGACGAAGGAATGGCTGTGGACTCTGACAGAGAGGAGTCAGTGGTGTCAATAAACGACTGTTCGCCGTCTGTTGGTCGACGCTGCCGCTCAGGTTGGTGGTAAACCACTTCTACAGCCTCAGTGGATTCGACTGTTCGCGTAAATACTTCCGAGGTGAGCAGCTGCGTAACAAGTCCTTGCTGACTCGCTCGCGCGAGCTTACTGGGACTTGAAGGGAGCGACGTCTGCAGACGCGGGTGCAGGTAGTTCATCACATTGTCTTTTGTTGAAGGAATTGGTGCCGACGCGGCACGCCGAGGAGCCAACGGTGACTCCGGAAACGAGCTTAGAGGCCCTGTTGACTCTGTAAGGACGGATGGGCTCTCTAACTCCGCTGAAACCACATCAACGGACGGCACCTGTTCCTCCGCCTTAACCAGCGTTTTGGACGGCTTCACTTTAGTTTTCGTGGACGTTTGGCTTGGGATGGCGCGTCTTTGAATTTTGGACGGTTCCGTTACTGCAACAATAGTTTTCTTTGCAGTCCGTTGCGAGCTTGCCAAGACCGTGGACGACTTGCTTTGCTCAACGCTTGATACACGGGACGTCAGATGCGTCCTCGTACTGGTTGCACTTCGAGTAACTTCTTTCTGAGACTTTTGATCTGTTTTAGTGGTAGATGTACTTGCTGGCTGCAAAACTTTTGTCCGAGTGACACTACTTCGAGTACTGGACGCGCTGCTGCTCTCTGAGACTCGTCGGACAGACGAAGATGTTGAAGAGACGCTAGAGGGCCTCGAGTGAGCAGCTTGTTTATATTGCTGGACTGCAGGCTTCTTAAGTGGGCTGCCCTCTCGTGATGATGCCTGTGATTGTGTTCTGCTCACTTCACTGGCTTCCTTTTCAAGTTTTGCATCCCTTGATTTTGTGGACTGCATGTAATGGAACATAGGCCTAGGTTTCGGCACAGACTCGGACCGTGAAGTTTGTCTGTACGGACTTACGTAATCCTTGCCGGTTTCCGTCAGGGATGTCTTTTTACTTATGGTCTTTGTTGCCTTTGGCGTAGAAGACTTTTCAACTCCGTCCTTTCCAAGTGACAGTGTTGATTTCTTACTGCCCGCATCAGAGCTAGCCACTTTCCTAGACGTTGTTGCATCTCTCGAAACCGCTGCTTTTCCGCTAGATAGTGGCTTAGACGTTTGCTGTCTAGTATGCCGAACCTTTTCGGCACTGTCTTTTCCTTGAGTCCTTAAGCTCGTAAATTCTGTTTTTTTCTTGCCGAAGTTTTGTCGGCCTTCCTCCATTAATACATGGGACAAGGGCTGCGTTTCCTTTTTTATTCCGTGTGACGTAGTAAGATCAGAGCTATCCTCAGAATTATCACTTGCCTGAGTTGAAACATTTTCTCTCACAGTTATTTCAATAGCATCGTCAGAGATTATGTCTTCAGTTCTGACCCAGCTGTGCTCTTGATCAGTGTCATGCGCTTCTGTGAGTAAGCCTTGAGTGGAAACAATATCCTCCTCAATGTGTTCATTACTTTCTGTTCCACTTAACACGTCAATGTCTCTAACGGATGAATCTCTTTCTGAGTCAATGTCTTGGGAACTAGAGAATGTGCATGAAATTCGGCTTGCCGGACGCATTTCTCCACTAACAATTCTGCAAGTCGACAACACACTGCTATCCCCATTGCCCGTGCTCTCACCGGCCCCCGTCAATGAATCCCTATCAATCGAAGTATCAGAAATTTCAAAGCTTGAACCTGTTTCCGCTGCTTCGGAAACTGTTGTTATAGACACATCGGTGACGTCAGACGACGCTTCTTCAGCTGCAGTATCCAAGCAAAAGGCTATTCCTTCTGGCCGCGCAGCAGTTTCAGAGGCAGGAGATTTGTAGACAGTGCTGCTATACAGTCCTGCACTGCCTTGAGAATTATCAACAACTAATATTTCCTGATTTACAATAAGGTTATCTAGTTCAGCAATAGGTGCAGTCGTCCCCAAGCTCGTTTCCTCAGCACCTGTCAGCTCAGTAACAACCTTAACTTTACTTTCCACAGTATCAGAAGGTAAAGAAATGTCAGTTATACTCGAAATGTGCGAAGTTCTTACGACATTTCCTTTGCTTTGAGTTTCTACTTGTATTGTATCGTCTTTGTGATGAGAACCTGAGAACCCAATAGAGGGAGGAATGTGAGTGGAAGATGTGACAATGTCCGATTCTGAGACAGAACCTTTCGTAAGTAATAAAGTTATTTGTTCAGGTTTGTCCTGTGACTTTAATGAAGAGGACTGCTCCATTTTCGACAGTCGTACATTTTTTTCAACTGGTTCAGAAAATGTCAAACTGATCTCTTTTTCAAGTTGCTCCGTAACAACAACTTCTGATGTTTTCGGGGATTTTTTAGGCGACGCAACCTGCTCAGAACTTTTACCAGATTTCTTTTCAGACTGCAATTCTTGCGCCTCTTTTGCGACAAAATCAAGTTCTAGCGCAGATGGGGTTATGCTGACAATCATTTCCCCAATGTCAGGTTTCTCGTCACTTCTAGGTACAACCGATTGGTAAAGTCTCCTCTCTTCGGCCAAAAACTGTGCAGTTTCATCAAGAGGTGATTTAAAGCCATCACCAACTTTATCAAAGGGTTTTTCGCTTTCAGACACGGTATCTACAGAAGGTGATTCATGTTCGGAGTCGTCAAGCTCCCTTGCAACGCGCCTAACACATAATTCCTCGTCTGCCACGACAGGAGTAGCTGCACTGTCAACCGATGTTAAATCCCTAGGAGAACGTGAATGGACAGGACTTATCTTCCTGCTCGAATGGTGTAGCTCATCTTTGCCAACAACTCGGAATTCTGACAAATCCATGGCCAAATCATCAAGTAATTCATCAACTGGTGGCTTCTTTATTATTTTCTGAACGCAAACAGGCTCTTCGCAACCAGAATCAGCTGGCAACGACTCAACACCAATCAAACGAGAGGGTACCACAATTTCCTCTAGAACTGGCTTTTCACACGAGTCATGTTTTTCCGAATGTACCGGACTGCTTGAAATGGCAGGAGAAACAGCAGAGGGCTCGGGCAGTGTAGATTCAGAGCCAAGGCGATCAAGAGACAAAGCCATTTGGGATGAAGACGCAACATGATCAATGGGAGAACTTGATTTTAACACTTCTGACGACGTTTCCAGAGAACTTTTAACAAACGTACTAGACATAGAAGTCTCAGTTACAGAATCGAAGGCATCAAAATGGTGAGGATCATTTTCATTTGCCTGACTATTTAAGGCAGTGCCATAAGATCCACCATCATGTTTGCTGCTGACAATATCTGGAAGTTCCATATGGGAAATTTTGGAAGAAATAATAACACGTTCACCAGAAGAATGTGACGAACTTTCAAAAACGTGAGTCACTGAATCAATTTTGACACACGTTTCTAGAACCAAATCACTATCAATTGAACGGTCCCGTTGAACACTAGGCAAAACAGACTCACTGGTTGAGGAAATAACTTCAGAACGCTCGATTAAAGACTCAGCGATATCAACTTCGCATTTAACTGACATTCCCGATGACTGTGACAGAGTTGATGTTTTGAACGTAATTTGACCGCCAATACCGGATTGAGATAAAACGTCAATTATCGCAGAAGTATCATCAACCTTCTCAAATATATCAGGAGAATTCGAATCAGATGCGTATTTCATGCCACTTGCGATTTCATGATGCTCCATTTCTGAATAATCTAAAACTTTTTCGGCGCCAGCGACAGCTTTGTCTGCAGCGGTAACAGCCGTTTCCACCCCAGATTTGACGCCGTCCGTGACTGCCTCAGCTGCGTCCTTAACGTCAGTGGCAACCTCAGAAGATGCCGCTTTCACTTTGTCAGCCTTGTCTTCAACTTTCTGAGACAGGTCCGCAACTTCGGCTGTCACAGACTCGGAAGCGTCCTTGGCGGTCTCCTCTACTTTCTCGCTAACGGTGTCTACTGCCTCCTTGCCCTTGCCCATGAGTGAGCCGAAGAAGCCACCCACAGCTTTCTTGGCATCCTTGACTTTACTTTTGCTCTTCTTGCCTAGCTCGTCCTTCTCGTGTTCGACGCTGTCTTTAGCTGCTGTAAGCGCTTCCACGGTGTGGTCCTTTGCTTCCACCACACTATCTTTAACATCATGCACCAGCTGCTTGCCATCCTCAACCGTTTCGTCCACCGCTTTTTCGGCGCCCGTGACAGCATCGTCTACAGCGGTAACAGCCGTTTCCACCCCAGATTTGACGCCGTCCGTGACTGCCTCAGCTGCGTCCTTAACGTCAGTGGCAACCTCAGAAGATGCCGCTTTCACTTTGTCAGCCTTGTCTTCAACTTTCTGAGACAGGTCCGCAACTTCGGCTGTCACAGACTCGGAAGCGTCCTTGGCGGTCTCCTCTACTTTCTCGCTAACGGTGTCTACTGCCTCCTTGCCCTTGCCCATGAGTGAGCCGAAGAAGCCACCCACAGCTTTCTTGGCATCCTTGACTTTACTTTTGCTCTTCTTGCCTAGCTCGTCCTTCTCGTGTTCGACGCTGTCTTTAGCTGCTGTAAGCGCTTCCACGGTGTGGTCCTTTGCTTCCACCACACTATCTTTGACATCATGCACCAGCTCCTTGCCTTCCTCAACCGTTTCGTCTACCGCTTTTTCGGCGCCCGTGACAGCATCGTCTACAGCGGTAACAGCCGTTTCCACCCCAGATTTGACGCCGTCCGTGACTGCCTCAGCTGCGTCCTTAACGTCAGTGGCAACCTCAGAAGATGCCGCTTTCACTTTGTCAGCCTTGTCTTCAACTTTCTGAGACAGGTCCGCAACTTCGGCAGCCACAGACTCGGAAGCGTCCTTGGCGGTCTCCTCTACTTTCTCGCTAACGGTGTCTACTGCCTCCTTGCCCTTGCCCATGAGTGAGCCGAAGAAGCCACCCACAGCTTTCTTGGCATCCTTGACTTTACTTTTGCTCTTCTTGCCTAGCTCGTCCTTCTCGTGTTCGACGCTGTCTTTAGCTGCTGTAAGCGCTTCCACGGTGTGGTCCTTTGCTTCCACCACACTATCTTTGACATCATGCACCAGCTCCTTGCCTTCCTCAACCGTTTCGTCTACCGCTTTTTCGGCGCCCGTGACGCCGTCTACGCGTCAGCGTCCTCCCAATTTGAGCGCCGCTTCACTGTCCTTGTCAACTAGAAGTCCGCACTTCGCTGTCTCAACTCGAGCGTCCTTCGGCTTCACCTCGAACGTGCTCTCCTCTCTTTCCTAGGGCAGCCCTTCTTGCATTGACACCTTCTTGCACTGCTTTCTTTGCCTTCTTGCTGCTGTCCTTCCGGTTGCCTTCTCCTACTCACGTGGTCCTGCTTCCCACCTTCTTACTTCCGCCCTGCCTCTCAACGTCACCGTTCCCCGTGACGCTCGTACGCGTACGCGTTTCACCCAATTAGCGTCCGCTTCACTGTCTTGTCTGCAACTCAGAAGTCCACTTCGCTGTCTCAACTCGGAGGTCCTTCGGCTTCACCTCCGGGTCTCTCCTCCTACGTGTAGCCCTGCCCCCCATTGCAAGACCACTTCTTGCTCCTGCTTCTTTCTTTCGCCTGCTTCTCTGTGTTCAGTTGTCTGCTTCCACGTGTCTTTGCTCCACCACCTTCTTCTCAGCGTCTGCTCTCACGTCGTACCTTTTCGCGGTACAGCTCCCAGGTACGCCGTCCCCCCAGTGCGCCTCGCGCCACCGCTACGCTGCACTGCCGCTCACTTTTAGCTGTCTCAACTCGGCGTCCGACTCGGGCGCTGGAGCTCCTCCCCCCCCCCCCCCCCCCCCCCCCCCCCCCCCCCCCCCCCCCCCCCCCCCCCCCCCCCCCCCCCCCCCCCCCCCCCCCCCCCCCCCCCCCCCCCCCCCCCCCCCCCCCCCCCCCCCCCCCCCCCCCCCCCCCCCCCCCCCCCCCCCCCCCCCCCCCCCCCCCCCCCCCCCCCCCCCCCCCCCCCCCCCCCCCCCCCCCCCCCCCCCCCCCCCCCCCCCCCCCCCCCCCCCCCCCCCCCCCCCCCCCCCCCCCCCCCCCCCCCCCCCCCCCCCCCCCCCCCCCCCCCCCCCCCCCCCCCCCCCCCCCCCCCCCCCCCCCCCCCCCCCCCCCCCCCCCCCCCCCCCCCCCCCCCCCCCCCCCCCCCCCCCCCCCCCCCCCCCCCCCCCCCCCCCCCCCCCCCCCCCCCCCCCCCCCCCCCCCCCCCCCCCCCCCCCCCCCCCCCCCCCCCCCCCCCCCCCCCCCCCCCCCCCCCCCCCCCCCCCCCCCCCCCCCCCCCCCCCCCCCCCCCCCCCCCCCCCCCCCCCCCCCCCCCCCCCCCCCCCCCCCCCCCCCCCCCCCCCCCCCCCCCCCCCCCCCCCCCCCCCCCCCCCCCCCCCCCCCCCCCCCCCCCCCCCCCCCCCCCCCCCCCCCCCCCCCCCCCCCCCCCCCCCCCCCCCCCCCCCCCCCCCCCCCCCCCCCCCCCCCCCCCCCCCCCCCCCCCCCCCCCCCCCCCCCCCCCCCCCCCCCCCCCCCCCCCCCCCCCCCCCCCCCCCCCCCCCCCCCCCCCCCCCCCCCCCCCCCCCCCCCCCCCCCCCCCCCCCCCCCCCCCCCCCCCCCCCCCCCCCCCCCCCCCCCCCCCCCCCCCCCCCCCCCCCCCCCCCCCCCCCCCCCCCCCCCCCCCCCCCCCCCCCCCCCCCCCCCCCCCCCCCCCCCCCCCCCCCCCCCCCCCCCCCCCCCCCCCCCCCCCCCCCCCCCCCCCCCCCCCCCCCCCCCCCCCCCCCCCCCCCCCCCCCCCCCCCCCCCCCCCCCCCCCCCCCCCCCCCCCCCCCCCCCCCCCCCCCCCCCCCCCCCCCCCCCCCCCCCCCCCCCCCCCCCCCCCCCCCCCCCCCCCCCCCCCCCCCCCCCCCCCCCCCCCCCCCCCCCCCCCCCCCCCCCCCCCCCCCCCCCCCCCCCCCCCCCCCCCCCCCCCCCCCCCCCCCCCCCCCCCCCCCCCCCCCCCCCCCCCCCCCCCCCCCCCCCCCCCCCCCCCCCCCCCCCCCCCCCCCCCCCCCCCCCCCCCCCCCCCCCCCCCCCCCCCCCCCCCCCCCCCCCCCCCCCCCCCCCCCCCCCCCCCCCCCCCCCCCCCCCCCCCCCCCCCCCCCCCCCCCCCCCCCCCCCCCCCCCCCCCCCCCCCCCCCCCCCCCCCCCCCCCCCCCCCCCCCCCCCCCCCCCCCCCCCCCCCCCCCCCCCCCCCCCCCCCCCCCCCCCCCCCCCCCCCCCCCCCCCCCCCCCCCCCCCCCCCCCCCCCCCCCCCCCCCCCCCCCCCCCCCCCCCCCCCCCCCCCCCCCCCCCCCCCCCCCCCCCCCCCCCCCCCCCCTTTGTCAGCCTTGTCTTCAACTTTCTGAGACAGGTCCGCAACTTCGGCTGTCACAGACTCGGAAGCGTCCTTGGCGGTCTCCTCTACTTTCTCGCTAACGGTGTCTACTGCCTCCTTGCCCTTGCCCATGAGTGAGCCGAAGAAGCCACCCACAGCTTTCTTGGCATCCTTGACTTTACTTTTGCTCTTCTTGCCTAGCTCGTCCTTCTCGTGTTCGACGCTGTCTTTAGCTGCTGTAAGCGCTTCCACGGTGTGGTCCTTTGCTTCCACCACACTATCTTTGACATCATGCACCAGCTCCTTGCCTTCCTCAACCGTTTCGTCTACCGCTTTTTCGGCGCCCGTGACAGCATCGTCTACAGCGGTAACAGCCGTTTCCACCCCAGATTTGACGCCGTCCGTGACTGCCTCAGCTGCGTCCTTAACGTCAGTGGCAACCTCAGAAGATGCCGCTTTCACTTTGTCAGCCTTTTTTTTTTTTTTTTTTTTTTTTTTTTTTTTTTTTTTTTTTTTTTTTTTTTTTTTTTTTTTTTTTTTTTTTTTTTTTTTTTTTTTTTTTTTTTTGGGGGGGGGGGGGGGGGGGGGGGGGGGGGGGGGGGGGGGGGGGGGGGGGGGGGGGGGGGGGGGGCCCTCCGTGACTGCCTCAGCTGCGTCCTTAACGTCAGTGGCAACCTCAGAAGATGCCGCTTTCACTTTGTCAGCCTTGTCTTCAACTTTCTGAGACAGGTCCGCAACTTCGGCTGTCACAGACTCGGAAGCGTCCTTGGCGGTCTCCTCTACTTTCTCGCTAACGGTGTCTACTGCCTCCTTGCCCTTGCCCATGAGTGAGCCGAAGAAGCCACCCACAGCTTTCTTGGCATCCTTGACTTTACTTTTGCTCTTCTTGCCTAGCTCGTCCTTCTCGTGTTCGACGCTGTCTTTAGCTGCTGTAAGCGCTTCCACGGTGTGGTCCTTTGCTTCCACCACACTATCTTTGACATCATGCACCAGCTCCTTGCCTTCCTCAACCGTTTCGTCTACCGCTTTTTCGGCGCCCGTGACAGCATCGTCTACAGCGGTAACAGCCGTTTCCACCCCAGATTTGACGCCGTCCGTGACTGCCTCAGCTGCGTCCTTAACGTCAGTGGCAACCTCAGAAGATGCCGCTTTCACTTTGTCAGCCTTGTCTTCAACTTTCTGAGACAGGTCCGCAACTTCGGCTGTCACAGACTCGGAAGCGTCCTTGGCGGTCTCCTCTACTTTCTCGCTAACGGTGTCTACTGCCTCCTTGCCCTTGCCCATGAGTGAGCCGAAGAAGCCACCCACAGCTTTCTTGGCATCCTTGACTTTACTTTTGCTCTTCTTGCCTAGCTCGTCCTTCTCGTGTTCGACGCTGTCTTTAGCTGCTGTAAGCGCTTCCACGGTGTGGTCCTTTGCTTCCACCACACTATCTTTGACATCATGCACCAGCTCCTTGCCTTCCTCAACCGTTTCGTCTACCGCTTTTTCGGCGCCCGTGACAGCATCGTCTACAGCGGTAACAGCCGTTTCCACCCCAGATTTGACGCCGTCCGTGACTGCCTCAGCTGCGTCCTTAACGTCAGTGGCAACCTCAGAAGATGCCGCTTTCACTTTGTCAGCCTTGTCTTCAACTTTCTGAGACAGGTCCGCAACTTCGGCTGTCACAGACTCGGAAGCGTCCTTGGCGGTCTCCTCTACTTTCTCGCTAACGGTGTCTACTGCCTCCTTGCCCTTGCCCATGAGTGAGCCGAAGAAGCCACCCACAGCTTTCTTGGCATCCTTGACTTTACTTTTGCTCTTCTTGCCTAGCTCGTCCTTCTCGTGTTCGACGCTGTCTTTAGCTGCTGTAAGCGCTTCCACGGTGTGGTCCTTTGCTTCCACCACACTATCTTTGACATCATGCACCAGCTCCTTGCCTTCCTCAACCGTTTCGTCTACCGCTTTTTCGGCGCCCGTGACAGCATCGTCTACAGCGGTAACAGCCGTTTCCACCCCAGATTTGACGCCGTCCGTGACTGCCTCAGCTGCGTCCTTAACGTCAGTGGCAACCTCAGAAGATGCCGCTTTCACTTTGTCAGCCTTGTCTTCAACTTTCTGAGACAGGTCCGCAACTTCGGCCGCCACAGATTCGGAAGCGTCCTTGGCGGTCTCCTCTACTTTCTCGCTAACGGTGTCTACTGCCTCCTTGCCCTTGCCCATGAGTGAGCCGAAGAAGCCACCCACAGCTTTCTTGGCATCCTTGACTTTACTTTTGCTCTTCTTGCCTAGCTCGTCCTTCTCGTGTTCGACGCTGTCTTTAGCTGCTGTAAGCGCTTCCACGGTGTGGTCCTTTGCTTCCACCACACTATCTTTGACATCATGCACCAGCTCCTTGCCTTCCTCAACCGTTTCGTCTACCGCTTTTTCGGCGCCCGTGACAACATCGTCTACAGCGGTAACAGCCGTTTCCACCCCAGATTTGACGCCGTCCGTGACTGCCTCAGCTGCGTCCTTAACGTCAGTGGCAACCTCAGAAGATGCCGCTTTCACTTTGTCAGCCTTGTCTTCAACTTTCTGAGACAGGTCCGCAACTTCGGCTGTCACAGACTCGGAAGCGTCCTTGGCGGTCTCCTCTACTTTCTCGCTAACGGTGTCTACTGCCTCTTTGCCCTTGCCCATGAGTGAGCCGAAGAAGCCACCCACAGCTTTCTTGGCATCCTTGACTTTACTTTTGCTCTTCTTGCCTAGCTCGTCCTTCTCGTGTTCGACGCTGTCTGTAGCACCTGTTATTACTTCTTCGGTGTGATCCTTTTTGTCTGTCTTACTTATCGTTTCGTCCTTTACGTAGGACTCTTGTTCGTTTGTAAGGAACATTCGTGTTTTTTCGAGGTTGTCTTTTGTTCTGTTCTTTTTAGTGTCATCTGTGGTGTCTGATACGGTCATTGCTTTTGCGACTTGCTCTTGGTCTGGGCTTTCCCTCTGTGTTCTTGGTATTTCGCTGGTTTCGGATATGGTTTGGATGTCCCTGCTGACAGTTGTTTCTGTATTTTCTTGTTTTTGTTTTAATTCTTCTGCTTGTATTACTGTGTGTTGCGTGGTTATGTCTCCACCTTGCTTTTTTATGGATTTATCTCCTGTCTTTTTGTCTTTCTGGCTTATATCAGTGGCTTCTCTTCCTTTCCCTAAAAGTGATCCAAAAAATCCGCCACTAGGTTTCTTTAATTCTTTTTGTTTTTCTTTGCCAATTTTTTCGGTCTCTTCTTTCTTCTGATGTGTTTCGACCTTTGTTTCCTCTAAATATGGTACTTTTGTTTCATTTGTTTCTTTAACGTAAGCAGATTGTTCGTTCGCAAGAAAAGTTTTCGTAGTTTCTATGTGGATTGACAAACTCTCTTTTTCACTTCCATTTGGTGCTCTGATATCTGTATCTTGACCATCCCCTTCTGCATTTTCATTTTTGTTCCTGCCCGTTTTCTTAGGTTCCGATTCTTTGTCTGCTTCAGGCTCGTCACTTTCCTTACTTTTGCTCAGAAGAGACCCGAAAAATCCACTTACTGACTTTTTAGCCTCTTTCACTTTGATTTTAGTGTCCTCTGTTTTTTTATCTTTGTCATGAGTTTCATCAATGATTTCTGTTGCTTGTAAGCTTGTGTCTGGTGTCACGGTTATTGATTCCCTTTCATCTGTGTGCCCTTGTTTTTCTGGAACGTAGAGCTTTTGCTCTGTTTGAAGGAAGTCTTGCGTTGCTTTTAAGTCAGTTACGATATCTGCATCTAAGTTGGGAAGCTGTTTTTCTTGTTCCTGTCTCTCGTTTTCTGTTGTTATTTTTTCTTGTGTTTCAGTGTGCTTTGTTTCTGCTCCTTTGCTGCTTGTGTCCATGCTTTGCTCTTTTTCATCAGAGTCTTTGCTTTTTCCTCTAAGAGCCCCAAAGAAACTTATCTTTTTCTTAGGTTCCTTTTCTTTTTTGTGCTTTCCGTGATCCTGTTTCTGTTCTTCTGGTTCAGTTTGTTGTGCTTTTACGGTTTCACCCGATTTTTGCTGTTCGTCTGCGTCGTCTGCAAACAATAAGTCATCTCTACTGGGTTCATACATCTCTGTCTCGTTCTTAAGGAACGCTTGTGTAATTTGTCTATCATCTAGTGCAGTGTCTTTTGTTTCTGGTAAGGTATTTGGTTTTGCATCTTTTTCTACTGTTTCTGAGGTAGATACTTCTTCTTTAATATCTTTTTCCCGCTTCTTTTTCTTCGACTTTTTGGGAGCGGGATGTCTTTGGGAGTCACTGCTTTCTTGTTCGGAATCTGAGTCCCTAGAGCGGCCCATAAGGGACCCAAAGAAACCTCCTACAGCACGTTTAGCCTCTTTGACCTTCCCTCTTATTTTGTGCCTCGCCTCTGGGGTAGATTCTTGAGAATCGCCAGCAGGCATTTCAATATCTTTTTCTAATATTTCTTCGACTTCAATTATAATTTGTTCGTCAGTTTTGTCTGTTGTTTCTTTTTGGAGAATTTCCGCGGCTTTCAACATTTCTTTCTTTACTTTTTGATCTTTTACGTCTTTTTCTTTCTGTAATTCTAAGTTGGCTTGCGCAAGCGCGGACCCAGTGTTACCAACGGCAACTAACTCATCCTTTCCACGTCGTGTTTCTTCAATAATTTGCGAATTTGTTTCAGTAGTTTTGTCAAGAGTAAGTCCTCTTTCAGCGTCCAGTAGACTCTGCGTTACCGTCCTTACTGTCGACGTATCTAGCTGGACAGGCTTAGAAAGTATTTTTCCATCTAAATTAGTGTTGTCTACATGTTTTTGTGCCTCATCAATAGGGCTCATAATGTCAAAGGAGTCCCCCTTTAAACTTTTTATTGCGCTTTCAGCATCTGCAATACTATCTTGTACCTCTTTTTGTGCTCTATCAACTTCTTCAGCTGCAGTCGCTGTGTCACGGGCAAGTTTATCTAACTTTTCATCAAACTTACTTGCAATATCCTGATCTGTAGTTACTTTAAGATCTGGCAGTACTGACAAAATGCTTTTATGTATCTCTTTGTCTCCCGACCCCTTAATAACATCATTCACCTTGTCCTTTTCACCTTTTACTAAATGTACGTAAGTCTTTCCTTTACTTTCTGAAGTATCTTTTGATGAGATCGAAGCGGCGTCAACGGCCATTGACTGACCTACAGCAACTCCAACAATAAGAGCGGAACGGAGCTCACTTTCTATGACCCTGATACCATCAGCTAAATCACCTCCCTTCTCAGAACCTTCATCAACTTTTTCTTTGTTTACTGCCTCAAGCGATTCCAAGACTGGATCTACATCTGGTGTAGATTCAGATGGAGTGCCAGTGCCAACATTTGAACTCAGAACCGTGGGTTCATCAGGAGATGAACGTGGTCTAGTATCAACGTCTACGTCCTCTGCCACTTCACCTTTAGTAGACGGTGAGTCAGAGGCTTGTTGGCTGGTTACTTCTGGTATTAACGACATGCCCGTTGCCCTTGCTAAAGCTAAATTGAGTGTTCCTAAGTCTGCCCCTTCTGGTGTTGGAGTCAAGTCTGGTTTCAACTGGCGGACCTCTTGCTTTATCTGTCTAGTGCATTCAGCCACTTCAGACATTAAATCTGATACATCTCTTTCGGTTACGACATTATCTGAACCTTTTTGTAAGCTACGTGGTCTGGGGTCACCTGGGTCTTTTTTACCAAATCCTACATCAAGGGATTCATCAACATTAGGGGCATCCTTAATGCTAGGACCAACTGTGTCTCGGTGAGTGCTGGCTTCACTCTTGACTTCTAGCACAGATAGGGTCGCGGAGCTTTCCGTGCTTGCAGAGTCTTCTTCAACTTGTGCGCTTGGTGATAACACTTCGGGTGAGCCGTCTGGAGCTAGGCGGCCCACAGGTGCCTTCTTATCGTCTCTTCTCTCTGTTACTCTGTCATCCAAGGACTTCTGAATTCTCTCAAGGGTTTCTTTCGCAGACGCAAGGTTTGTTTCAAGATCACGCGGCGTCTCAGGTAACAGCTGTAATGGTTCTTGAGCACCAGCAGCAGTTGTTAAAGATGAAGAGTCTGTTGCATCTAGAGTCTGCTGGATTCTTTGCAGAGTTTCTTGTGCCGCTAGCAATGAGTCTTTTACTTCAGTTGGTGACTTATGAGAAGACGTTGTTTCAGCATGCGACACATGAATGGTTTCGGTTTGTTCCTTCTCAGATCCAGAAGATTCTGAAATACCTTTGATTACAGTTTCTCGAAGCTTTTCCATTGCGTCCACAGCCGTTGTTAAGTTTTGTTCCACTGAAGAAGATTCTGTTTTTGTTTCTTGTTTTGTGGTGCCCACCTGGCTAATCTCGTGAGTTGTTTTGTCGATTGATATGATCACTGAGCTTGCAAGAAGATCCTCCTTTTTAATATCTTCACGAACAGTTTCAACGGTTATAAATTTCGTACTCTCTCTTTGTGCTTCTATCTTAGTAACTTCAACAGAAGACTGCTCTGTGCTGGAGAAAGCGATTTCTTTTGAAATTGTGGTTTCCGTAACACTGTGGGATGGTTTCTTTAACTCGCCCTGTCCACCTGGCACCTCTGCTGTCGAAGAGGGGTACAAGTGTTCAAGTCGAGTCAGAACTTCTTCCGCTTCAGTAAGTTCCACAGGACTTTCTTCTTGAGAAGTTAACTGGAGGCCCAAATCTCTCGGAGGACTGTCTTTGCTGCTGGAGCGCCGTGCGTGCTTGGGTGTCCCCAAGCTGTCTTCAATTTCTTCAACAATTTTAAACACGCCCGGGTGTGAGCTCAGGTTTTCTTCCTCTGAGTCATCGTCGGCCACCCGTTTCACGTCATCCTTTTCGATTGACTCGGAAAATACTTTTTGCAATTCTTTCACTTTAGGACCCAACTGCTTCGGTGGGCTTAAGTCTTTGGTGGCTGACATAGCCTCATCTGCACCAACATTTATAACAAGCTCACTTCTGAATGTTTTTGCTTGTGTTTCGACTCCCTGGTCATTAGCTCCACCTGTCCTGTCAACATCACGAACAAACTCTGATGCTGTTCCAATCGATTCCGACAAATTACCAATGTAACTATCTGATTCAAGAGGTATGGGGGCAGAGGCCGATAGAGAGCTCAACTGCTTGAGTGATTCGTCATCCGAACCAATCGGGCTCACACCAGCATCTTTCGTGTCGATGGAGTCCGTGTAAACGGACGCCTCTGAAGTTGGAATCTCTATGGGGGACAACGCAACAGAGCTAGACTCGATATGGTAGTCATGTGGACTTGTACCCATTTCGGCAAAGCTAACGAGAGTCACCTCCTCGTCGTAGAATTTCATGTCCGTAACAGGCAGGCCGATGTCATCAGGTTGTATGGGACTCAGTCCGGCATCAGTTAGTTCCGACTCCTCCGCCTCCTCGTCGCGGTCCACTCGGCCACGTGCTGGCTGCAGAGCTGGGCTGGTCTCTGTGGTGCCTCGCGTCAGGCTGATTCCAGTGTCGGTGATGAGATGCGACGCGCTCTCGTCCGTGCCAGGACTGTCCACAGAGGCCACGATGGCGTCTCCTTGGTCATAACGGTACACGCTCTCCTCTCCGCTGAACAGGACCGTCTCCTCCCTCTTGCGGTCCTTCTTGGACGGTAGGATGAAGATTCCGCTGCTCTCGGGGCTGGACTGGTCCTTATAGGCGGCCTTGGAGCGCTGCGCAGGCGCCCTGCGCACGGTCGTCTCGGTCTCTTCGGTCACGTCAGCGTCGCACGGCGCGGACGTCGAGGTGGACTCCCTCCTGGTGACACTGATGTGGGACTCGGACCGAATGGAGATCTCCACGTCCTGCGAGCCGTACAAGGTGACCCTGCTCTCCGAGGAGGCACTGGCGTCGCGCGTGCGCACCTTCTTGTGCCCGATGACGAGCTCCAGGGTGGGTGGCGTTTGCGCCACTCTGCTGACCGGGCTGGTGGATCGCGAGGTGTGCTTCTTGGCGTCGCTGGTGCTGGCCTCGTCCTCGTCGCCCACGCCACCCGTCAGCCGATCCACGTCCTTGCGGTGCTCCGCGTGCTTCTCGTCCGCAGCGCCCTTCTCTTCCTCGGGGGATGTGGGCGACTTGAACTCGGCGCCCATCTGGTCCATCTTGTGCTCGCGTGCAGAGATGGCCCGCTTCTCCGCGACCAGCAGCGACGGTGCGGGCGGTGCGGACGGTCTGAGCGGCGTTCTGGCCGCCTCCTCGTCGTCGCTCTCATCAGGGATGGCGATGAAGCCGAGCCTAGAGCCGACAGGAGGCGTTTCCAACAGGAACTGCTCCTGGAAGCTGTCTGCGTCCAGGTCCTCATCCTCTTGGGGCGATGAGACGCCAGCCGCCACTGCAGCGTGCAACCAACACACAGGACAGGTTACAGGTCCGTTCGCTTCCATGCGCTCCAGAAAACACTCTCTCAATTCCAGGTGTGTCCGGGAGAGTGGGGCAGGCGTGAAGGAGGGGGGGCTGGTGAGAACAGACAGCAGCCAAGAAAAACAAGCCAGCAACTTTCCATCCATTGCAAGAAAAAGCCAGAAAAGGTTCACTACTGAGCATATTTATCTTCTCCCAGTGACCACAGTTCTCCCTTTTCTACGCTAGTCCAATAGCGGCAAGGACGTTCCTCTCACCATCTCAGTCTCTAGGGCACCCCACGTCCCGCGCCGAGAAACGTCCCTACAAAGTGACCCCAGACCACGGTATCATGCATCAAAAAGCGAGTGAGCGCCAGCTCTTCGGCATGCAAGTCTCTACTGACCTGAGGAAGCCTCAGTTCGCACACTTTATGCCTCTATTGACGCGAGAGAAGCATCGTCAGGCAGACAGTTCACTAAAACAAGTGAGTGAAAAATTATTGCCACATGGCGTCACAAATTCCTCAATGAGGGAAGCCGATCCACGGCGACCAGGCGTCCACACTCACTGACTTCTTCGTTCATTTTCCAAACAGCGGAGAAAGCAACGAGTTTGCCTCAGGTAGTGAAAGCATCCATCACCAATATATTCCGCAACTGAAATTCAGTTTCTAAAAGAGTGTCCGCTTGAGCTGTTTTCCACCCCGCTAACCAGCCAACCACAGGCTGTCTAGAAGAGCTCGAGAAAGGTCAAATCCGGACTTCAGGTAATGAAACTGGTCTCAGTGAGATAAACAATAAAATATTCTTCTGGTGAAAAAGTCTAGATAGTCGTGCTTATCCCCACCGTTTGACCTAAGTAGCGCAAGCCTTGCCTTCATACGGGTGAATTCTCGCCCTTACGTGTCCTTAGATTAGTTGAGTGCAAACAGTCCATTGAACGACAGAGTCTGCCCCGAGTTTCCCGTGTGCAAAGCGACAAGTGAAATGATGTGTTGATGAGTGTGTTCAGAATACAGATGGGCAATGTGTGGCGGATCCTCTTGAGATGCTGTGATAAACGTATACACAATGGATCGAAACCAATATTTTTTGTTCAGCATGGAGTTGAGCACATAGATTTACACTACGCATGTACGAAACTACTTGGTTGCCAGCAGGGCACATGCATTACAGTGCGCGCGTGGCAGCGTGAACACGAACAACGATGTGCAGCAAGTGAGTTGTTCAACTTGGCTACCGCAATTGGAGTTTCCGGTGCGCGACTCGCCTTTACAGAAATAAAGGTTTTTTCCACGAGAAGCAAAACATTAGACCGGTATTAATTTAACAAGTATTCGGAAATTCATTTGCAAAGCACCGGGCCGTGCAAGGTAGGCACAGAGGGTCTCGTCCCTGCCTCTTAGGGGGGCCGAGACATGTTCTCGGTGAGACAGCAAACATGTCTCGCGATTAGTGTTCAAGACTACAAGTTCGAACGAAAGTGCACGCCAAGTTTGAAGTTGCGTAAAGTTGAGGCATTTCTGATTAAGTGTTTTGGTTTGATTGTTAGTTTTTAATTGCTGCATTCATCATTTTCGTAAAACTAAACTTATTACACTACAGCAAAGAAAAAGAAACAAAGCGGAGGTACACTGCACTCACCTTCGGGTAAAATAAAAATAAAGTATTACTGTAGTACATGCTTGCCCTACGTTATGCGAAATAAATAAAATTGGTAATGGTGACTGGGTTTGAGGGTATGGGGCGCGGGGCACGCAATCCAGTTCAGGGAAATGGGACAATAGCAAAGTGTCTTCCGATATCTGCTGCACAGGTCAATAATAGCAGATTCGGCGAGCAATATTCCAACCAACAACTTATTGTTTTCGAAAAAAGGCGGTCTTCCAGGGATAAGACAGCAAAAAATCATTGGTATTGATTATAAGTCAACATCATCACTAAGATTTTGTCCTTCCCATGAAGCAGGTACAGAAAAAACTTGCTATTGTTGCCTTTTTATCAGTGGGACTTGGGCCGGGGTCTCTCTCACACACACACACTTGCATTCACACTCAATAAGTCAGTTTAGTTCATTAAGTAAACCAATATAAATAAGCTGCTTATCAACATTCAACAAACACAATTTTCGGTCCACCTAAATATATCAAGAGTTATTATTCCAGAAATTACCAGAGTAGTTAATCATGACAAGATAAAAATCAAACATTAAATCTACAAATCAATATTCTTATTAAAGGTTAAAATAAAATGTCTACACACCATGCGTAGTTGCGTGAGCTCAGCGCCGTCAGCCAACGAGCAGGCAGTGGGAATGCGGTTATTGAAAAAAGAAATTCGTAGCTTGCAAGGTTCGCAGCAGCTGTCGCCGGGGTCTACTGAAGCAGTTTCGCATTTGGAAAACTAAGAAAGAAAAAGTGTGATTTGGTGGAACTACCGTGCCTCGAGAGAAAAACCGCGGTTTTTAGAGGATGGGTTGAACGTTTGGCTAGGATCGAGCGTTTATCGGTGCAGACAGGGAACCCCAGACAAATTTTATATTTGGCGAAGTTGAACCAAACTCAAGCAGAACCAGTAGCACGAATCCTCTCAATCTCGCAGCGCGCCTGGGTTTCACCACTCAGGTTATTTTGGGCTTGAATTGGGCTTTCCTCTCACCTATTTTCTGACTGACTTTGGTTAAACCAGCGGGTGGAAACTCTATTGCCGAAAAAGACATGCAAAGGTTTTTTGTGCACCTTAGATCTCGGAACCCAGAGGTGGTAGGTGAAATCCGAGGTCATATTTGGAATCCTCAGAAAATTTCACTCGGCGTAGGGTATGTTTAGAGCGGGAGGTCAAGGAAATGGTCGGTCATTTTGCAAAGAGAAAAAGAAAAAAAGGAGAAAAAACGTTGTGGGACCATGATCGAAACGTTGCATTGTTTTGTGGTAACACTTAATGCAAGAGAACGGGACCTCGTAGGTAAATTCTGAGGTCATTTTCTAAATCCTGAGGAAATTTCCTGTGCATTACGCTGCCTGGGAGTGGTCAACACACCAAAATAACAGAAAACCGTTGCCGTGAAACTGTGAGAGGGTATGCAGCGATTGTATTGCATAAAATTACAAAACAGTCTGCCGTTGACTGCGTGTTCTAAAGGGTACAGGCCCTCCTTCTTTGAAACTTATAGGTGGAATGCACACACGAAAGCACGCTGAATTCATATCTGTACTCAGAATTTGAATTGGCCATACCGTTGTCTCACATTAAGCATGACCAAATAGCTATTTTCGGGATAAAGCGTAAATTTCGATCCTGGTCCCAGAGCGTTTTTCACCTGTTTTTTTACTTTCTCATGGCAAAATGACTGACCATTTCCTTTGCCCCTGGCACTAAACATGTCCTACGCCGAGTGAAATTTTATGAGGATTCCAAATATGACCTCGGATTTCACCTACCACCTCTGGGTTCCGAGATCTAAGCTGCACAAAAAACCTTTGCATGCCGTTTTTGGCAACAGAGTTTCCACCCGCTGGTTAAACACGCGGACCGCGGACGCCTTGCGACTCCGTGATACTGTCCCGTCGAGCAGGGCAGTGTCCGGGATTGCCTACCCAGCCCTGTAGCGGGCCATGGCTCAGATGCGGTCCTATCGGCGGGACAGACCCACGGTGACTGTGGGCCACCGCAGCCGTGCATTAAAATTTTCACCCGACGGACCGAGTTCGGCAAACATACCGGTCATCACAGAATTCGCCAAACTGTGGCCCAAAACAACAGACGACTAGAGTTCTCGACGTTCTCGACATGGCCTCAGGACCCACGGTGACCCAGGGTAAACATAACCTGGAATCCATGAACAAGTCGTGTCACGTAGTTCACACTCCCGAAAATTGGACCCTAATTTCGACTAACCATTGTCATGGGGCACAAACTGCTCGCAAGTGAAAAGAGTGCAGACCAAAACAGGTGCCGGTGAGGTGCCGCGGAACTGTGACGAGGCTGAAGTGTTTGTCGGGCAAACCGTTCCCCGAACGAAACGAACGAAACTTACATTGCGAATGAAGCAAAGCCGCTGCAAACACACACAGCCATGGGCCCACTAAGTTGATTGACATCTTGGATTGGCGTTCATGTTGGCGGGTTAGCACTTGTCACGCGCACTAAGTAAGGAAACTACGTCATGCAGGGACCGGCTCTGCTCGTACTGGGGCCCACCGCTGGAAGGCTGCGCCAAGGCTGCGCCAAGGCTGCGCCAAGGCTGCTAGGCCTGGCCGGGCGGCAGCAGCCGACAGGCTTCGGCCTGTTCCCGCCCCTGCGTGCCCATCCGAACAAGCCTAGGTGTAAGAGCCGCCTGGTAGCCACACCCGCCACGCCTGTCGCGTGGTTACACTGTTTCGTTTACCGTTTCTGGGTCGCTATGCTAATTCTGTTAAGGAAGACCCACGTTGTGTGTCTGAGGGACAAGTACCCCCTCCCTCCGACTGCCAGTGTACCACCCCCACCCCTTGTTGCACCTGCCGTTGGCCCTGTTGGTCCCACCCTTCTTCCAGTTTGCAGACAGATCCGGCCTATTATTTTATTTTTATCCACATTTTTGATTGGTTTGCTTTATCACGTTCGATAAGAGGGGTTTAATTATTTTTACAGTTTACTGTTAGCCAAAAAGAGTCTAGACTTTCCCTCACCAGCTGATATAAAGGTCTGCAGGTTCTGGCTTTAGCAGCATTTCAGTTTTGTGTTTCCGTTTCACGGCAAATCACTGTGTTGAAAAAAGTTGTGCTAATGAATGTTTTTCTCTTCCAGATTAATCAAATTTTTGCATCGATATTTTGTTTGGCTACTTCAAGCACTGCCAAGGCAACTTTTTTGTGTCAATAAAAACAAACTATTTTAAATATGCAGCATTTTCTTTTGGACAGAGAGCCTCAGTGAATAGGACAATGAATCAACCACTTATTTAAAAAGAAACAAGAATCTTCCTTATTAATCCAATTTTCATTTCACCTCCAAAGAAAGTCCTCGGACTGCAACTGCTTCAGACGACAGGCGCCGCAACACGTACCCCAAGGTTGTGAAAAGGTGCTGGTTGGCGGTCCGCGGACTTCTAGAACGTTATCGCCGCGCCACTAGGAACTTATTGCCACTCAGCCCCAACACCTGAGGGGTGCAAATGCTTTCCACAAACTGGCAAGGAAAGGAACTCAGTCGAGTAAGCCCGGGAACTGTTGGGTCGGCACGCACTGTTTCTGCGGGAGGGGGCGTTCGGTCCGCAGGTGGGGGAAGGGGAGGGAGGCGGTGGGGGAACGGGGGTATTAGGAAGACCTAATACCATTACCTAGGTCGGGGAGAACCCACAAGTGCAAAAGGTGCCCTAGACCAGGTGACTCGACATGGTCATCCGGGAGGCAACGGAAGGAGAGCAAGTTTGTTGTCTGTACTTGCCAGTTTGGGGCTGTTTCAACTTTTTCATGTCACCGATGGAATGTGTGTGTGGTGCTTGGGACGAGGGGCAGTTTACACTACTGAGGCAGCATTCATATTGAGAAGAGCGAAAAAAAAAAACGTTCAATGCCATGCTGGTTAGTGTTGGAGATGAACATCATTATCAAAAACGGTGGGAAAACCAAAACTTGCAAACATAACAAAAAAGAAAAAAATTTATTGGGTGTTTATACTGTACAATATTATCTCTGAACAAACATTCAGTCAAAGGGTTTGGACCCTAGCAATTTCATAAATTAGTTATTTCCTTTGAGAAAACAAAACAAAAAAAAATCAAAATACTGCTAGAACTTCGACAAAATGCATGGGAGGAGAGCAAGCAGAGAATTTGGTTTGGTTCAGTTTGACTGTTATAAATAATGTTAAAAATCTAAAATAAATTAAAAAAGAAATTACAACACAAAATCACCTTAAATTTAAATAAGTTCATATGGAATGGGAAATTTCAGTTTTACTGAAGTTGATTTTCCACTAAATCTCTTAATAAAATTGATTTAACTTAGGAATTACATAGGGAGAAATCATAACAAAGCACAACAAAATAAAATGGAATAGCTTCTCAGAAAAATTCCTTAACTTCAAACCTTCAAGCAGTTCTTGTTAAGAAACCAAAGATACATAAAAATAATGCAATCAGGTTGTTTGACAATTTAGTTGATGGGGCACCTGCCTGTACAAACCACATAAAATTAAACAAAATAACTAGTTAAGATATTTTTCTGAGAAGATACTGCATGTATTTATAATAAGATAAACACAATATTTGTTTCCATAGAGTATGTCAAGAAATCAGTCAAAGCTATCTGGGTGAAATTAATATCTAATAGATCTCTTAACAGCCAATGAAAACTTTAGTTTTCCTTCTTTAACTTTTGGTTAGAACTGTGCTGCTTGCACTAAATTTGCTAGTCTAACCATGCTCTACATTCTACAATCAGTCCACTATCTCAAAACAAAGCCAGTGGAGAAATGACAACAGCTGGTCACTTGGCGGCACAAATAAGCAGAAGCAGGTGACAAGCGGGTTGGTGGTTGCTGACCAGCACGGTCATGCTGAAGATTGTCCGCTAGATGTCGCTCACGTCCTACCTTGAGGGCCAGGATGCTGTTCTGAAGTAATAGTGGTGGTTGTTGATGAAACCTTAGTTTCCTGCCAATTTGGTTCAACTGAAACAGACCAAAAGAAAAATGCCATTCATTATTGAAACCAAACTATGATACTGATTGGGAAGGGGTAAAGCCTGTTCATAATTAAGTTTGAAGGGACTCGTCTCCTAGATGAAAGTTGACACACAAACCTGCATTACTTTGGAATTCGGCAGGACTAGGAGGAGGTGTTTGTACCAGACCTGGAGTCAGCAAGTCTGCAAATAACATACTCTGTGTCTACAAACTTACGGGGAAGACAATAACAGCACAGCTTCCCATTGAGACTGTCAAGATAATTTTCTTATTCATGCTTGGGATTTTTAAACCTAAGGGACATACTACCCCATAAAGGTCAGAAAAAGAGGACCTACCCTGAGCTTGAGTTGGCTCTGTGATGTTCAGTCTCTCAAGACCTTCACTGACTCCTTGGAACAGTTGCGAGTCTCGTCTCTGCTGCTGCTCATCCATCGATGTTTGAGACAGTCTCTTCTCGATTTCTTCAGTCCGTTCCCTCACTGACTTTCTCTTCTCTGCAACTTCTTTTTCCTCAGCTATGTATTTTCTTTCTTCGTTATCTTCTTGTTCCCCATGCCGCTTTTCAATGTGTTTTATTTCTTCTATTCTCTCTGCAAACAAAATTCAAAATAACAGATGGAACCCAAGCATGAGTTTGAATGAAACTGTAATTAATTGGATATCAACTCTTACCTATTGAAGGAACTTGCTTTTCGACCAATTCCTCCACAGATTCTGAGTCCTACAAGTGGAAAAGCAAAGAATTTATTAAAAAATTAACTTGGAAAATCAACAAGTTTGCTATGTCACACCAATATCCTTACCCTACTGACCTTCATGATGTCTTGCTCATCATAGGGCCCTCCAGCCTCCAGACTTAAGTTTCGCCGCAGGGAAGTCTCCCTTGAGACGTCTCTACTAACACCTAATTCTTCTCGAAGGTTATCAAAACCTGATTGGTCTAGACCTAAATGGCTTGAGGTCAAATTCATCTCTTGGTCATCACAACTTATCATACAACGATGAATTATGTCATCACGGCCAAGTCGCTGTAAAGCTTGTTGGAGCTCCACACCTGTCAAATTAACAATAAAATATTGTCCAAGATCTAATAAGAATAGGCTGATGAAATCTGTGAGTCGAGCAACACTAGTTATTTACCGGAAGCCTTATTTCCTAGTTTCTGAAGCCACAGTTTCAGCATGGCCATGGCGTGTTGTGGTGCAGCTGCAGCGGGGTGGTCACTTTTTATTCTCTCCACCTGTGACCGCGAAAGGCCAAGTTCCACTGCTAATGATTCCCAATCTGAGCCTAAAGTGTTACTAATATCGGACAACCTTAATTCTGGCCTAGCTGGTGCTGCAGAGCCTGTAACCAATAATTGGTTCAAACCTGACTTGAAGAGCAATGCAAGAGAAACACAAATTGAGAGAGATACATGGTATTGCAGGACGCACCATTAGTATAAGTAGTGAAAGAGTAGGTTTGTTTTTGAGGGGTAGATTCAGCAGTACTTGATTCTGGGATGATGTCATCAGGAAGAACGATGTTGAGAACACAAACAGGTTGTTGTGGGGGATCACCTTTTTGGACCTAAAATAAAAAGTAGGAATGAAAGACACAAACTATGTTAATAAAAATCAAGTTTCACACATGTTGAGCCTTTTATTCTTTACCTTTGCCTCCTTCATAAAGAGAATCCTTCCCACAGGGTCAGCATGAGGATCTTTGACCCTTGTAGTAAACGCAAGCCTATTTTCACGGAAACCACGGAAACCGAGTTGCAGCTGATCACCAGATTTTGTCACAGGAACTAGGTTACCAGCAAATTCTACAAATTGTCCTTTGCCCTCAAGAACCTGCCACAAAAAAATTAATTTTTAAGCTCAGAACAAGAAAATCTGTTAAGTAGATCACAAGGCAATTCACACATGCACAGTTCACCACAAAAAAAAACCATACATACCTCCACATCTCTGCTTTTTGCAACTTCAGTGAAGTGTTCTTGATGTTCAAGAGTTTTATCCTCCTTATCGTCAGTCATACAGAAAACTCTCAGACGAGCTTCAAGGAAATCAACTCTTTTGGCAAATACCACAAACCTAAATTCACAAGGAAAAATTAATTTTATCTTTTCATTTTAGGGCTATGGTCATTGGTGGAAATGACCCATGTTAACTTACTTAGCAAGGAATGGTACATGAATAGCTTCCTTGTAAAGCTCAGTTGCCATTTTGGTTGCTTCTGATATATTACGACAATCCATGAGCCAAAACCTTGCAGATACAGTTGTAGTGAATGAAACACAGTCATTCACAAAAGTTAGTGGAGTTGATCCTGTGACATCCTCCCACTGGGCTCTTGTTGTCCCTCCTGTGATAGTAAATAAAACAAAAATAGAAACATAAGTCATAATACACTTTTCAATGGACACACTCTACATCAATAAAGAGTGTGATCATCAACAAAGTGGCCCATGCCTGATAAGAATTTGAAATTTTGAATCAAGGAACCATTTACATCATGGTAAGGTAAACCATTTCTGTTTACCAAAACACAACTGCCTTATAAGGTATGCTTAGAGAACTCCTGCAGAGGAACAATTAATACGTACTTGCAAAACTATAATTACTCTAGTTTCTTGGGTGCAACAATGTACAAAGTGTTGAGTGAGTAGTACAGTCAGTAAGTTGGTACTCAAGTGCTAATTGAACATAATGCGATCTAAGGACTCTAGAAAAGGTAACACATGGGCAAAGCTTGAATAATTGTGAAAAGCATAAAGGAGATAGTAATTTTATAGCAAATACATATTAAATAGATGTAAAAGGTGAGTAAAAAAACACACATTCCACGCTGAGACTACAATCTACATTACTACATTTTAATTTTGATTATTTGAGTGGAAGACATTTCTAACTGATTTTAAGAAAAACAGTAGGACTCCAAATAAACAAACACTCTTTTCCCTTGTTTTTTAATTTGATGAGTAAAGGCTGCTTTACAAATGCTTGCACTCTAAGGGTAATAAGAAGCAGAAGCCGTCAAAATGGCAAGCAGAAAAATAATTCAAATACTTGTCTAATCAAGCAAGTTTCAGAAAAGACCCTCTTTGGGGGCTACTAGGCCTATTCTCTATTCTGACTCAGGAACAGGTCAGTTGCAGAAGTGACTTATTCATTAAAAGGAAATAGAAGCTGAGATCGTTTCGATGTAGGGATAACACCAAGCCCCACAGTTTAGTAAGAAGCATCAGAAGGAATTGGCAGTGTCTAGATTAGAAAATAAAGTACAGAAATCACAAGGTATAGCTTTTGACAAAAACAGAACTTAAACCAAACATAAGTTAAAATGTGCAATAATCTGGTGCACCTCATTGTAGTGCCCAGACTGTGAAACAAAATGGAAGCATGGGACATGCTTAATAAAATGGGCAATAACAAATTTTTCCCATCCAAGTAAAATGAAGCAAAATGTTTGGGAAATTTAATTAGTGAAAGGTGAACTTGGAAAAGTTTGTGTCATCTCTCACGTAAACCTGTGAGAGGAGTTGACAATACAACTCTCACATGAAAAAGATGTTACTATTATCAGTTAAAAAACTGCATTCCAGCCTTTCAATGTACTGAAATTATACTCAGATTAGGAAAAGAGTTTGACATTAACTAAGGACAGACTGTATAGTTCCAATGGAACAGGTTTGGAAGAGCAAAATCAATACAATGAATGAAGATGAATATGAATGTTTCAAATAATACAAGAGATATTTTTAAGTCATTGCCAAAACATAAATAACATAAAAGAAAACACTTGCAGAAGTGTGGTAGCGCTTCCTTTTTAAGGAAAGAGTGATAACTGTTGGTTGGTAAAAATTCAAGACAAAAGAAAGGAATATTTTCTAGTATTCAACAATAGGAAAACAAAAATATTTGTGACTAGTTTCATTGGGCCTTTACCTTTAAATCCTTTAAGGGATCTTTTCCGAAACAGGCCTGCCCATGCGTGCAGCGTTGCGCCAGAAGTGAGTACTCGTTAGTATAGGGAAACATTGCACCAGAGCAACAAGAAGAGGAAATTGGGAGGAAAAAAAACAAGGGGCTATGCATTAGGATTAGGAGAGGCCAAAGAGAGTAAAAAGTAAATTTAGGGCAGCATTACAGAAACTGTTGAAAGAGATAAGGTATAAGATAACAGCAAAAACTGAGTCGCAGCAGAGATATACCTAGGTAATTCACCAAAGAAACATCGCTTTGAAACTTTGAAAAGTATGATGATTCACAAAAAAATTGCATTGGCCCTTCTCCAGCTGTGCTTTTTAACATCCATATGTTTACTGAAAGGACTATTACGTAGCATCATATCATGGAAGTTCACACCTGCCTCTAATTCCATATTACCAAAAATAAACGCAATGTAAGGATAAGAAACAGGGCACCATGAACATTTCGAATTGAACAAAACTCAGCATTCCAGACAAAAATGCTAGTATCAGCTCACGATTTGTGAATTTTGAAAGTACAGACTGTCTTTCCCTTCCCATATACAATGTGTGGGTGTATGTGTTTGAAAGAGAGTGAGACTGTTAACAATAGTGACCATCATTGGACTTCGTGATTTTTTAACTATTTACTTGTGTTCAAGGGAAAAGGCCAAGATAATTTGGGAATTTCTGTTCGCGAAAGAAATAGCTTACGTACAACCAACGGCAGTCTGAACTCATGGGTACTCACTGGAGCAAACGGAGAGTTCTAGAAAACAACAGCAAAGCTTAGCTGCTAACATCATTTAAGTAAAAACATAAAATGACAATAAAATCTAATATCCAGACGCGCAACAGTCTAAGATCATTAACCGTGCACAACTGACTGTGGCTACTCTGCTAGTTACAGACCATATTTACTTATTACTCAATATTGTAAAATGCTTAAGCACTTGATTCTTATAGATGCACACCATTCTTTTGGTCTGTTCAAAGTTTTAAACATTAGAGTAAAGATAATATTCCATGCATGCAAGTGTTACCCAATGGTAAAACTCCAAACATCAGCTGTGTAAATCTTGTTAGTGCTGTATCAGCACACTAATTTGGTCTTTTCTGTCTACATAAACTACGTATATGTGAAGTGAACTGCATGTGCTGTAGATCAAATTCTTTTTACAGCAAAAGCAATCACTTAGCAGTTAAGTGCTAAGAAAAATTAGGGAGGATAATTATTAGTGCTAATCTAGGGACCAGTTTTATGAGAGAAAAACATTCCTAGTAAGCATATGCATTCTCTAGAACTTTCAATACATAATTCATTTTGACAAGTTCATTTTTTCACTTAGGTGTGGGTGTGTCATTTTAGAGATTTTACTCATTTTGGATCACTTTGTTTTCAGAATGTAAAAGTATCGCGAGGAAAGACGCTTCAAACTTAAGAAGCTTTAAAGAAATGTAAGTACAGTCAGAAAATGGTAAAGAAGAGTAGGCATGACACTGCTAATAGACATGCATGCAGCATGGTAGCCACAAGTCAAGGTAATGCAAACCTAACACACTGTACACACATTAATGTAATACTTTATACACAATTGTCCTGTCTCGTCCGATGATATTTATATTGTACTAATATAAGATATTTAAGTTATCACTGTGAGGCTTTCATTAACTTTTTCAATCCTTTTCTTGAACATATTGAAATGCCCATACCAACAAATTGTTTTAACACTGATCTGTGCTTCTGCCTAATGTAGTTGAGCAACTGACTACTGACACATTTTCTACATGTACACATCACTCTAAATATTTCTCTACAATATCATACTACATGTCGATTTGCAAGTGTTACTATCAACATGCATTTCCAAAAACAAAACATAAACCATGAATGCTTTTATTTTCATTTTACCCATTAAAATTGTTTGAAGTATGGTAAACTGATCAATGGTTTGCAAGCAGCAAAAAAGGCAATGTGTACTTGGAAAACCAAATTATTAAAACAATCTGATACTGATATGGATCTGCACATTTGGTCTGATAGAAAAACCTCTGTCTCAAATTCTACTTTAAGTTCCTGAACAAGGCTTTTAATCAGAGAACCTTTGTATAGAATACATTCACATACCATGCATTTCAACCAGCACTTTTTAAAATGTAGATTCTATAGTTTTGATGAGTATCAAAAATTTTTTTCATGTCATACCGAACAATCTACAAGCCTGTACAAACTGTGATAGACAAAAGAAGAATATTTGGCTGTGAAAACACATTGAATGTGCATTCAAATAATGCCATGTGGTATGTGTATATGATCACATTTCAAGTACAACAAGACAAGTTAAGACCATTGTTCAAAATGTTACTATCATGGCCCACACTAGAATATGCAAAAAAAAATCACCACAACACGGCACATGAGTGAGCAACCAGAACTTAACTTACCTGTTATGCTACACAGCAACCGCAACGTAGGTGCATCGCCTGAATATTGATTGATCATTCCTTTATTAGCAGCTTGGGGGACTGGTATTGTCAACGTGATAGGTTTATGGAATTTCCGCCGCCTCGGTTCTACTGTGACAATGGGAGAAACCGCCACTCGATTTCCAAGAAGTTTTGCCACCAAGTCTGCAGCAATGGGCTGGGCCTAGATTTAAAAAGACAAACAACAAACAAAAGAATAGTACAAAAACAAGCAAAGCCAAAATCAAGTCTAGAGGATCGTGCAACAATTGTATGTCTCGTTTCAAATGAAACATGACAAAACACACCAGCCTGCAGAAGTACAATTAAAAGAATATTGCTTTAAAAAAAGTCTTTACTTGATCCATTTCCCATAGTGATCTACAATATTATGTATTGCAGCAAGTAATCCTATTCATTGAGGCCAAAGGGGGGGAAAGGGCAGTGCTGGCACCAGTACATGAAGCTAATGCAAAAATACATACAAATCTCTCAGAGCAAATTCCTTGAAGTAATATTTCTGTGAAGGTTCTTTTCTAACACAATACCCACAATACTGTTGGTTATTTAAGGTTTGATGAAAGTGTTCACAAGCAATGTATGTGTAAAGGAACAAAAGAAAATTGACATGATTATCACTACAGGATTCAATCATGAAGCAGAACTGCATCATCTTTGATAGCATGATCAGCAATAACCGTAAGTATGATGTTCACTCTTGAAAGCAGTACTGAACAGTACTAATGTTAACATGCATCTACAAGCGCTAGAACTAATTTTTTTTTTTTAAATCAATGGAGAAAAGTTAAAGCAGAAAATGAAGCAAAAACTTAACTAGTCAGAAGGTAAAAATAAATGAAAGAGCAGGAAGAAACATTTGAGAAGGAGGGGGTGAAGTTCTAACATGTACTCACCTAGTGTTTTATCTAAATTTGACTTTATTAATTCCAGATGTAGAGCTATGTCATTCCTTGATTTTACAAGGCAAGGAGTATTGTGTAAGGTTTTGTAATTTTGTGATCAGTTTAAAGAAGTACATGTTTCATGAGAGAAAAATGATTAAAATGTGAGGTTTATAAAACAAACAGATATTGATTCGATCCATCAAATATCACACACACGACAAGAGTCGTGTTTGGCTTTGATTCAAAAACAATCAGAAACTCCCTCTACCATTTTCTTCTTTTTTTTCCTTTTCTAAATTTGGTTTGTTTTAAAGTGTTTTTTTTTTTTCTTTTTCTGAAATAGAATAAGGTGAAGAAGGGGGTAAAGCAACCAACAGCATACGATAAGCAGGGCTCGAAAATATATCGCACACACAAAGCCAGTGCAAAGCCAAATCAAGTGACAATGTTGAGCCACAAGCAAGGCGCCCAATAAAATTAGTTAAATTTTTTAGAAGTAATGTTAGAGTGCCAAATGAGAAACAAACAACCTATTGCAGGCAGGAATTCCAAACATTGGTTTAGTCATAATAAAATGCAAAACCTTTAGAAAGTCTAGGAAATACAGTAACATGAACGTACTACATTTCTATGAATTAGAGCATATAGTTTCCAAACAGTTATTAGGAATTCCTTGATGACAGCCCGAAAAAAATGAAAATACAATGCTACTTTTCGAACCATGCTATGGCATGCTCTTGGAACACATTAGGTTCATTGAGACTGTTTGTAACAACCAACACCAACAATTGCATATCAGACGCATTTTATTTTTTTTTTCTTGGAAGATAAACATAAATAGTTTATCAAATTTAACTAATTTCATTGGGCACACAAGTTAACATGGTAATACAGAAGCATGTTATTAAAGCAAGGTGCAAAGGGAAGTGTCTACAGAAGGGGTAGAAGGTAAAAGTGCAATCAGCAATCTGTGACATGAAATAACCATCACCCATCAGGTCCACAACCAAAACACAGGAAGAAGGAAACAACATAAAAGGAACAAGTCACCTTCTGTACAGAAACAATCATAGCTAATACTGGCAAAGCCAAGTTCACTTGGTCACTCAGTTAAAGGAAATTCATTAGAACCACAAGAAGCATGTTAAGTAAATTCCAAAATATAAACCACAAAAAAATTCATCGGAATTTTCAAACTTAATTTGAGGTAGACAATGAGATATTTGGCTTCAGAATCAGACAAGTACTTTACCCTGTGAATGAATATACTAAGTATAATCTCAGATCATTTTTTTTTAAATTCCTAGTTACCACCAGCAATTTTAAAATACGCCATTTTTCAGCTTTGGATCCTGATGAAAAAATATCATACCTCCAATTTAACACTATCAATACTAAAGGGCAGTTAGTGCTATGCAGAAAACTGACTCTTCACTGATTGAAAAATGAAGGTACAGTAATTCAAAACTGCCCCCCTCCCAAACATAAGAAGAAAAAAGAAACAAACAAAAATTCCTTAACGTTCAGTTGACATACAGACCATAAAATATGTTAAAGTCTATTCGAACAAAGCTACTTTGAATACATTTTGTTCAATTCCATGTACTCATGTAAGGACGCCTTTGTTTTGAGTTTGAACTAACACTAGAGGGTATAGCACAGGAACTAAAAGTTACAACATTGTGAATAATAATGAAGTCAATAAGTAGAGTAAGGAGAAGAAAAATGTCCGATTGGAACAAAATGCTTTGTGACTAGAATCAGTAGATAATGCAGTCCCAATTAAGTGAAACTTTACTTTTATAATCATACAGACAAGTTCCGACCTGAGATGACAACCCACAGAACAGGAGGGACGACTAGATTATTTGTACCCTTAGAGTAAGGAACTAAGTAAGGAAAATGGAAGATGTTGAGATCAATGGTTCTGGATAATTAACTAACAATTGTGATCCAGGTATCACCAAGAAACCTTCACCTCATGTCTCGATGGTTATATGGTACTTTGATATACATCAACATCTAAGTGGAACACATCAAGTTTCTACATGGATAGTTTAAAATTGTGACGCTGTCCAAGGTCTTGGCACATGCCTCAAAAAAAGAAAGGCAAATTAAGTACTGTGCAACAGCAATATGAAGAAGATACCTATCTTTACAACAACAATGTTTTTCAAGCATTATGTTAGTCAGCAAAAACAAATTGTGTGGTGTCCCAAACCAGCACACAAATGTTGCAGGCATCTTTGATAGGTAAGACAAATGAACTTTATTCCAAATGTATATGAGTTTTCCAGCCACCATTTACCAAACCAAAGAAAATCGCTTCTTTTTGGGGATGTGGTTAACTGTTATCTTTTTAAGCATAGTGGTAGATGTGATACCTTTGCGAGGCTTAAATAAATTTACCTGAAGGCCAACTTTTATCTTCTTAGTCAGAGCACCTTGAGGGAAAACTGCCTGCACTTGAGGTACTACTGACGATGAAACCATTCCACCTTCCGGTCCGATTGCATGAACTTCTTGGCGAACTCGGGATACAACAGCGAAGTACTGTGGGAAGTCAGTTGTCAGGATGCGAGTCAGGCGTCCTGAGTCGCAAACCTCAAGCTGACTGAGCTCTGGAAGTACAAGAAAGACAAACATATAAGTAAACAATTTATTTTCTAAAAAAGAATAGATTTTGCAAGTGGGCAAAGAAAAAAGCGGACGCAAAATAAAATCAAGAGGGAATCGGGTTGGAATGGGAAAGAAAAAGCGCTAACTGCGCAGTGCACCTCACCATTTCGCTCACCATCTTTCTCAAAGCTCTCATTGAGGACATCATGAACAGCATCTTCGCTTGCTTCGACAGTGTGCTCCCTCCACGTCTCACCATTATCAGACCTCAGGATAACAATCTCCCTTTCTCGACCGCGAAGGGAGCCAAAGTGAGGCACTTCGATAATCACCGGCCTAATCAACAAATACAAAGGCATCCAGTCAGTGACAACAAGAAAAACAATAAAGAAACCTTTGACTTGGCAAAACTTGGCTTACCCCAAAAATTTGGCACCAACAGGACCCAGTTCTAGAATACGGCTTGCCAAAGCTTCGCCCTCCATGAGGGGAGGAGGGTGACTCAGTTTGTCTCTCTTTAGGTAGCGACACGTCACACGCAGAGGTTGAGGGGCTTTACGTGGAGGTACAATGACTCGCACTCCACTGTGGCGGCATCCTCTCATAGCTCCGCCTCTTGCATCCACCAGGAAACTCACCAGGAAGCTGTTAAGAAATAGAATAAGATGTTACAATATACTTTTTCAGTCCAACAGGGGGGGGCCAAATTATAGATCAGGACTGTAATAAAAATAAAAAAAAAACGAATACAAAAAGCCAAATAATAATGATGAGGAGTAAGAATGATCCTGAAATTCTAACTACAGAGGTCTTAGCGCATATTAAGTAAAGAACTAGTCCATGCAACAGCATGTCATAAAATGCACTATGCATCGGTTTGAAACAGTATTGCAATAACAATATGTGCAAACAACAAATAATATGAGTTGAAGGTAAACCTGACAGAGTTCTGAACTAAAGCAAACTGAAATCTTCCAGATGCACAAAGATCAAATTTCAAAGCACAACCAAAACGCATAGCAAAGAGCATGCTGCACGAAATAAAATTTGTAAAGGTTACACCACTTTGTTGAGAAAAGAGTGTTAGTGTACAAAGGCTAAAGTCAAACATATTCATTTAAACAAAAAAAAAAAAGCTGTCTAGAAAAAAAAAACATGGAAAGAAAAAAAAATGTTCATCTAAAACAGCAGATAACAAGCTCTCAAATGACTTACTTCTTCCACTTGAGCTTTCTGTTTGATCCAAATGAGGTAAGAAAATAAAAACAAGAGAAAGTTTACAGGTTAGATGGTCTTCTTAAAGAGCCTCACAATATCAAAATTAAGAAAGCATTTGTGACATTTGTGAATAGCTTTGCACATTAGTTCAAAGGAAGGTTATTAATAGCTCCAGAAAATGCTACAAAGAGACAAAGCTCCATTTTTTTTAAGACACAACAATTTTTTAAAAATAATGTATGAAAAGAAAGTGAAGCTGAGGAAATGGGTTCACATTGTTAGATTGTCGATGGGATGTCTATGAAAGAGATACCCACCCTACGTTGACAGGATGGCGTGAAATGTCCACATTGTCTGATGCATAGTTCAGCTGGGCAGTGTAGAGCTCCTTCACATGTTGAGGACTCACTGGAAAACATAAAAGAAACAACAGTGAAAAAAGATTGCCAGAGAACACCAGTTTTAAATGTTTGAACACTAGGATTGTACAGTCGAACATACCAAGATCCCTGTTAGAATCATGACGATCGTCTTGAGTCACATCAATTGGAAGAGAATCGTCACCCAAACTCTTCATTTCATCCACAGTCAAGTAGTGGTATGGTTGCTCATTGAGGAGTGTATCTTCCCCTGTACAGAACAACAAAAATTATGCCACACAAGGCAAAAACAGAGTATTCAACTCCAGCCGCAAAACAAGAAAATTAATTAAAACAAAACCATGTATAAAAATGGGTCTGATAAAATACCAATTTGTTTCCCTAACAGTTTTCAGCTGTACTTGTAAATATTAATAATAAAGATTATAAGCTAAATTAACTTCTCGAGTAGGAAACAAACTAAAGTTCAACATATGTTTCAGATGGCATCCTGTGTAATTTGTCATGCCATGCAACCTTTGGCAACTTACATAAACAATTACAATTAATCTTACATTTTGTTCAGTATTATGTGCTACATCAACATGCTCATGGAACGCGTAGTTACTGTAGAGTAGTTAAAATTGAGTATCTGGATCTAGTAGTGAAAATTTCTTAATTAATGAGAAAGTGATAGAGGAAACCTGTAGACTAAAGATGATAGAGGGAGGAAAATTTAATGATAGAATCTGTGCAATGTGCATGCAAGCATATACATGAAGTGAAAAAAAAAAAAGCAGAGCACAAGGGAGTGACAGAGCATTTTTACAGAATAATTATATTGCTTATGAAATGAACTGAAGATGGTAGTACATGTTACTACAGTTCTGTAACTTAGAACTCCATGACATTGGAACAAATTTCACTCTTGTTATGCATCAAAATAAACATTGCTTGAGCTTACTGTTCAGAGCCAGTCACCACAATATACATTACAAACAAACTGTTAATTTTATTGAAGAAATTATTTCAATGCTGTTAAAAAAAAAGCTCAATATTGTTCTCTACAGAGAATAATCTAAGTAGTAAATGCTTTTTGTCAATTTGAACAAAGACACTTGTTGAAAAGCAACTCTTGATAAGAGCATGGGAAGCAAATGGATCCAATACGTGCAATGCGCAGTTGGGATAGGGGAGATGGGAGACGACTTACGGTTGAGCAGAGATTGCCCCTCATAATACGGCAAGTAGACATGCTGAGCGTGCGTGGGTTTTCCGAAGTACATCCCAGTGCACTCGAGGTCTTGGTCCCCTTAAATCACACCGAGATTCTTAAAATTCTTATCTCGGTAAAAATTTGTACAACCCCACAATGCCCATGAAGGTGAAAGTCAAAGTGCTTCACAGCTCATTAAGTTAAACAGTGATTAAAGATATGTTAATAGATTAATGAAGTTAAATTGTATTTACATTTTTACAGGACCACAGGCTTAAAGGATTGCCAATTTTTACGCAACCCACTGTACAAGAAAGATTGCTCGGGATGTACAATTTGATGAATTGTGAACAAATGGGTCTCTTTAAGGTACATGTTGAACAAAAGTGAATCATTTATCTACTGTGAGTGCTTGAAGTGAATCGAAGTATACACACAAGTTGTATAAAGGTGAAACTGGATTTTAATACCATTGCATTTGTGCCAAATATATTAACATCCAAATTTTGAAATTTGTTCAAAATTGGACTGAGAAATATTGCAGAAAGAAACAAAAAAATAATGGAGTTGGAAGAAGAGGGAAATATAACCATGAAGACAACCAGCTGAAGCAGAACTAAAAACAAAACATCTGTGCTTGCAGAAACTCAAACACACACATAAACAAAACCAAATAAAATGGATGAGAAATGAGAATTCATAGAATGAAATGAGTACGGTGATGAAATAATTGTGAAAGAGACAAGACAGAAAGCATAGCAGAAAATATTTGTGAGTGTTCTTGGTAGACCAGGTGGAGGGAAACTTTGCTTGCTTGGGCCCATGAAAACATTGCAAGACAAGTAACTTTCGGGTGGGCTCCACTCACACCATCAGTCAATGAGACACACATAATGGAACAAATAGTCCATATTATGTAATATTGCAAAACAGGATAGACGAGGTCAATAAACAAGGGGAAACTTTAAACGAAAGTTTTTGATAAACACAGAAAAGTAAACAAAATAACCAGCTTGAAAAAAAAATCAAACAAATAAGCAGACAATTATGAAAGAATTTCAAATTCACAAGAGACTACATAAAAAGCTTGTCCAGATTTGATCAATTTATTATTATCATTTCTGTATCAGACAGAATTGTGTATACTTCAAAATTAATGAATTTACTTTGTTCTTTCACTTTCTACAAACCCAACATATATCACACAACTGGGACGAGTGAGTGGAGCCTAAACGAAAGAACAATAAACAAAGAGACACCTACCTCCTTCCTCCTCTGAGTCTGACATGAAGACTTCCTGCATTGTTTCTGGAGCAACAACTCTGTATTTCTCCTCAATGGTGGTCGTGGTGGTTGTTGTGATGGTTGTGACTTCGGTTACAACCTTCAGTGTCTCCACTACACTGATGTACCCAAGTTTCTGTGCAATGGATAGAGCCGTCTGCCCTTGCTGTTGATTAAATTAAAGTCATAACATTATCACAACTTTAGAACCGGTCAAGAAAAAGGATCACATTTGGATTCCAAATTTTGTATTGTGAGTGAATTTTACCTTTGTTGTAACATTTGGCTGAGCCCCACTGTTAAGCAGAGTGCTCACCACTCCAGAGTGGCCCTGTTGAGCTGCTTGGTGGAGTGGAGTGTAGCCAACACTGGTCACAGCACTAGTATCTGCACCATGTTGCAAGAGGAATCGTACCATGTTAACCTGACCGAAGTGACTTGCAACGTGTAGAGGTGTGTAACCAGCCTGCAAATTGATATCAAATTAAATAAAAGCTCTGAGCAGGACAAATATTTGCTGTACAGCAAAGGGTTAAAACAGAGCATACCTTGGTTGTGGAATCAACATTGGCACCACTCTTCACAAGTATCTGAGCGACATTAACTCTATCTTCTTGTGCACATAAGTGAAGAGGAGTAAGACCATTCTGAGAAAAAAGACAAATTTCAAAATCCAGTTTGCAAAAAGTTAAAATAATTTTCAAAACCATCACAAAACTGTCCATACCTTTGCTTGGTGGTTTGTATCCCCTTGGTGTTCAATTAGAAGTGTTGACATATCAGTGTGACCTTCCTGAGCACTTAAATGCAATGGAGTAAAACCCGCCCGAGATTCTGCATTTGCCTTGGCCCCATATTCTAGTAAAGTGGTTGCAATATCCATCTGATTTTTTCTAGCAGCAATATGCAAAGGAGTATGTCCATTTTTGGCAGTGGCATGAGGAGAGGCACCTTTGTCTAACAACAACAGGGCCACATTTTGGTGGTCATAGTGGCTTGCGACATGAAGTGGGGTAACTCCATTCTAGAATACATTCAAAAAGGTTTGGTTAGAAGAAATGGTATGTTAGCAAAAGGAATTCCAAGAAAAATTGGCAGCGGAGATCCTCCTGACCTTGCCCTGGGAGTCAACAGGAGCATCCTTCTGCAGCAATAATCTGGCAACTTTCATGTTGCCATACTTTGCAGCGAGGTGCAAAGGAGTGCAGCCCTTGTTGGTTGTGGCAGTAAGCGATGCACCATTTTCCAGAAGGACAGCGGCAACCTGCACCAGAATTATTTTTTTCCAGATCTACACGTTTTAAATACTTTAGTTTACGAATAAAATCCTTTAAATCTTTCTTATCAGGGTAAGCTGATGAAAAAGATATTTAAAGAAACTGTAAATTTTAAGTCAGTTTGTGACACAAAATGAAACAAAGTAGAATCTGCTTCAGTAAAATCGGATTCACTGAGACAAAATGATGGATTAACTTTCCACAATACTAAGATCAAGTACAAGAAATGACTGGTAAAGCAAGGGAATGATTGGAGAAGCAACAAAGGAATACTTGCATGCATAGAGTACAAATAAGAGCAACCAAGAAAGAGAGAGAGCAGAATGGTAAAAGGAGTGCAACAGCTACTATTAGAATGAGGGAAAGTAACAAGCTAAAAGTGCAATGCACTAATTTTTGACAAAATATATGTGAAAGCAGTGCTAATGCATGAGGTGATGGTTACTTTTCAGTTTGAGCCACTTCATGGTACCTGCTTCAACAGACTTTCCCCAGGTGGAAATCATAATTCGAATGTGACTAAAAACTATTTATTTCAACAATGACAAGAACAAAGCCAAATAAATAAGTAAATAAATAAATAAATAAATAAATAAATAAATAAATAAATAAATAAGGAAGTATACAACATAGCACAAGAAATGAAAGATGATCTAGGCATGCAAGTAGAAAGTGGTTTATAAACCATCCCATAAACCATCCTATTTCTTTCCTGGACAAAGAAGATGACACTCCAGCTAAAAATGAAATGTGCCCATTGCAACTACGTTGACAAGAAGCTAAACAACAATTGAATCTACTCTCAGCAATTTGAAATGAACAAACACAAAGAAATATTCCAAAGTGAAAAAAGAAAAGACAGTGAGGAATAAACAAAGAGACCCAACACCTACTATACTGGTTCAACAAATGCATAAACCAACACCAAAGTACATAGAAAGTAAAGGATGGCAGACACCAACTGATTAATAGTGTAATACAGTAACTAAAAATTGTACAAGAAATAAGCATGCAGGCAAGTACGAATTGAGCTTCTCGGATGAGTCAGTGAAAATAAATGAATGTATTATAAGTTTCACAATAAAGAAGTGAACATGCAGATTCTACTAAGGTCACTTGTAATCACATTTATGCTCAGTAGATACCAATCATCTTTCAAAAGGAAGGATCGTCACAACCCTAATAGGCAGTCTTGACATTTATCGTAGCTAACACATAAGATTTCAGACTAAAGGAAAACTTCTGAATTGAGCAAGTGAATGACTAGCACAGATATGTAATCTCCCAGGATATTTGATAGTTGTTTCAATATGAAACAAACAGAAGGAAAGGGAGTAACTGCTTTGGTTAAGATTCTCTTTCCACTAGATCCTCATTGAAACCAAAAAGATGTGATATAGGTATCAGCAATTCCAAGCACTGTACAACCAAACAGTTTCCCAAACAGCACACAGCTTGGAAAAATAACAACTTGGTATTGTACACCTTTGATGGACCCACAAACAAAATCAAATAAAATATTCCTGACGTCTGGTCCAAAATCTATCCATTAGATACATTGTATCAACATGGTCCATGATACGGCGGCCTAAAAGAAACCTTACCTCTTCTTGCCCTTCCTTCGCCGCGATATGCAAGGCAGTGTAGAGGTCTTTGGTGGTCGAGTCTACGGCAGCACCATGTTGTAAGAGAAGCATTACAATGTCAACGTTGCCCAAACGAGAGGCAATGTGAAGAGGAGTTTGCTGTTCCTAAATTAATTGGAAAAAAACAAAACAAACATTAGCAAGGTCGCATAATTAAATGTGGAATAAATGGAGAAAAAAATGCTGAAAGAGGCTTACTCTTGCTCTGGCATCAACTTGTGCTCCGTTTCGTAACAAGATTCGGATGATATCGGTCTGATTGGCACGTGCTGCGAGGTGGAGGGGCGTCTCCCCACGAACAGTAGGAACATCGGGATTTGCTTCATTTTGCAGAAGATAGATTACAATGTTCATGCAACCCATGAAGCTTGCAACATGAAGAGGAGTCAAGCCAGACTGTAGGAAAGAAAGGAAGAAAAAATTAGATATAAGAAATTGTTGTTTCTAACATTGTGCTTTTACAAAACTAATTACTAACCTCTGTGGTGGCTTCAATCGAGGCACCATGCTTCAGGAGTAGCTCAACAACCTTTATTCTATTTTTCTTGCAAGCTATATGAAGAGGGGTGAAGCCATTAAGGGCACGTGCATTAGGGTCAGCTTTGCGATCAAGGAGCAGTTTCGCCACTCGCACATGTCCACAGTGAGCTGCTACATGAAGTGCTGTCAAATAGTCAACAGTGATCTCGTCAACTGGAGCACGGTGGTAGAGGAGAATTCTAGCCGCGTCTACATGGTCTCCCTGGGCAGCCATGTGGAGAGGGGCAAGACCATTCTGCAAGAATCAAAGACAAGAACAGCAGTGAATCAACCTGCACATCTAAAAATCCTTGTTCCTCAACGACAAACAGATAAAGAAACCATACCTTTGTCTTACAACTAATTGGAGCGCCTCTCTCTAACATCATGTCGACAACCTGCTCATGACCAGACCTGGCTGCACAGTGCAAAGGAGTAAGACCATCCCGTGTTTTGGCTTCTATGTGCGCTCCTCTCTCCAGCAGTAATGCAACAAGGTTGCTCTTTCCCCATTTTGCCGCAACGTGCAATGGGCTTATATTGTGCTGCAAGAAACAGGACGCAGATGAGATATAGTGCTTGCAAACGAGAGGCAGAGCCAGAGAGGTGTACAGCTATGGCAACAAACCTTGGCAGAATAATTGACATCCGCTCCTTTGCTTAGAAGCAGATTAGCAATAGCCTCATTGCCATAATGCGCTGCAATGTGCAATGGAGTGAAGCCACTTTTTGAGGTAACATCTGGATTGTGCTCATTCTGCAATTGAAACAGAGAAAAGCGCCCAGATTGGTTTACATGTATTGCGAATTAAACTCTGGGTTATTCGGAGAAAAGGTACCCACTTGAAGTAACAGAGCTGCAGCTTTGCAGTCATCTTTCTTGGCAGCGATATGCAACGCAGGAAGCCGCACCTTCCCACGAGTATCGTTTTCTAAGAGAACAGCGACTACTTTATCATGACCTTGTTGCATTGCAACAGCCAGTGGAGTAAACCCATCCTGGAACAAAACATTTTACATATTCAGCATAAATAGTCAGTGGAAGTGATGTAGAATGAGCTGAAGGCAGCATCCTCAGTCTTACCTCAGTTGCGAGGCTTTGGTTTGCCCCATTAGCGAGCAAGAACTTGACAACATTGTCATGGTTCTCTTGTGCAGCCATATACAGCGGTGTGAATCCATTTTGACTTTGAACGTTGACGGCTGCACCATGCTGGACCAGCAGTCGCACTACCTCCTCTTGGCCCGCTGAATCACAACAAACAAACAACCATCATGAGACTGAGGTTCAAGAATAGGGGTAGATTGAATAGAAGAAAAGAACACCGTATCTTCTTTACCTAAGGAGGCAATGTGAAGTGCTGTGTTTCCTTTCTTGGTGGAGGCGTCAACGGTGGCTCCTCTTGAAAGTAGCTCTGTGACTACATGAGTGTGGCCCTCCTTGGAGGCTAAGTGTAAGGCATTCAAACCATTCTGCAACGAGAAAGAAAACCTCCATTAGCTGAAAGTAGTTAAAGGTAAGGGTGGAAATTCAGGAGGTTATGTCTCCAAATTTCTCCAAAATGACAAACTTAAACGAGCCCTCAAATAATTTGTTAACCTAGCACCCAATTGTAATCAATCGCAGACAACCGAAAATTAACCACATTTGATAGTAACAAACCTGACCTAACTTCACTCGCGAGTCAGTAAGCCCCAAAACAAAAACAAACTCAACTAAAACGGCGAAAACAAGGAAGGAGACACCGACTACATAGGAGAATCTTCCGTCAACAAAGCCGTCAGTCAGCCGTCCTGGCGAGGCGAGGGCCTGGAGTGTAGGCAGCCCAACACACGCGTCTGCCGAATGGGTTGCCTGCCTGGCAGGCGTGGAGGCGTTCCGGTGGTTCGAATACCAGCCCATCCGGATTTTACTCTTTCGACTCGGCTTAGTTTCTGACAGACACTTACGGCGTTGGCGGTGTTGATGTCGACGTCAGACTTGAGGTGTTCGAGGACTTTGTCGAGGTTGCCGGCTCGGGCGGCCCGCAGGAACGCCGTGTTCCCGTCGGACTGCAACAGAGAGAGAGAGAGAGGCAATGGTGAGACAGGGCGAGCGAGATCAGAAAGAGACGGCGACGGTCACACTCATCAGGCCATCGGCAGAATGGCGGTCGTTCTGTCTCTCTCGCACTGACGGGGCGTCCCGTTTAGGTGCGAGAGAGACAGGGGAGGCGGAAACGGCAACGGAAACGGATCGGCCAGTGGGACGCCGCGGCGCTCCAGCAGCCTAGTCTAGTCTTAGTCGCAACCCCCTACCTCTACCCCTACCCCTACCTCCCCTACCCCTAGGCAAGCAAGCGGCACGTCAGCGCCGGGACAGTCGGGGCGGGGCCGCTGGGGGCGGGGCCGCTGGGGGCGGGCAGGGCGGGCGCCAGGACCAACAGGGCGTGTCCACGGCGAGGGTGGGGGCGGCGCGGGGCGGCGCGGGGCGGCGCGGGGCGGCGCGGGGGCGGGCAATATCGACCCGCTGGAAGGGGCCGACCCGGCAGCAGACAGCTCTCCCTCTCTCTCGCGCTCGTGGGGCATGGGTAGGCTGGGCCGGCATGGGGTGTGGGTGCGAGCGAGGCAGAGCAACGGGAACGGGACGTCCTGGGCTCAAGGGTGTGCGGCGGCGCCGCGTCGCCAGCCAACCCCCGCGGGCCGCGTCCGCATCCGCCACCTCGCCGACGAGCCGTCCCGTCACTCCGCGCAGCCTTCGCCTAGGCCGGCCTAGGCCGCGAGGCCGTCCCGCACAGTGGGCCAGAAGACCGGCGGGGGCGGCCAAAACTCTAGACGCGTTTTAAGCTCCTGAGTCGCTAAATGGGACTCGAACCGAACGTGTGACCCCACCAATGGATTGCTCTCCGAACGAGGAATCCATTGGTGGGGTCACACGTTCGGCTCGAGTCCCATTTAGCGACTCTGGAGCTCAAAACGCGTCTAGAGTTTTGGCCGCCTCCACCGGTCCTCTGGCCCACTGTGTCCCGGGTCCAGGCCAGGGCGGGCCGGGGCGGGCAGGGCGCCGGCTAGCCGGGCTGGCGCGGCGTAGCGCAGCGCGGAGGGGTAGAAATGAGGGCCGCGCGCTGAAGGGCAGACGGCCATTTGACCTGATTCCGGCCAGACCCCGCAGCAGACTCATTCCGAGAGTCGTTTTCGTCGCTCTGCCTCTCTCGCACTCGTGGGGCGTCCCGCACAGGTGTGAGAGAGACATCGGAACGAGGGTCAGCTCGCACAACGAGACGCCAAGGCGCGCCAAGGCACCCGCTGCTCGAAATCTGTCACCCTCCCTCCAGGGTGGGGCAGCCCTGCCACCCCCAGCCAGCACGGAGTTTGGTGATAATCGTTAATCCGAGGCTCCCCGCCTGCCTTTTGCCTTGCCGCTCGGCAGACTGATTCCGAGAGTCGTTTTCGCCGCTCTGTCTCTCTCGCACCTATACGGGACGCCCCATGCGTGTGCGAAGGACACAGCGACGAAATCGACTCACAGTCCGCACGCTGTGTGTGACCAGCTGTGCAGCCCGAGATCCGCGAAAGCGGCCCACAGTGGGCCAGAAGACCGGTGGAGCGGCCAAAATTCGAGACGTGTTTTGAGCTCCAGAGTCGCTAAATGAGACACCAACCGACCGTGTGACCCCCCACCAAGGGATTCCTCGTTCGGAGAGCTGTCCATTGGTGGGGTCACACGTTCGGTTCGAGTCCCATTTAGCGACTCTGGAGCTCAAAACGCGTCTCGAATTTTGGCCGCTCAACCGGTCTTCTGGCCCACTGTGCGGCCGCCGCCGGAGTTCGAAGCCGGGCCCGAGGACCCGCACCCGAAGCCATAGCGGTAGGCCCGGCACTTTACTTCCGCCGCGCCACTGTACTACGGTACCTGAAAGAGCATGCAGAGGGCGGGGCTGTGGCGGGGACGCTTTGGGCAAGGCAGGCAAGGCAGGCATGGCAGGTGTGGTGTGGTGTGCATGCCAGGATGCGACGGCGCGGCGGGGCGGGGCGTGGCGGCGCGCGGTGGTCGATGCGCGGCGCCCCGCGGGGCACGGCACGCCGCCGTCAGCACGCCCCCGTCAACGAGCGGCGCGCGGCTGTCACCGCGTCGTCGGCGGCCACAATCATGCCAAGCCCCTTTTCAAATGTCCCGCCGAAATGGAGACCTGCTCCGCTTTGCCGGCTTTGCCGCGCATCGGCTGCCGGCGGGGAAGTCCGCGCTGCGTCTCAAGGTCGCCCGTTTTTCCGCCTCGGCGACGTGACGTAGTGACGTGCGCGAGGTGTTATTACCGCAGGGTGCGCCGTGGTGGAGAGCTAGGCGGAGCCAGGTGTCCCTAGAGAGGCTCCAGAGCGCGAGGGGCGCCACCAGGCACGGAGGGTGCCTCTAGCGCGGTGCACAGTGGGCCAGAAGACCGGGGTGAGACGCGTTTTGAGCTCCACAGTCGCTAAATGGGACTCGAACCGAACGTGTGACCCCAACAATGGATTCCTCGTTCGGAGAGTTATCCATTGGTGGGGTCACACGTTCGGCTCGAGTCCCATTGAGCGACTCTGGAGCTCAAAACGCGTCTAGAATTTTGGCCGCCTCCACCGGTCTTCTGGCCCACTGTGTGGTGGGTGCCCTTGGAGAGATTCTGCTGGAGGCTCTCTAGCTCAACAAGGGCCTCCAGGTCGACGAGAACCCCTCCAGCTCGACGGCAGCCTCTCTAATTACTTCCCAATCAAGCTTCGCCACGGCGCGGTCGGCGCCTTCGCCCCTCTCTCGGCCGGAACCAATCCGACAACTCATTTCCATCCAGGGGCTGCCGCTGCCGGCCTTCCGCCCGATAACAAACGCGCCCGGCGGTCTGTTTTCGGTCAATTTCGGTCATTTTCGGTCGCTTTGCGTGACTGTACTGTATGCGGGAGGCGCGATGGCGAGCGTGACGGACTGCAGTGTAGTGGTGCTGCGATGCTGGGTAATTTGGGCCACCGCTGCACTTGAGAGAAAAACACGGGGCAGCCGCGTGAAGCATCGGAGTAGAACGCGAAATCTTGCGAGTCCAACGATTCGCCCGATAAGTTTTCCCGCCTTTTTCTTCTCGGCAGTGTAGCCAACCGACAGAAATTCGTCAACCACTTTACTCTCCGCGGCTCCCGGCCACAAACTGAAATGAATGGCTGCGGAGCGCGCGCGCGTGATTGAGGGAAAGGGGGAACAAAACGGACGAAAAAACAACAAAAACAATGAGGGAAAAAAACAAGAATATCGGAAAGGAATTCCTGTGGGAGGACAGGCCGCATCAAGCCCACGCCGAGCACGACGAGCACGCCGAGCTGCAGCACAATTGGTCGATCACCGCGTCCAGGAAACGGTGAGCAGCGCAGCGGACAGGCCGACACTCCGACACGCCCAAGGAGGCCGTGGTCATGCCGCGGTCATGCCGCGAGGACGGCCGAGACGTCCACAACAGCGCCGCCGCCAAAAAGCGGCCGCCTCATTTTTGGCGCGAGAAAGCAACCGGCCGGCGGCGGCGAGACAGTGCAGCCACAACAAGCATCGCACAGTGGGCCAGAAGACCGGTGGAGGCGGCCAAAACTCCGGACGCGTTTTGAGCTACTGAGTCGCTAAATGGGACTCGAACCGAACGTGTGACCCCACCAATGGACTCCTCGTTCGGAGAGAAATCCATTGGTGGGGTCACACGTTCGGTTCGAGTCCCATTTAGCGACTCTGGAGCTCAAAGCGCGTCTAGAGATTTGTCCGCTTCCACCGGTCTTCTGGCCCACTGCGCGGGGCTGCGGGGCCAGCGGCAAAGGGTTTGCCTGATGGAAGTGAGTGGCTGGCTCGCTGGCTCCAGCTGCGTCCCAATGGACCGAATGGATGCGTTGGCAGCGCTGCCGCCGCCGTCGCCGTTATCAATTTGGTCAATTAAAGAGTTCGGCAGCGACGGCTCCATGAACACAACATTGTTGTTGTTGTTGTTGTTGTTGTTGTTGTTGTTGTCGGCCGGATGTCGGATAGCGATCAAGGGCGCGGCACCGCGGCCAGGGTGGGAACGCGAGGAGGAGATTCGCACTTCGCACCGCCTTTTGCATAGAGGGAGACAGCAACAAAAATTCTTTTCTTTTTTTAATTTTTTTTTTTTAAATTCGAAGTTGGATTATTTCAGATCAAGAGGTAGCCCTCGCGCTGCTCGCGCTCGAGTCAAGGCCGCCGACTCAGATGACTCGGGCGACTCGACTCAGCCTCTGGATTATGCATAAAAACTTCGCCCTGAACGAACGCGGTGCCCCCAAAAGGCGAAAGGGAGATATTGAGAAAGTTGGCGGGCTGGGCCAAGCTTCGGCCATGCAGGCCTGGGCGTATACTAAACAGGTTCGTGTACTCCTATTCGCTTTTATATTCCTTTTATCTCTTTTTACGAGATTTTTTTTCCCGGCAGGCAATAGGGCTCCGCGGGCGCAAGGCGCTGGGGCGGCGTGTCAGTGGACCTTGATTGGCCCTGCAGGGGCGGATCCAGGGACTGGTTCAGAGGGGGGCGTAAAAGTTGCCCAAGGGCAAAGTGCGACTTTTTGCCCACCTTAGGGTACCTTAGGGTATCTGTATACCTCTTACCTTACCTTAGGGTGGAGTGACCCCCCCCCCCGACTGCCTCAGCGAACCGCGAGGGCGGCTCCCGTTACCGCCAAAACGCGGTATCGGAATTGGCAGGTTCGCCGTGGTTCCCCGTGGAGCACGATGCAGCAGGGGCCGGCAGAGACCGGCCGGCCGGCACTGACCACTGACCGAGCCGAAGGTCAGAACGGCTCTGATGTCACCGTCCGCGCGTCTGCCCGGCACTGCCGCCCGAGTGTCTGCCTGCCCGTCTAGCCACATGTGCAGCGCGCGCCTTGGCGCACTCACACACTCACACACAGACACACACGGCGCGGTGCTGCACTTTATGGATCGCGATGTGATCGTTTGCCTCCCCCTTCCTCGCCGAGCGTGACAGAGGGGAGCCGAGCCGGGATTCTGAGCGGAAACCCTCAAAGAAAACGGGCGGCCTTTTGCAGTGGACTGTACCAGCGCGGTACCGCCGCGTGATGCGGCGGACTGGACCACGCGCCGCGGCGGGCCTGGCAGTGCGTGGACTCAATTCCCAGTCATCACATGCACTGCGCGGTACACTGTGTGTCCACATGGCGCGTACAGTCCCGGCTGTGAGTCACTCTTCCATTGAATGGTCCAGCGGCCGGCGCACAGTGGGCCAGAAGACCGGTGGAGGCGGCCAAAACTCTAGACGCGTTTTGAGCTCCAGAGTCGCTAAGCAGGACTCGAACCGAACGTGTGACCCCACCAATGGATTCCTCGTTCGGAGAGCAATCCATTGGTGGGGTCACACGTTCGGTTCGAGCGCCATTTAGCGACTCTGGAGCTCAAAACGCGTCCAGAGTTTCGGCCGCCTCCACCGGTCTTCTGGCCCACTGCGTGCGGCGGCGGTACAGTGGTACAGTCCCTGTGCCTGGAAGTCGTGAATCAGTCCGGCTCCAAGGACCGCGAGGACTGGACGGGCAGCACACCGCCCCCCACGGCCTGCTATCGGTCCATTGTCCAGTGTGGGTGTGCTCCATTAAAGGCCCAGCCCGCCACGCCACGCCACGGTCACTTTGATTCTTTTCAATTAAAAAGGCTGCTTTGTGTGCTCGCCGGACGCGCGCGGCGTGGGTGGTTCTGGTGGCGGGCCCTCGACGCTCATCAACACATTTTGAATATCGAACGTCGCAGCGGGAAAGCTTCAGTGAAGCGTGAAGCTGGTGAGGTTGAGGTTAGGTGAGGTTAGGTATGGTTAGGTGAGGTTAGGTGAGGCTTGGCGAAGGGTTTCGAGAGAATCGCTGCCAGCCATCCATCATTTCTGGTCCAGTTAGTTGCTCCTCATGCCTTTACGGCGCCTTTTTTACAACATCCGCGTAGCAACGCGTAGCCGGTGGCTCACAATTAGCGCTCTGATTTACGAGACAGATTACACTTCAGTCTGTCTGTCTGTCTGTCTGTCCGTCCGCGAGGAGACCACCATCGGAACTCATCCTGCCTAGAGGAGGGAGGAAATTGGAGGACGAGACACGGCAGCCATTTCCCCGTCGGAAGAAAACGAAGTGTCTCCGGAAATTATGCTCGAAGCGCGCATTTCGGGCTTGACGTTTCTACTACACTCGAAGGGGAGGGGAGGGGGGACATGGAGAGGGGAGGGGAGGGGGAGGGGAGGGGGGAGGGGAGGGGGGACATGGAGGGGGGAGGGGAGGGGGGCACCGATCGGTGCGCGTGCACGTCGACGTGGCGTGCGCCGGTTTATCACAAAATTAGCCTTCCGAATCCGGCACGCGCGAGGAGCTTGCGGGAAAAAAAACGACAGAAAATGTGAGTCCGGCGGCGGGATTCGAACCCGCGACGCCGCGCCGCAGGTCGGCCGTCTTGATGACAGCGGGGCAGCCAGCCGCCCGGCAAGGTCAGGACATGGTCAGGACATGGTCAGGATGGCGCGAGACTTTCGCTTTCGGATCGATGACGCCGTTACATCACCAAGGCAGCAGGGGAGGGGGAAGTGCAGGGGAGGCTAACGATGCATGGTCACACCCCGCCACTGTAAGCGTGAGGGAGCGGACAAGGCACGCACGCACCACTCTGCCACACACACACACACGACTGAGTCACCACAACACGCCAAAAGGGGATATACGCGGCGATAACAACAACATCGCCAAAAATACACGCTCGCGGCCCGGGACCGAGTCTAGGACGCTCTCTGGCTAGAGGAGCCCTTCTAGGGCGCGACAGCCGCGGCGGGGGAGTGGAGGCAGCGGCATGGCATTATTTCCTGGCAGCCACGTACGCCCTGCTGGCGGTGACAGGACTCGTGGGCCGTAACGACCCCCGCGGGGGGGCGGGGAGGACTTCCAGGTCGTCTAGCAGGCCAGCAGGCGGGCAGGCAGGCAGAACCGTCGGTGTTGTGGCAGGTTGACGGGGTGCTCGCTGGCGAGGGGAGGCCGCGGTGGCGCCGCGGCTTGGGCGGCCCTCCCTACACGGCTACGTACTCCCGAGGGGGAGCACAGCGAGTTGGAATCGATACCGACCAAGCGGGCCGAGGGAGCCGCAAGCCCAGCCATACCGCGCACTCCAGGGCCTCTGGAGGGCCTGGCCCTTGGCGAGGCCCTTGGCCTGCTGTAGGTCAACACGGCCGCCACAGTGGGCCAGAAGAACGGTGAAGGCGGCCAAAACTCTAGACGCGTTTCGAGCGCCAGAGTCGCTAAATGGGACTCGAACCGAACGTGTGACCCCACCAATGATGTGATTAGGGAACATTCAAGATTTTGTGGTGTCAAGAGGCCAGCAGTTTGCATTATGCTTGCCGCCAAGCTCAACTTGCACCAGCAACCTCTTGTACGCACTCATGAACTGTTGACGTCCTTTGGGTTTCAATTGGTCATCATATTCATGAACATCATCTAAAGTAGCAAATATCGAAGCATCAAGTCTCATTTTGACATCTCTGATATAGTGAGGCAAACTTGTTGTTAGTGCCTGCCTTCGTTGTTTGTTCTCTCTGATGACAACCTCAGTCACTTTACATATTCTCTCCACATCATCAGAGGGAATAGCAAGCCCCCCCCTGGTTTTTCTCCTTAATAGAGCTGATTTTGAGTGAGTGCCAAACAGGGCTTTGTCACATTCCGTGCATTTTAAATGGTGGGATATTGACCTACTGACAAATCCTGCGATGTAACCTACAACATCAGAGACATATGGGCTGAGAACATTTAGATTCTGAAGAGGACAATTAGGATCATACGCTTTCATGAGCTCAAAATCTCCATCATCCTCCTCTTCATTATCCAAAGGTTTATGTTTGCTACGTTTAGATGATGTAGTAACATTCAAGATTTTTGTGGTGTCAAGAGGCCAGCAGTTTGCATTATGCTTGCCGCCAAGCTCAACTTGCACCAGCAACCTCTTGTACGCACTCATGAACTGTTGAAAAGGCCTTTTCTGCAGTAAATCTAGAATGAAAAGAGGCATGTTTAATATAATTGATATAAGGTGGTAAAATAAGGCAGTTACAAAATGTGACTCACTGGGATCCCTGTGTAGGAACAGCATGGTGAACAAGGCGTCCAGTTAGAGTGTACAAGCCCTTCTCGAAGTGGTCCTCACACAGAAATGCACCCTTGTTAGCTTTTGTAGTCCAGCCAGTGGTGCGATTGAACTTATTAACGAATGATATCCACTCTTCTCTGATAGCATCGTCAGTAGGAAACCTGTGAGAAATAATAACATTAAATTTCAAGAAAACGTGGAAAGGAGTGGAGGTTAGGATGCCCATCAACAAACTTACACGTGATGTTTAATCCCCGAAGTCTTCTTATTTTTGACATCTCTATTCTTGCACGCTAAAAGCGCACAAAACTTCATGCTGATCTCATGCAAACTTACAGAATAAAAACATCAGAACGATCAAACGACTTGGTGCCTGACGCTTGCCTGACGTTTCGCGTCACCGTCCTCCTCCGTCCGTAGCCTAGCAACAAGAGAACGTCCGCTGCCGTGTTTTGGTCGGTGGCGTGGCGCGAGGTGGCGTGGCGTAGTGCCGACCCTGCTGCGGTGGTGGTGGCGAGGCGGTCGGGGGCTCAGCGCCGCCCGTGCTACGGGGTACGGCTTCCTCCATCCATGGCTATGAGAAATACAACATCCTTGGGGGGGACATGGAGGGGGGAGGGGAGGGGGGACATGGAGGGGGGAGGGGAGGGGGGCACCGATCGGTGCGCGTGCACGTCGACGTGGCGTGCGCCGGTTTATCACAAAATTAGCCTTCCGAATCCCGCACGCGCGAGGAGCTTGCGGGAAAAAAACGACAGAAAATGTGAGTCCGGCGGCGGGATTCGAACCCGCGACGCCGCGCCGCAGGTCGGCCGTCTTGATGACAGCGGGGCAGCCAGCCGCCCGGCAAGGTCAGGACATGGTCAGGACATGGTCAGGATGGCGCGAGACTTTCGCTTTCGGATCGATGACGCCGTTACATCACCAAGGCAGCAGGGGAGGGGGAAGTGCGGGGGAGGCTAACGATGCATGGTCACACCCCGCCACTGTAAGCGTGAGGGAGCGGACAAGGCACGCACGCACCACTCTGCCACACACACACACACGACTGAGTCACCACAACACGCCAAAAGGGGATATACGCGGCGATAACAACAACATCGCCAAAAATACACGCTCGCGGCCCGGGACCGAGTCTAGGACGCTCTCTGGCTAGAGGAGGAGCCCTTCTAGGGCGCGACAGCCGCGGCGGGGAGGCAGCGGGGAGTGGAGGCAGCGGCATGGCATTATTTCCTGGCAGCCACGTACGCCCTGCTGGCGGTGACAGGACTCGTGGGCCGTAACGACCCCCGCGGGGGGGCGGGGAGGACTTCCAGGTCGTCTAGCAGGCCAGCAGGCGGGCAGGCAGGCAGAACCGTCGGTGTTGTGGCAGGTTGACGGGGTGCTCGCTGGCGAGGGGAGGCCGCGGTGGCGCCGCGGCTTGGGCGGCCCTCCCTACACGGCTACGTACTCCCGAGGGGGAGCACAGCGAGTTGGAATCGATACCGACCAAGCGGGCCGAGGGAGCCGCAAGCCCAGCCATACCGCGCACTCCAGGGCCTCTGGAGGGCCTGGCCCTTGGCGAGGCCCTTGGCCTGCTGTAGGTCAACACGGCCGCCACAGTGGGCCAGAAGAACGGTGAAGGCGGCCAAAACTCTAGACGCGTTTCGAGCGCCAGAGTCGCTAAATGGGACTCGAACCGAACGTGTGACCCCACCAATGGATTCCTCGTTAGGGGAGCCCCCCTAGGGGCAACCCCTTCCTGGATCCGCCCTTGACGGCCTCCAGGGCGACGCCAGGGCGGTGGTCCCACGGTCCCGCGCCTGCACTGCAATGAGCACGCCGACGGGCGGCAGCCATTTAATTTGCAGAGAGCCGTTTTTACGTTTGCCGCAACGGCCCGCGCGCACGCCACAGTGTGGCCACACGCCACACCACAAGGAGGGCCGTGGGTCGGCAGGTCGGCGTCACGGCGTACAGTGCCGGTGTGGGACAGTGGGCCCGGCCAAACCTCCGGACGCGTTTTGAGCTCCAAAGTCGCTAAATGGGACTCGAACCGAACGTGACCCCACCAATGGATTGCTCTCCGAACGAGGAATCCATTGGTGGGGTCACACGTTCGGTTCGAGTCCCATTTAGCGACTCTGGAGCTCAAAACGCGTCTAGAGTTTTGGCCGCCCCCACCGGTCTGCACGGCGTTCGCGGAAAGTCGCCGCTTGAGCGAAGCGAGCGAGCGAGGCTCGCGGGGAATCTTGGCGCCCGACGGCCAGCCGGCCGGCCAGCAGAAAGCGGCATTGTTCCTCGGCAAAAATGCAGAGCGCTCTCGGTATTCGAACGGGCACCCGCCGCGTGCCGGATAGTTTTCCCTTGTTCCTGTGCGTGCGGCGCGGTGCGGCGCCAACGAGCGTGTTGGGGTGGGTAGCGGTGGCGCGGCAGGCAGGCAGACAGACAGACAGACAATCAGACGGACAGACAGACAGACAGACAGACAGACAGACAGACAGACAGACAGACAGACAGACAGACAGACAGACAGACAGACAGACAATCAGACAGCCCCGGCAGTTTGATTCGGAGTGCCTCCGCGGCCGTCACCGCTGCTGCCGATTCGGCCCCTTGAAACCCAAGGAGTGCGACAGGCTAGGTTAGCCCAAGGCCGCCCGCCCGGCTGGGCCATGGCTGGCAGTGACGGAATTCTCTTTCAGTTACGACCGGCGGCTGCGGCCACGCGGCCATCGCCGCGGCTGACTTGTTACATTTCGTAGCGCTAGAGTTGCCCGCTGCCCCAGGCCGGCCCAGGCCGGCGTGGCCTTGGCTGGTTTAGCACACGGCTGCAGTGCGGGGCTCGCCGCGGCCGGGCGGACCCCCTACACGACGGCGGGTGCCCACGCGAGCCCTGCCAGCCCTGCACAGGCGCTTTACAACCGGCTCATTTGAATTTCGACCGGCAGATTGGCGTTGGCTACACTGTACGAACGGAACGGAACGGCACGGAGTCCCCGCGGGTCCGCAAGTCCGCTGGCATCTCCAAGGCGTCGCCGGATGCCGGCTCCACTCACCTGAAAAAGGCAGAGACAGGCATTAGTTACCGCGGTCGGGAAGCGAAAGGCCCCACCCCGCCACGCCACGCCCCGCCACACACAGTGGGCCAGCAGACCGGTGGAGGCGGTCAAAATCCCGGACGCGTTTTGAGCTCCAGAGTCGCTAAATGGGACTCGAACCGAACGTGTGACCCCACCAATGGATTGCTCTCCGAACGAGGAATCCATTGGTGGGGTCACACGTTCGGTCCTAGTCCCATTTAGCGACTCTGGAGCTCAAAACGCGTCTGGAGTTTTGGCCGCCTCCAGCGGTCTTCTGGCCCACTGGGTATACGCCCACCGAGGCACCGAGGAAGCGGCCCCGCGAACTTGGCCGTGCTTCGAGCGTAAAGAAAACACTTCCCAGTGTGTTTGCACACTGCTCCGCGCTGCTCCCTCCCCACCTGAGTCACCCAGAACCGCGGAGTCGCGGCGCGAACAGCTGACTGGCTGGCGGCACGCTGATAAGGTCACTGAGTCCCTCGCGGCCACGCGGACCGACAGCCTCGTCGCTCTGTCTCTCTCGCACTCATGGTGCGGCCCGTTTGGGTGCGAGAGAGACAGAGCGACGAGAACGACTCTCAGTCTGCAGGAGCCTGTCGCCGGGACGTGGCCGGGACGGGAGGGAGGACGGGATGAGTCACGCGGCAGACGGCCGCTGGAGAAAAGGGGAGGGGGGAGCAGGCGGTTGCAATCCCCAAATGGAATCTGTAATGTGGGAAATTGGGTAGGAACGAAGAGAGACTTGTACATACTTGAAAATACTTTTTCTAGGTATCATCTGCTAAGAATAACGAGTTGTCGCTATTTTAAAACTGAATTTATAGTGTACGTACTGCGGTTGGATCTGGTCACACATAAAGTAAGTCTTGAACCACATCCCGAAAAAAATGATAATTTTTAAAAAAAGAGTCTGGTGAAACTTTCTTTTCTTTTCTTTTTTCAGTGCCTTACTTAAAACATCCTCACGCCGCAGCGGGACTCGGACAGACAGGCCCTTTCGGATTCCGCGGTTTGTTCGGTTTCTCGGAGGAAGCAGCCGGGGCGCCACGCGGTCAAGGGACACGGACTCGGCCACGGCGAAGGGGAAGGGGGAAGGATGTGCGAAGCGCCTCGCCGCCGCGCCGGTCGCGAGCCGTACCGGCTGCCTCGTCTCGTGACGTCATCCGCACGCTTTGCCAGGCTTTGCCAGGGCGTTCGCGTTCGGGGCGGGGCCGCTCGGCTGTCATGCGACGCTTTGGGTCTGTGCACAGTGGGCCGGAAGGCCGGCGGAGGCGGCCGAAACTCTAGACGCGTTTTGAGCTCCAGAGTCGCTGAATGGGACTCGAACCGAACGTGTGACCCCACCAATGGATTGCTCTCCGAACGAGGAATCCATTGGTGGGGTCACACGCTCGGTTCGAGTCATGTTCAGCGACTCTGGAGCTCAAAACGCGTCCACAGTTTCGGGGTTTGGCGAGTTCGCCACTCGACGCCGCCGTCCTGCTCTTCCAGCAGACTCATTCCGAGGGCGTCGTCGTCGCTCTGTCTCTGTCGCGCTCGCGGGGCGTGCCGCGGGGCGGCGAGAGAGACAGAGCGGCGACACGCGGGCAGCACGCGGCAGCGTTTTGCGCCGTCAAACAACACTGAGCCGCTCTTCCTGTGGGGCCGGCGGGCTAGTCGAAAAAGAGAGGGACAGAGCGAGAGACAGCGCAATGCGAATAAAAGGCTCGTTATCCACAGCCGCCTCATTCCGAAGCACGCGGGTCTGTCTTTGCCGCACGCAGTGGCGTGTGGCGTGCCCCTCGGGTGTGAGAGAGACAGGTCAGGTTCCGGGCCGGTTTCCCTTTAAAAGGCGGGGATTGGGGGGGGGGGGTCAGGCTAGGCTGGCCCGGCCACCCTAGGGACCCTCTCTGTCAGAGATGCGCACGCTGGCCGCGAATCCGGCCTTCTGATTGGGCGAGAGTAAACTGGGGAAAAACAGCCCGGTGCGAGGCCAGAGTGGAGGTGGAGGGGGGACGCCGCCCGGCCGGGAGCCTCGCAGCGCTAGTCTCGCACGGGGCGAAAATCGCCCGGTTTACTCCAGCGGTCGAGCGTGCGCATCTCTGACAGAGAGGGTCCCTAGGCCACCCTAAGCAGGCCCGGCCTCGCTGGGCCTCGCTAGGCGTGGTCGCGGCGGTCGCGGCGGTCGCGGGGCACCTAGGGGTGAGTACGCCGTCGACCTTCGCATTCAAATAGGGAAGCCCCCCCCCCCTTCTTTCCCTGGCTGGGGCACTGGGGCCCCTCGGCTATAAAGTTACAGAACAAGGCCGCGAGTGGAGGCACGAGCCGCGCTACGTTGTACGTACACATGTCCTGCGCGTTCAGAGCGCTGAGCGCGTCGCACAGTGGGCCAGAAGACAGGAAGGGCGGACAAAATTCTGGCCACGTTTTGAGCTCCAGAGTCGCTAAATGGGACTCGAACCGAACGTGTGACCCCACCAACGGATTGCTCCCCGAACGAGGAATCCATTGGTGGTTTCACACGT